TCGTCACACATGGTATCTGGTTTCTGCAAGGACGGGAAGGCCAAGGAGGCGCTCAGTGTTTCAGGCAAGAGGCCTCGCTGGCCGGAGCGCCCTCCCTCCCCGGGGACCTATGGACACCTCCGGCCTCCAGCCTCCAGCCCCCTGCGTGGCGCCATTCTGCGGGGGAAGCAATCAAGGCCGCGCCGGCGGAGCTTCGCTGCTGGGAGCTCTGCTGCGAGGAGACCACAGAGAGCGTTTCTCCACCTGGGAACTCAGGACACACGGTCCCGAGAGTTCTCTGCCTTCGCTGCAGGCGCCGCCCTCTTTGCCCCTCCCTGGCGTCGCATGGGGGTCAAGGTCCGTGAACCCTGATTGCTGGGCCACTGTGAGGGTGGAAGGAGACGCCATGGAAAGGGCTTGGGCACTCCACCAGGGCACGAATGGCCTATTTTGGACCTCCATGACACTTCAGACTCACAGCCCAAGCGCCCTTGGCACTGATGATGAGCGAGGGGAGTTCCTTCTACTGCCCTTTGGTTCTGTTGGGAAGGAACTCAGGGGAGGACTAAAGCAAAACCTTTCATCTACCTCGGCACTCACGAAGTGTCAAGGAGAGCTGCCCCAAAAGGCTGGGAATAAATCTGGAGACCTTTTCCAAGGACCCCTGTTTCCTGTCTCTTCTTTGGAGCACACCGCTCCGACTCCCAGGCCGGAGGCGCGGCTCTCAGGACGCGGGGTGGGGGCTGATGCAGTGAGCGGGCGCGCTCTCCCCGGCGATCCTTGGACTCCCGCGGCGGGGCCCGTCCTCCTGTCCCCACCCCGCCCCTGCCTACCTGGGCGGGTGGCTACACCTGCGGCTCGCCGGCTCCGGTCCCGGTCACCGTGGGAAGGAAGCGAGACTTCTCCGGGCGCTGTCCGCTGCGGTGGCCGCTCGTCCCCCTGCTCAGGTTTTATATAGCCCCGGGGCGCTCCCCTCGCGCCGCCCCGCAGGAATGTCGCTCCCCTTCTCGAGCCATATTTGGGTGTCGGGCACCAGAGCCCCCTCCCCCGACCGGTTCAAGGCCTGGGTCCCCGCCCGGGTCCCCTGCGCTGACCAAAGAAGGAGCGGTCTGGCCTGAGCCCAGGTAACACGGGCCGGGCCGTATATGGAGCGTCTGCCCGCCGGGCGGCCCCTCCCGACTCGGCCCAGTGGCCGGGCGGAGGGCCTGGGGTGCGGCGGGGGTCACGGAGTGTGCGGGGCGCGCCAGGGAGCCTGCGCCCCGGCTGCACCTGTCCGCAGCCGCCCCGCCCCCGGCCATTCGGCGCTCTGGAGCCTCGGGAAGGTGCACCCGCGTTTCACCTCTTCTTCGGGTTCTTTACTCCCCAACTTCTCAAGTGTGACTACACCGAGGAGGACTCTATATCCTAGTGGGGGTCCCAAGAGGACCGGAGATGCAGTCACTGCCGGAGTCCCGGGCAGGGGAGGCAGGCGGTCCCTCCCCCGAGACTCCCAGCGAACTCGGTCTCTCCCCCCACCCCGAGCTCCCCGAATCCAGAGGGCTGACCCCGTCGGCCCCCACCCCCACCGGAGAGGGTCACCGGCGGCCGACGGGGCGCAGCTGTCGCGAGGACAACTGGCGGCGTGAGGAGAGGGTGGAGAATCGGGGAGGAGGCGCTGGGCTCCCGGGACAGGCCCCGCAGCGGCTCCCGCAGCCTCTGGCACTGAGCCAGGACCCCCAGAGCTGCCCGCCTCGGGGACGCGATGTGGGCTCGGGAGCTCAAGAAGGGAGTGAAGTTGAGTGAGTAACTTGCCGGCTCCGGAGTGTGCCAAGCCGAGCTGAGCACCCTACTCCCGCATCCTTGGCGGGGCTCACCGACATCCCAGTCCTGGGGCAGGAAGGCAAGTGTCACAGCCCTAGGGTGGGAACTGAGAGGTGCTCTTACTAGGTGAGGCCTCACCCGTCCCTCCTCCCTGTAAAGAGGACAAGGGCATCGTGCTCTAGGATGGGCAAAACCTTTCCCTTCTGCAAAGGCTGAACAAACTCATCGTTATATTTAGAGGGTGATGCCCAGCCAAGGCCAGCTGATTCCCGATCCACCTTGGAGAGTCACGGTCCACCAGAGCCTGCCGAGCAGTTCTATTTATACCACTGATACACTGGGATCTGTCTTTCTAATTTTCTAGTAGGATTTAGATGTACTTATGGTAAAGGTGGAGTAGGGGTCAGAAGAGGTTATTAAGTTGGTGCTTCTCACTGTTTTTTCCCCTGGGGGTAACAGTTCTAACCTTGCTGTGGAAAGTACAAGGAGAAAGAGTTTTCTGCAGTGAACTCAGGGACATGCTTTAAGGAGTACATCAGTGATGTGGTGTGAGCCAGAATGGAACCACTCATTTTTCTGATGTGCTCAAGTGTTCCCAGAATAGGAACTTGGTGGTGGAACTCAGCAACTGGGACAGGTGTGGGTCCTCGAAGAGGGATATAAAAGCACATACGAAACCCTCCTTCCCAGCCGCACACCACTGCAGGCCTTCCTAAAAATGACCAAAGTCAATTACAAACTAGGGAGTTAGTATGGGGCCTCTGTAGTGTGTATAAAGCCAGCGTGCCTTCATATTCAGCTTTTTAGATTAGAGAATGAATGAATGAATAATGGACAGAACTACATTTCAATACCTTGTGTTCTGCTGTGGCAGTCTGACATGGAGACCCTAGAAAAAAATAACCTGGCAAATGCACTCTGTGTGCAGTGTGAGGGGAATAGCTTCAGTTTTGGTCTTAAAGGTAGAAGTATGCTGCCATTGACTGAATACATCAGAACTTGGTGACATCTTAAAGGGAAGGAGGTTGTAGTTTTCAAAACTCTTGCTCAGGGCAATACTTCTCAGTGCAAGCTTTTGTAAGCTCAGGATCTATTAGATTCAAACACACATGAAAAGCTATGAATCAAGCACTCACAAGCTAGCAGAGACCTGATGGTACCGCAAACCCTGGGGAGGTGGGCCCTAAGAACACCAGTTGGCATCTCTGCTCTCTGTCCTGGGTCAGGCTGGTTGAAATAGTCCTGGAGAGCCACTGCGGGGTGGTTGGACTCTCATTGGCTCAGGAACGGCCCAAAGAGCAGGTGGAAGGCAGTCTCCATACATGTACGCTCTGGGGATCACCCCAGTGCCTTGCATCTGAGTAAGCAGGTCACTGCCTGCACAGCCTTTTGAGAGTGACCCTGGAAAGGTCAGCCATGCAAGCTATGCTCAAAGGAGAACTCCAGGTTCTAAGTTTGCAGGGGCAGCCACAGCTCGATCATCTGGCAGGCTCGTCTGCCACAGCACAGGGGATGTGCTCACATCCCCTCAGCCGTGTCCCTCACCTCCTCGCACATTTGTGGATCCCAGCCTTGTGCTGTTGGTTTCTGAACTATTTAGACATGAACTTTTAAAATGCTTTGTATGTTTTCATATTGTTCCATTAATCCTGTAACTATCTGGAGGTACGTGAGACAGTACTAGTTACACTAGCTTTAAACATAAGAAAACCAAGGTCCAATGAGCTAGACATGTCCTGGGTACCATACTGCTGGGAACATGCAGGGGCTTGGAAGACTCTCCCTTCCCTAGGAGTGGTCGGGCTACCTTCTGTCTCCCTCTAAACTTGTTCAACACTTGGTATGTTCTGGAACTTAACAGATCCTCAAGGGATCTTCTTCAATGAAGGGCCAAAGACATCTTCAAGTCACGGCTTCACACACAGCCATCCTGTCATCTCAAAAAAAGACTAGTGGCGGTGGGGGGGGGGGCGCTGCCTGGCAACACAAAGTCAGAAACAGTCCAGCAACCAAGTGGGTAAAGGAAAAAACCCAAATTTGCTGTCCTCCTAAGCCACCCCTCTAAAAATGTGCAAGCAACTGCAGCAATCAGGAAGAGAGGACCTCAATCTTCTACTGAAGGCTTTCTCAGCCCAAGACCTGCTCTGCTTGGTCATCTCTAAGGGACTCATGACTCCACTGGAGCCATTCCTGCCCCTTCCCTCTACTTGCCACTTCCCACGTCAGCTGTCGTGAATCAGTTAAAAAGTTGCCCTTCAGTAAAGCCCATTTGAGTGCATCTGTCCTCTGATGGGCTATGTGACCTGGGGCAGGTGGCTTCCAGAGACAATCAGCCTTCTCAACTGAGGATGCCACCTACTCTTTGAGACTGATTTGAAGGTTGAAACTAGGTAAGTGCATGGAATACACACACAAAAAACAATGGTACACTATCTTTCTTCTAAAAGGGTTTGGAGGCGGTGAGAGGGATGAGGTGTTAAGAGTGAGCAAAGGACAACTAAAAACCATTACAAGTGTTCACTGAACACTTAGACAGGAAGTCAATGCATTCTAAATATATCTGGAGTGCACAAACATTTTTGTACAGAGATTTATTCCAGTATTTATTTAAAATGGTAAAAAATAAACAAATCAACCCAAGACCAATAACCCAGTGTTTTAAGACTGTTGAGGAGAGAGACAGAGATCTGTACAGCCATATGGTAAAGTGTCAGGCAGTCATTAAAAAAAATGTATCTTGAGGAATATTGAAGACATGCATTCATGAAGGGGGGAAAGTTAGTTCTCAGGTTAAAAGAATCTTAGATATTACAATGATTTGTGGCTCCAAAGGCTGTGGACATAAAAAAAGATAAACAATATACCTGTGGTATAAATTTTCATGGAGGTGGGAGTGAAGGGAACAGAGTGACTAAAGAAAATTGTCTTAAAGTCTCCTTAGAAGGAATGATAATGAAAAAGAAGGTTGAGAAATACTGGACTAAAGATACATAGAACTGCTCATAATCAGTTCAGTCGCTCAGTTGTGTCTGACTCTTTACGACCCTATGGACCACAGCACGCCAGACCTCCCTGTCCACCACCAACTCCTGGAGTTTACTCAAACTCATCTCCATGGAGTCGGTGATGCCATCCAACCATCTCATCCTCTGTCATCCCCTTCTTCCCCACCTTCAATCTTTCCTAGCATTAGGGTCTTTCCAAATGAGTCAGCTCTTCACATCAGGTGGCCAAAGTATCAGAATTTCAGCTTCAGCATCAGTCCTTCCAATGAATATTTAGGACTGATTTCCTTTAGGATGGACTGGTTGGATCTCCTTGCCGTCCAAGGGACTCTCAAGAGTCATCTCCAACACCACAGTTCAAAAGCATCAATTCTTCAGTGCTCAGCTTTCTTTATAGTCCAACTTTCATATCCATACATGACTACTGGAAAAACCATAGCCTTGATGAGATGGACCTTTGTTGGCAAAATAATGTCTCTGCTTTTTAGTATGCTATCTTGGTTGGTCATAATACCTCACATCAAAATACATAGGTTATAAAATTGTGGTACATGTACAATCTAGGATATATTTCAAAATGGCAACTGAAGTTATTTCTAGCTAGTGGGATTACAGGGGTTTATTCTCCTCCATACATTTTAAAGAGGTTTCACATTTCCTACAATATTTTTTAACTTTCAGAATTACATAAGTCTATGTAAAAAATATACTTTGGTATTCAATGAGTTAAGTTTACATAAGAATACAGACAGCTGTTTTCTCTAGAAGTATTCCTTGAATAAACTGTCCAGGAGAAGGCAGGTGGACTACACTGATACTTCTGTAGTTATCAGATATGCCCACACATGGGGAGAAAGCCTAAGAGCATCACAGTGTGGCTCTGCTCCAGGTCTAGTTACGCGGAGGGCTGGGCCACACACCCCGATTCCCCGACAGCCCCTCAGTACTTGGAGGGTGATGGATGATTCAAGAAAAGTATGATTCAGACTCCAAAGATAAAAAGAAGCACAATCCAATCTCTAAAAAATTTTCTTCAAAAACAAAATCCCAAAACAAAGGGCATCAGTATCAGTCGCCTTCTACCTCACCAAGAATTCCAGCATGTCTCTTGCTGTGATTCTCAAATTTTGTCTTAATCCTTGACACATTCACAAATTCCTAAAACAGGAGAACACACAAGGCCTGCTCTTCACAATCAAACCCACAACCTTGTTGTTTGACTGGGGCCAAAAGCTGTGACTTTCTGAGTAGTGTTCAAAGACAGGAGCAAAGAAAACCTTTTCCAAGTCAGAACCATTTCAGTCCCCTTAATAAACATGCTCACCTTTGTAGTACTTTTATAATTTATCATTATCAACTATTCAGTCTGTAAAAGAATCGGCTATTTTCTGATGAAGACTATGTTGTGGAAATTTTTTAAAATTTAGAAGAAAAAAAGTACTCAATATCTTTAGGCTTTAATTACACTATTACTGTTAAAATGTTTCTTTTTTAAAAGCCCCAACCATCTTAGAGCTATGGCCATCCCTAACAGACAGAGGTGGCAGAGCCTCTTTCTCTGTGAAAATGAGACAATCAGCCGTTACGCCGTGAGAGCAGCACTTCACCCCGTGGTCAGAGGGCCAGGGTCACCGTCACTGCCTCCCCTCACACGGGGTAACTGGGTTTGTGGCACTCAAGGAGGCAGCACGGTCCTGGGTCCCCAGAGCACAGTGTCACATGACAGGATCTCACGGGTAAGAACTAAGTCCCTCTGAAACCAACATCCTTTAACACAAGAATCCAACCATTTCTTATGCCCTCTGACACCTCTCTCTCCCTGACCTCACGCTGCCCCACCACGGCAATGCAGGCAGAGGCCAGGGCCGGGCGGGCCCTTCCTGCCCTCTGGTTAGCACTGTGAACGGCTCAGAGGCACCCTCTGCAGCCTGCAGTGGGGCCCGCATGAGGGCTGAGCTCTGCAAAGCCAGAACCGGACTCTCTGCACCACATTTAACTCCTGACCTTTTCGGCTGCTGGAGCAAGTTGTATAGTGAGCACTCAACTGGGCCAAAGCCTGAATACGCCAGCAACTCCGTCTTTCTTTAAAGACAGATTAAAAACTGCACGATGACATTGGCCAGGACAAAGAAGCTTTGAGAACAACTACTTTTCAGTTAAATCAGTTGCCATATTAAGAAAATCTATAAAGGTTTCTATAAAGGTTCCACCCCTTACATTAGCTAGACAGACTGAGGTGAAGCTGGACTTCAGTGTAAATCATTCTGAAATGCATGAAGCTGACCGAATAGGTTGTGGTGGTTTAATTGCTAAGCCATGTTGGACGCTTTGCGACCTTACGGACTATAGCCCACCAGGCTCCTCTGTCCATAGGATTTCCCAGGCAAGAATACTAGAAGGCCACATGAATATGCTTTATTCACCAAAAAATATTTATTAATACTCTATTATTCATGTGGAAAAAACTGACATTTCCCAATGAAGTAAAGTTATAAAGCTCACACTGAATTGCCCCACTTTGTCTGTTTCATAAGTTAGCAAATTGTGACACTTATCCCACTAGACATTCTGCTCCCAGCCCTAATCAAAATCAAAACAAAGATTCCAGACACTTTCCAGTACGTAACACCTAAGAGCCACAGCAATTTCAGAGATGACTTAGTGCAATCTTGCTGTTTTTAGAGTTATAGAAGCTAAAGTCTAGAAGTGGTTTTTGCATACAAGAAGCTGGAACCAGGACCCTGGATGGAGTGAAATAAAAAGGAACGGTATTAGGTATGAAAACTGATAAACCTCGATGGAAAAGAAGAAGAAAAAAAATATCATGTAACTGAAAACCACAACTATAGTCATACAACTATGTTGTAGTAGCTTACAAATAAAGTATAAAAAAGTCAGAAATATGTGTTATAAAACTGTACAAACTTCTAGATGTTTAAGGTCCAAAGTTTTTATAAGGACACACTTATACAAATTTTCAGGAAAAACGACCATTTTTATAAAGTCACATTTGTCCCTGGACATAGTATTCATAATTGGCTTTCAAAACGAACTCAAAGTAAGGGCTGGACTTCAAACTTCCCAGCTGGTCAGCCTGCAGCAGCTCCTTCACCTCGGGGAGGTACTCACTGAGCTGAATGCCTAAAAACACAAACACAGAAAGTTGGTGTTTTTGTTTTTTTTTTTAATTTTCACATAATTCTCAAATGAATCAAGATGACGGATGATAGAAACACCTGTGCTTCTATTTAAAATATAACGTCACTCTGCTGTTGGAAAATACTCTGTTCTAAATTCCTTCCATCTGCCAAGCATACTCACAGGCCTGACAATATGACATTCTTCACTTAGAAGGGGCTACATGACTGTTCTACATATTCGGGCTACATGTTTAACTCTAGTGGTCAAAAGAGCCATCAAAACAGCCACTCCATTTAAAGTCTTTATAACAATCTGCAATATTTTCATTTTCCTCCATAGCTTAAGCCATTCCTTCAGGGTGGAAGTTTTAAGTTAATAATCACTTGAAAATAAGTATTTCAAGACCAAGCAAACAGTATTCTAAGCAGCTATACAATAAAAGCAGTAGAAGGTATCAGTGAAAGATTGCTTATAAACCAGCTGCAAAATTTGCAAGACAGGAATCCTGAGTTATCAAGGAAGACAAAGTTATACCACACCTTCTTTAAAGACTTTCAGACATTTATCTGTCCCCCAGATCAAATGAATCCCCCCAGACCCACTGTTTTACCTGGATGGGTGGTCTCCCCACACTCCAGAAATGCCTGACTGCAGAGGTGCTTATTTGAGAACTGGTTTTTAATGTTTTTTTTTCCTAGGGTGATTAGTTCACTTAATTTTTTAAAAATTAATTTCCAGTCAACTTTGGTAATATATATTTTCCTTGACTTTGATCAACTTTCTTTTGTATTACAAGTTTATTTTTGAAAGACATAAAATTCTTTAAAAATTAAAAAAAAAAAAAAGAAAACAAGTATTTCCAACAATTCTGTATTCTCCTATTCAGGAAATAATTTAGTAGAACACTGCCATGAATGCTATCTGCAGCATCTCCTAACACACTGACAGTTTCTCTCTGAGACTAGAGGTGGGGAAACCATGCCTTCGTCAGTCCTCGATGGGGCTGGAAAGCCAATAAGCATCTGTCTAGTTACACAACAGTATATACATTTTCTCATTTGATAAATAAAGGAAATTGGAGAAAACATTTTAAATTAATAAGGTAACATTTTATAACCTGTCATATTACAAGCTTCTAAAAATCAAATACTGTTTATTTTTAACATCATCTAAGTGCATAGCACCATTTTTGGTACTTAGTTATTATACAATAAAAATCTTATAATAAATGTTATGAGACTTAATCTGCAATATTTATCATTCATTACAATCAACACACTTTCAAAAAGACTTTTTCTCTGTGAAATAGTATTATACTTGTGAAAATATCAATTTCCTAAAGATCAATTCTCTTAAAAACTTAGGACCCCACTCTACGTGGGAAGTATTCATTGGCTCTAGGTGATGGCCACGAGGTTAATATTTCAGTCTAGTGTAGCAAATCTTTGGATTTTTAAGAGAAGTCAGAAAACATTTAAAAAAATTTATTTATTTCAATTGGAGGCTAATTACTTGACAATATTGTAGTGGTTTTTGCCATACATTGACATGAATCAGCCATGGGTGTACATGTGTTCCCCATCCTGAACCCCCCTCCCACCTCCCTCCCCACCCCATCCCTCTGGGTCATCCCAGTACAGCAGCCCTGAGCACCCTGTCTTATGCATCAAACCTGGACTGGTGATCCATTTCACATATGATAATATACATGTTTCAATGCTATTTTCTCAAATCATCCTACCCTCTCCTTCTCCCACAGAGTCCAAAAGTCTGTTCTTTGCATCTGTGTCTCTTTTGCTGTCTCGCAACAGGGTCATTGTTACCATCTTTCTAAATTCCATGTATATGCACTAGTATACTGTATTGGTGTTTTTCTTTCTGACTTACTTCACTCTGTATAATAGGCTCCAGTTTCATCCACCTCATTAGAACTCATTCAAATGCATTCTTTTTAATAGTTGAGTAATATTCCATTGTGTATATGTACCACAGCTTTCTTATCCATTCGTCTGCTGATGGATATCTAGGTTGCTTCCATGTCCTAGCTGTTATAAACAGTGCTGCAATGAACATTGGGGTACATGTGTCTCTTTCAATTCTGGTTTCCTTGGTGTGTATGCCCAGAAGTGGGATTGCTGGGTCATATGGCAGTTCTATTTTCAGTTTTCTGAGGAATCTCCACACTGTTCTCTATGGTGGCTGTACTAGTTTGCATTCCCACCAACAGTGTAAGAGGGTTCCCTTTTCTCCACACCCTCTCCAGCATTGTTTGTAGACCTTTTGATAGCAGCCATTCTGACCAGCATGAGATGTAGGTACCTCATTGTGGTTTTGATTTGCATTTCTCTGATAATGAGTGATTTTAAGCATCTTTTCATGTGTTTGTCAGCCATCTGTATGTCTTCTTTGGAGAAATGTCTGTTCAGTTCTTTGGCCCATTTTTTGATTGGGTCATTTATTTTTCTGGTATTGAGCTGCAGGAGCTGCCTGTATATTTTTGAGACTAATTCTTTGTCAGTTGCTTCATTTGCTACTATTTTCTCCCATTCTGAAGGCTGTCTTTTCACCTTGCTTATAGTTTCCTTCATTGTGCAAAAGCTTTTAAGTTTAATTAGGCCCCATTTGTTTATTTTTGCTTTTATTTCCAATATTCTGGGAGGTGGGTCATAGAGGATCCTGCTGTGATTTATGTCGGGAGAGAGTTTTGCCTATGTGCTCCTCCAGGAGTTTAACAGTTTCTGGTCTTACGTTTAGATCTTTAATCTGTTTTGAGTTTATTTTTGTGTATGGTGTTAGAAAGTGTTCTAGTTTCATTCTTTTACAAGTGTTGACCAGTTTTCCCAGCACCACTTGTTAAAGAGATTGTCTTTTCTCCGTTGTATATTCTTGCCTCCTTTGTCGAAGATAAGGTGTCCACAGGTGCGTTGATTTATACCTGGCCTTTCTATTTTGTTCCATTGATCTGTATTTCTATCTTTGTGCCAATACCATACTGTCTTGATGACTGTAGCTTTGTAGTATATCCTGAAGTCAGGCAGGTTGATTCATCCAGTTCCATTCTTCTTTCTCAAGATTGCTTTGGCTATTTGAGGTTTTTTGTATTTCTATACAAATTGTGAAATTATTTGTTCTAGTTCTCTGAAAAACACCATTGTTAGCTTGATAGGGATTGCATTGAATCTATAGATTGCTTTGGGTAGTATACTCATTTTCACTATACTGATTCTTCTGATCCATGAACATGGTATATTTCTCCATTTATGTGTGTCATCTTTGATTTCTTTCATCAGTGTTTTATAGTTTTCTATATATAGGTCTTTTGTTTCTTTAGGTAGATTTATTCCTAAGTATTTTATTATTTTCATTGCAATGGTGAATGGAATTGTTTCCTTAATATCTCTTTCTGTTCTTGTTCTCTCATAGAAAATAAGACTTTTGTAAGAGATCTTCTCAATTATTAAATGCCAGAGACTAATTAGGAAAAAAAATTAAATTCCATGCAATGACAAGCATTTTTTTTTCTCTATGGCAACCTACTCCAGTACTCTTGCCTGGAAAATCCCACGGATGGAGCAGTCTGGCAGGGTCCATGGGGTAGTAAAGAGTTGAATATGACTGAGTGACTTCACTCACTATAATATACTTTAAAACTGAAAAGCATATTAAGGAAGCATATAAATATTTTTTAAAAAAACACATAAAAACTGAATAGCTCCAGGTGGGTAACTTACAACGTATCTACAGCCTAAATTCATCCCACAAGCTGAAGGAATTGTTAGCCTGCCCAAGTCTATGAAATATAATGGAAGCTATCTATATCTACCTTCAGAATCTGCCCTTTAAAAACATTTACTCTTATAAATGTAAATAATATGGAAATCATATTATTAAAAAGATTCCAAAGATAAATGCTTTCTGCTTGGTATTGGTTTTTATATATATAATATTATAAATATATATTATTAATATATATTATATCATACATATAATAGTTTCCACTTGGTTTTGTCCTTTGGTCAAAACTTAATAATCCTTTTTGTAAAATTATGGGTTTCTGTTCGTTTTCCATCTACGATATACAATCTAAAGATAGTAGAAACTGCAAGGTGAACTTTAAATAGTACCATACACTTAATTAGCTGCAATTCGGTTCAGTGGCACCATTAAAGAACTAACTTCATGGAAAGCATCATATCTGGATCCAATGAATCTCTTCAACAGCACAAAGAAATCAACCATATCCAATTATTTCTTCAATTCCAAATATAGAAAAGAGAAAGCTTAGGAGATATATTTTAATGGTCTGAATTTCAAGTATTTTTAAGCAAAAGATATTTTCTTTTGTCATGTCCATTATTTAACTTAAAATTTTTATTTTTTGACAATGAAATGGCTTAACTGCCTTTGTGTTATTTATTCATGTTTGAAAATAAAAGTGTTCATTAAACCTACTGTCAATGTGGGATAGTCAAGAGTCTATTTTTCATAAATCAACCTCCAGGTCAGTACTGAGGTTAACAGTTCGATCCAGAGTGAAACTTATGGCATGTAAGCACCAAGAGTTTGCTGCTCTTTCACCTCACTCACATGTTGGCTGGTGTGGTGAGCTCCACGGTTCTCCTCTGAGGCCCTCGTCATTTCAGTTAAACCAGGGATTCTCAAGCAGAGGACCACAGCATGGAATCTACTATGGAAGAACTGCAAATGTGAATCTGTAAAATAATTCTAGCCTTTCAAAGAACAACAGTTTAATGAGTGATTGCTATGTACCAGGCACTGGGGTGGGCATGTCTTATACAGATCAAATAATGTGTCCTGCAGACGTAGGTATGGAACATTTCCAACTGTATGTAAATGTCAGCATCGTGAATAAAATTCACATCCATCTAGAAGGGCTGCTGAGTTTACAATAGTTTCTGTCACTGTGTACTTTTTTCCAGGTGGTTTTAAAGAGAGTGTCCTTGTATCTTAAAAGATTGGTAAATACTACGTTAGCCTATTTTGCACATTGCCTGGATTTAACATCATCTGTTTTAATAATTCTATAATAAATGAGCCATACTTGTCTTTGTGTATAAAATGCACAAAATCTCTCACCTCTAGTCTAACATTCTCCGTATATTAGTTAAATGAAAGGAAGTAAAAGTTAAGTGTCCTCTACTTCATCTCCCTTCATAACAAACATTTAACCATAAAAGCCTCTTTACTTATTTGGATCTTGATCAGGAAACAGAAGTTTATTCTCTGTCTCAGGTACAAAACATATTCCCTTCTTGTTTCCTTTTATTTTGTCCTTAAAACTAATTTTAATATCCAAAATAAATTGGTAGAATATTTTGTGGTTTGTTCTCAAGCATGGAGTTTAGTGTGGGACACACCAAAAAAATTGCATTCCAGATTTTCAACCTTCACAAGAGTTAACTGGCCAAGCAGATGGCAACTCTACCATGACACAACTCCCTCCCTTTATTTTAAACATATCTAAGTACAATACCATTTAATTTTAACCTTCTGGTATTTGATACCTGGGCAAATCTCCATTATTATAAGACTTCAAGCCACTGTAATTTCCAATATTAACCAACCACTTACCATCTTTTAAAAGTTTCTGTAAGATTTTCACAAATATACTGTCTTTAGATACTTCAATTGGATCATCTTTACCATCTGAACTGGACCAGCTAGAAGACAAAACCACTGTGAGGAGAAAATGAAACCATGGCCATAATCTGAAATAAATGACTTGTTTGGTGTTGTGGATTTGTTTTGATATTTGTAGTGGCTTCCCTGGTGACTTAGAGGTAAAGAATCTGCCTCCAGTGCAGGATACTTTGGTTCAGTCCCTGGGTTGGTAAGATGCCCTGGAGAAGGAAATGGCTACCCACTCCAGTATTCTTGCCTGGGAAAATCCCATGGACAGAGGAGCTTAGTGAGCTACAGTCCATGGGGTTGCAAAAGAGTCAGACACAACTTAGCAACTAAATAACAACAGCAACAACAGGGGGTAAAGAATCTTGAATTTTGTGACACTATTGAAAATTGCTTCAAATTAGATATAACCAGTCTCTAGATATATCCAGTCTCTATATTAGATATAAGATGCTACAGTCAGGTAGCATGTATTTAATGTCCAAACCAAGTAGTAAGGTATTTTTCCCAAGAAAATTTTGTAAGTAAGTAACAAACCTAGTAATGACCCCAAAGTATGACTTTCCAGAGCACAGGCAATAGTTTAAATGTAGTTTAAATATACTATATTATTTTTTATAAAATGGCAAGCAGTGTCTGATGTAACCTAAATTTTCTTTATCTGGTTGAAATTATCTGCCACTGAAATACAAACCCACAGAACCATGCTCTGTAGTAATCAATGGCTACATCCCTCACACTTTGAAGCCAAGACAAGTAATTCCAGTCAAATGACACAATAAGCTTTTTACAACTGGGAAGGAGAACCCAATAGGCAGAGCTAGATGCTTCAGAGGATGACCTCCAAAACCATATCTGACAACAATTTAAACTATCTATGAGTGATCACAGGAAGAAATGCTTTAGTAAAAATAGTTTCACTGCAATTTCTCAAAGCCACAAGAAAAAGGAAAATTGAGTAGAGAAGGCCTTTAGCACTCAAGTCATGCTCTCTTTAAAATTCTTTTCTGGGCCAAAAATTTTTTTTTAAAAAGTATGGACTTCCCCTGGCGGTCCAGTAGTTAAAATTCCACACTTTCACTGCAGGGAGCGTGGGTTCGAGTCCTGCTTGGGGAACTAAGATGCTGTATCCTGTGCAGTGTGGCCAAAACTTTTAAAAAAATTCTTTTCCTGGGAAAAATCCATCTCTACAACTGATTATTCTCAGTCTCTCTTTGCCAATGAATCTTACCACCACCATTCCAGTGGACAGAACACCTTCTCTGCAGGGAGATTACAGTGAAAAAGAGGTCTCAGTAACTTAGAAGACAATATTGATTCTCAAGCTGTACTAATCTCTTATTAAAAAAAAAAGTAGCCTCAAGTCTTCCTATGAAGAACTAGCCCAACTTCTAAGAAAATAAGGAACATATATATTTCTATGCAAATTGACAGTGCAAAATTTAAAATCAAAAGTAGAGAATCATTACTCCAGTGGTCTTAAATCCTTAAGCAATTCCTTAATTACTGAATAAAAAAAATTAGAATTGCTAATGAAACTATTAACATTTTCATAATATATGTTACAATACAGTTAGGTTACAAAATGATTTGATGCATGATATCATAATTTTCCTAAAGAGTCCTTTCCCAAAATCATGTCTTAGATTCACACTATGGGAACTTACTTATCTCTCTGAAGAGCTTTGCAAAGGATTTCCAGTTTTAGATCATTTATATTTACATCTTCCTCCTTCACAGCAAAACAAAAAAAAATCCTCATTAAGTCCTGATTTTAAAAAATACATGCTTAAATTTTAGTTATGTCAGCTCCTAATACTATATAAATATTACTAAGCTTTACTTTAGAATTTTAAGAGTTTCCCTGGTAGCTCATCTGGTAAAGAATTGCCTGCAATTCAGGATATCCCAGTTCGATACCTGGGTCAGGAAGATCCCTGGGAGAAGGGAACAGCTACTCACTGCACTATTCTTGCCCAAAGAATTCCATGGACAGAGGAGCCTGGCAAATTTCCTTTTCTGTAAGATGTTAAAGCTGACTCCAGAGAGTAAGACTATCAATAATTTTATGTGACATTGTTTCCAATTATTCTGAGATAACCTGATTTTATCAGGAAGCAGGAGAGAGTCAAGATTTTAAACAGAGTAACATAAAAATCAACATATTATGTCTTTATAATCTACCAAACTACTCGCAGCTGCAGGGCTGACTATTTACCCTACAAAATTATCATTACAATCTTTTTTTTCAAAGCAGGCTGAGAAACAGCTTCTCTTAGGGTGACTACTATGAAGAATAAATTGACAAAGCAGCCTATCAGTTTGAGAAACTAACAATGATTCATTAAATACAAGAGAAAAAAATGTCAGGACCTTGAAAAGCAGTTTTTATTTTTGCAGAGAAAAAGATACCTGGAAATGTGTGAGAATTATCAGGCGGTGAGCTCTTTTGACAGCTTTTCTAAAGACTTTTATGTACTCCAAGAGTTACAGGTAGCTGAACCAGGTAGTCTTTTAAAATTAAGACATTTTCAAGATGTATTTAGTTCTTCAGAAAACTATACACAAATTGTGATCCTTACCTGAGATTATCAAGTGACTTTACATACCTCATCAATATATTCCAGCAAGTCCAAAGCCTTCTTGAAATCATACTCATTAGCTCTTCTGTTTTCTTCACAGATATACAGCTGTAGCAAGTTAAAACAAAGGGAGAATTATTGTAACTCATCCTATAAACAAGACTAGAGAGATTTACAGAGAAGTTACCACATTTACAGGTATCTTTATAGAAAAGAACAGTGGCACATTTGGAAATTAAACTCCATCTACCTCACAACAAACTGTCTTTTAAAATACACCTATGTTCATTCAGTAATTAACTTGTATAAGTTAAGTAATTAACTTGTAAAATATCAGTAAATTGCTCTTGCATTTTTAAAGTTGGCAATAATGCTTTTGAAATGTTCTCATTCAATAGTTTTTTGAACACTGAGACTGATGAGAAAGCATGAAGTTGGTCCACAGTTTACTCAGAAGACAAGAAAACACACCAACATGTTACCAACAGTTATCCCTGGCTAGTTAGATCACAGCTAACTATACAATCACTAATGTCCTGTTCACGTTATAAATTTCCTACTAATAACACTGCTTTTTAAAATACTGCACAAAATTCTTTAACAGCAAAGACAATATTCAAACCATTTCAGAAAAAAGCTACCCACTTGTTGTCATTGTGTTACAACACTTTAAACAATATTTTATTTGTTTCTGAACCTCTTTTCTTCCCCAGTGTCAACATCTTTGAAATTGGGATGCAGTACTAAAATTGATAATGTACCAGAGTAAAGCTGGTAGAACTTTTTCCATCTTAACAGTATATAAAACAATGGTGTTACAGGCAACAGTTCCTCAGGTTTTTAAATCAGATATGTTCTTATCAGGAGAAGCTGCTGTGAGCTCAATGTGAGCTCAATAGGAAATCTGTTATTAATACTAACAATGGCTAAAATACCAAAGTTTTTGAATTGCTTGCTTCCTTAGTAACATAATTAGCGTAAACTCAAGGTGACTGTAAGACACTGCTCTTACATTTGAAATACTTTCTTGAAAGGAAAAGAGAGAAGAACTAAGGGTGCAGCTGTATGCAATAAAACTGCCTTATTCTGGGCTGCAGCCCCTAATCTAGCTACGTCCTCAGGAGCCTGCTATGCTGCAGAGCAATGATGCAGACGGCACTTAGAAGCTGCGCAAATCCAGTTCCTAAAACCATCTTTCTTTTAAAGAACAGGAACTATATGTCTTCATACACATCTGTCTTGTGCTAGAAAAGCACAATGGAAGCAACGTCTTCTGGCCACCTGGATAAGCATCTTGAAGGACAGACAGAGAGCTGCTGGGGGCTGGTCCTCCGCCTTCTGCTAACTGGCACCCTGCTCCTAAGCATCTCTGACGCCTGACTCCAGAGAACAGTGACCAGGAAAACAGGAAATGGAGATGTCTACTCTGAAAGACTGTACTAAGGGGCCACAGAAACACAGGCTGCTCTGAGACTAAGATGGTGTGGGCATGTGAAAAGCTCATACGGCAATGAGTTGCGATGCGGTCAGCACAGGCATGGCACTGAGACTCAGCTGTTTCTCGGCTAGCAGCTGTTCAGGCAGTGTCTCCTGGTGCAGCAGAAAGCGCTCTTGCTCAGCCATTTCTAGAAGACAACACAGGGAGAGGTATGAACTTCACTTTTGCTCTGTCATCAACAAACATAAATTTAAAAAGAAAAAGGAACAGCTCTGAAGGTAATCCCATCACTATTCAACGATCTGAGAATGTTATTAATTCTGCTTATTCTTGATTCCCAACTATGTTACAAATACTCATTGTCTTATCCAAGTCATATGGATTGTCCCAGCAACCAGAAATATCAGGGAGAGAAGAGCTAAGAAAACAAACCTGATCGAAGTGACTGTAGAGCAGATGGCAATTTCAGAGATAGAAGTCCCCCAAATCTGAAGTGTCTGTTTTAAGGTCACTCTGAAAGTACTTCTTTTTACCTTATGAGAGTGTCTCGAATAATCTTGTTCACTAAGGGACATGATGAGAACTTTCCAGGAGAACCCCACCCAGAGGACTGCACCAATCCTATTACCCAGCAATGGTTATTTATCTCCATATGATGAGGTAACAGGGTCTTGGGTCTGCATAAACCATCATGACCTGGCTTCACCCATGAGAACAAGCTGGGTTGCAGGAAAAAAGGGCCGAGAACTGTTTGCTAACAGCAGTTACAGCAAAATGGAACGACCAAAGCACAGATATGCTCATTTAAATACTGGCATCATTCCATATGATCCCAATCTTGTAAAAACTAAATGGAATTGTTTTGTGCAACTTCTATACCTAAGAAAACAGACTGGAAGTATACAGAAAAAAGTAACAGTAGTTATCTCTAGGGTAGAGGGATTATATTATTCTATTATTTTCTTGTTGTTATTTTTCTATACTTTACAAATTTCCATAAGGAAATTTTTATATAACCAATATAAAGTTACCTTTAAAAAATCTATTCCCTTCAACTAGACATAATGTGATAATAGTCTGCAGGAAATTATTGAGGCTTTAAAATAATCTCATTGTACTAAGAAAGCGAAAGCTAAGAAGAAGCGATCAGATGCAAAACAATAGCCAGATGTAAGCGGGAAAAACAGAAGCAAAACCTTGTGTTAAAATGTTTTGACTAGGGACTTCCCTGCTGGTCCAGGGGTTGGGAGTCCACCTGTTAATGCAGGGGACATGGGTTTGATCCTTGGTCCAGGATTCTACACGCTGCAGCCCGTGCACCACGAGTGCTAGAACCTGCATACCCTAGAGCCCGTGCTTCACAACAAGAGATGCTTCCATAATGAGGAGCCTGGGCACGGCAATTAGAGAGTAGCTCCCACTCACTGCAACTAGAGGAAGCTTGCATGCAGCAACAAAGACCCAGCACAGCCAAAAATAATAAAAATAAATTAAAAAAAAATTTTTTTACTATTTTGATTAACATGCTCTCTCTCTGACAGGTTAAAATATGGCTCCCCCTGCAGACTACTAACCAGCCTTGCAAAACATATACACACTTCTCTAGAACAACAGGCACTATTAGCATTTAAAAATAAAAGACAGTGAAAAATAATTTCAGTAATAAAAGTTAAATGCTAATCCTATGATTTGAGTACTCAATTTTACAAAAAGTAGAACATTTTTCTCAAGGAACACCCAGTGTCTCTGATTGTTAGAACTACGCATTTTGTAGTGTACCCTGGGTCACTACTATGGGCTTCCCTCATAGCTCAGTTGGTAAAGAACCTGCCTGCAATGCGGGAGACCTGAGTTGGGAAAATCCCCTGGAGAATGGAACGACTACCCACTCCAGTATTCTGGCCTGGAGAATTCCATGGACTCTATAGTCTATGGGTTGCAAGGAGTCGACACAACTGAGCAACTTTCACTTTCACTTTCTTTCCGGGTCACAAAGCTAAGTCAGTTGAAAAAAACATGTAAAACAAGATTGGTCTAATTTCTGTCCAGATTCCTTCCACTACATCTACTCCTTGGAGGAAGAAAGTGACAGCAGTGGAATGTGAACCCAGACCCCAGACAGACTACTGTCGCCAATACCCCTATTTACATAGACTTCACCCTGAACCACATGGCAAGACACCTCCCCGAAGTATGGGATTAGGTATATTCACGCTATCTGGGGCGATACTGCTATTAGGACTTTTCAGGGGACAGCCAAGAAATACATTCAGAGAACAACCATGACTCCATGTGATACATAAAATTCAAATGCAATAATACAGGGTTCTTCCTCATCTTCCTTCTATATTTATACCTCCATTCCCTTTGGTTCTCAAAAATAATATTCTCAATCATTTTCTCAGTCTACAATATAGAGACTGTGAAACAGAGTAGTTTCACTACTATGACGTCGACAATTTTTGAATTCTGAAATCAAGAGCTTCAGAATTACCACCACCTACAGCAAACCCACTGAAGAAACGTCATGTTTCTTGGCATGGCCGTTCGTTCTTAGCATGCGATTTGCTAAGCGTGTAATCAGAGTACTCTGTCCAAATCATTTGAATTTATTCTTTAGGAATTCTTATTTAAAGCACAAACTACTTTTCTATAAAAAGAGAATCCTAATTATATAGCTGAATAATTGTCTAAGAACACTGAATAGAAAGGGGATGCCTCCTGTCTCTAGAGGATCCCATTAACTGATAACAGGAATGCATTCTAAGATTACACTGACAGCATGACTGACTTGTACGTCTTCTTGTTTAAATACTGCCTTTTACCTTCAATTTTTTCTTGCAGTGTATCTTCTGAAAAGTCTGAAGCTAATGCCGCCAATTTACTCAAGCCAAGAAGGGTTTTTTTCTTTGCAAAGTAACGAGTTTCCCTATTTGCCAAACCCAGAAGTGTTGCATGAGCCTACAATAACAAAATACGAAAATTGTGGTAAAATTCTCAGTATTAATTCAAGTTAAAATAATGATTAAGTAAAACCCAAACTTGGTTTCCCCCCCTCAAGCTATATCAATGAAAGATCAAGTCACTATTAGCAAAACTTAAAACAGATCAGCAGCATACTTTGAGAGTAATTACACAATGAAATATCAGCCACTCACACTAGTCACTGGGAAAAGAGACATGTATAAAACGTTTGCTCTATAATAATTATATGTTCACTACAACATCTTGTCAACGAGAAACTTGAATTTATTTAATGTTTTTACTGATAATTTGAACATTTCTATTATAAGAAAATACTCATTACAAAAAACGGCCAATGACTGCTATTTATGTGTTGAAGTTTTGTGCTTTATTTTATTGTAATAACAGTCAAATTAGAATAGGATCCATTTCTTTTAACTGAGATATAACAAGTAACGGCAATACCATCATAAATGAAAAATACTTTTATCAAATTATGTGAGAGAAAGATACACATTTAAAAAAAATCTGTAGTATTTAACTCCAAAAAAACACTAGCTACAAACTAAATAAAAAATCACCTAAATCTGATCCATACAACTGAAACCTTACCTTTTCTAATTCTTGGCTGTTAATTTCGTGTAACCAGCTGAGATGTTCATGAGCTTGTAAAAAATTCGCCAACTGTCCATGCTGAGAAATGGGCTGAGATAATAATTTGCCTCGCTTTCCTTTCTCCAGATACCAACGAAAGAGAAAGTCTGAAAAATTCTGTAAAGAATAAAGCAAGAATCCAACAGTATTTAGTAATACAGTTTCAAAAAATACATTTCTGATGAAAAAGCATTAAGTTTTTCCCCAAAGGTCTTAGACTCCAGCATGGAAATCCTGTTTTTAAACACCAAGTTCCTAATTGTAGGGTCCTCAAATGACTTCATCTGACAAAGGAGGACATTCAGATTCAGAATAGGGATCTTGCTCAACATCACCCAGAATCTAGATGTGCTCTGTCCAATATGGTAGTCAGTGCTCACATGCAGCTGTTTAAACTTGATCTAAAATGCAAAAATCAATTCCTCAGAGACATCAGTCACATTTCAAGTACTCAAAAGGCCATCTGTGGCCGGAGACTCCCATTTTGGACAGCACACATGAGCAAGATCTCATTACCAGGAAGGTCTACTGGACACTGCTGGGACTCCATCCTTCCAGGATGAAAGATTCCAGGGTAGAACTGTGTGCCAGGCATTGATGTGACTGGCATGATAAATCAGAATTTAGCAAGGCTCCAACTGCCCAGGCAATTTCCATTCCAGGGCATTTGCTGGATCTGGTAGTAAGAGTAAGAGGTTGGGCTGGAAAGGAAGACAAGTGTCCTGCAGACTCACACATTACTTACAAGATGCTTCCACAAAAGGGGGAATTCTACAACGAACCACCAGTCCCATTAGACATTTGAAACCAATTAATTCATTGGAATGGATGAATGTAACAGAGGCAGCAATCAAGCCCTGGCCTACCTCTATTCTTGATGAATTGAGTGATCTGCCTTTCATTTTATCTGCCTTCCAGGGGGAAAAACCAGTACTGATTTCCATCTTTATGGTTCACACACACAAAGTCCAAAATACAAACTTAAAAATTGTTAGATATAGGAAGCAGAAAAATATGAATATGTAGACAACAGAAGCAAACTTAAGAATGATCATTTTGGAATGAGCACAAAAGGACTTTAACTAGTAAACAAATTTTTTTTTTAAAAGTAAAAGAAACAAAGTAGAATGCATGGAAAATGTTAACAGAGAATAAGAATCCTTAAAAAGAATACAAATTATGATAAGCACAAAGCACTTACTTTAGCACTATTATGAAATACAAGATAAGTCAGGTCCAGAAATCAGGTAGTGATCAAATAAGTTATATCCAGTCTATGAAATACCATAACACCATTTAAAATGTGGTTGTGTGATATTCAATGATATGGACAAATGTCTGTTATGTATTAAGTGAAATAAGCAGTTAATAAAACATGCTTCATAGATTAAAAAGACTATAAACCAAATGTTTAAAAAAGAGTTCTCTCTGGTGGCAGAATTATGAATGATTTTTTTATCTTCTTTTTTCTTTATGGTGGTTTCCTGAATTTTATACAATGTTATGTTTATAAAAAATCAGTACATAAAGATCAACTGGCTAAATAAACTGGCTTTAAGGAACAACTTAAATTTACATAGTGTCATAATGGGAACTTAAAAAAAGGAAGCATGATGTCAAAGAAGGAAAACAAGAGTCTTAGGTAAATAGGAATTTGAGCTCTCTTAACAGTAGCATCCTATGCTCCCAAGATCGTCCATTCAAACTGTGGAACTCTACCAATATTACTACACCTAAGTACTTTGAAAATATAAAAATAGAAATAAAAGTCTTGACATATTTTTCAAAGGTCAAAGAATCCTTCTGTAATATTTATATATAAAAAATTGTCTGACAATTTACAAAGAAACATAATGTACAAATTAGTATCCAGTAAACTGCAAAAGGACTGCATCACCTTCCAAAAACTCCAAGTAAGAACTTCCCTGGTGGTACTATGGTTGAGAATCTGCCTGCCAGTGAAGGGGGTATGGGTTCAATCTCTGATTTGTGAAGATTCCACATGCCATGAATCAACTAAGCCCAAGTGTCACAACTGAGCCTGTGCTCTAGGGCCCAAAACCTGCAACTACTGAAGCCCATGTGCCTAGGGTCTGTGCTCTGCGAGAAGAGAAGCCACTGCAAGGAGACACCACAGGCTGCAACCAAGAGTAGTTCCCACTCACCGCAGCTGGAGAAAGCCTGTATGCAGCAACCGAGACCCAGTGCAACCAAAAATAAGTAATTAATAAAATTACACATATTAAAAAAAAAAAACTAAGTAAGATGTAAAATGGTAAAGCCTTCTTACAGGATCCACTGCCTACACCCCTGTGCTCATTACCTGATCAGCAAACTGGGTCATGTAGCGCTGCAGTCTGGTCTGGTTGTCAGTCTGCTCACACATTTGTACCAAGATATCAAAGTCACAGTATTTTTCTGCCAATGAAGCAGCCCATGGGTACTGGCCTAGTGTGACTGTGGGAATGAGAACAGATGGAAAAAAAATCCTGTTAGCGAAAACTTAGTACGTAATAAAAAATAATATTCCTTGAAATTTTGCCTTTATTCCTGTTACATACTAAAAGTAATTAATGGAAAGCTTTCTAGTTATTGGCACTTAGTTTCATAATCCATATAAACTCACTAAAGATGTATATTCAGCCCTTCCTTCATCACTGCCCACCTAAGATGCTACTCCCCTGCTTCATGGAGCAAGACAAGCTCCTCCTCTGAGTCTTGGCTGTGACAGTCTGGCTGCATCCTCTGCTGCAGCCTCATCACCCATCCACACCCTCGAATGGCCCTCATCTGCTCTGCCCGGTGGTCGAGCCATTCCTATGAAGGTCTCAGACCATAACAAGTTCTTTGAGGGCAGTCTCCACACACGGATAATTTACTCCTTTGTAAATCATCTTCAGCATTGTGTAGGATACTTTTACCAGGAAGTAATGACAATAAGGCCGAAGAGATGAACACAGAAAGCCATACATATGAAGAGTTGCTTAAGTTCTGACCTACAACTGGGTTAACAATGTTGTATTGAAAACCACTGCCTGAATGATCTGACTCCTCCATTCATTCTGTAGACTTAAAGACCCACAGCCCTCACTATTAAATATCATGCACTTACGAAGCGGAGATAAGAGATCTGATCTTTTCTGTACATATTCCATTTCCAGATTGCTATATCTTTCTTGATCATTGGATTTGTCCACAGACTTGAGCTGAGAAACATAACCATCCAGGAAGCCATCAATCAGTGCTACTAAATGCTCTGTTAGAACGTTTCGGAGGTTGCTGTCTGCCTGAGGATAAACCATCTTCAGGACAGTCCTATGCTGGCGCACTATTGCTGTTCGGATGCCAGCAGGACCGCTGGTTGCTGTGAAATCACACAAAATAAAAGGACATGTAAGGGTTCCATAACGGCTACAGAGAAGACCAACTGCCTAAAAATTACATCCTGTCACCTTTGATGGAAAAAGAAATCAAACAGGGGGTCAGTAGACACTTGTCTATGTACTGCTCAAAACCATCTTCTCTATGGAGGCGGCCTCGGCAAAGTCAAGTAAACCTGACTCTTCTTCCTTCTAAATTCCTTTAAAGCTACTCCACTTCTGTGTGTTAAATTAACATAAAATATAGTCACTACTTTCAGGGCCTGCTTCTGTGAATAACTATACATACTAAAACCTAGTAGATGCACAAGTATCAGTTAAAAAATTAAGCTATAGAGACAGCTGCAAATTATTTCAAAGGAATAAAATGATTTTTTATAAGAACTGCTCATTTTGGAGATGTCACTTATATTATTTTTTATTTCACTTACAAACTTGTACTAGGAGAATAATATGACTTCCTAAAATAACAGACCATTAGAAATATATTTTGGGACATCCTAGTGGTTAAGAATTCACCTGCTAAGGCAGGGACACAGGTTCAATCCCTGGTCTAGGAAGATTCCACATGCCACAGAGCAACAGCCCACATGCCACTACCACTAAGCCCACATGCGGCAGCTGCTGAAGCCTGTGCGCCTAGAGCCCGTGCTCCACAATGGGAGAAGCCAGTAAACAGCAATGGGGAGCTCTGCTCGCCACAACCGAGAAGAGCCCTGTGTCCTTGTGTGCAACAAAGAACCAGTGCAACCAAAAAAAAGAAAAACATATATAAACTGAACAACTGCTAATGAATCTGAAAACTGGGATCAGTGCTTGCAATCTCACCTGTCCATGGAACATACTCAGGTTCTTTATCCCCTGGCTCTTCTCTTTTATACAAGGAGTTTCTATTTTGTCGATAGTGACTAGCAGCTTGCAGCATGTCCTGGAAAACGAAATGTGTTATCACATGCAGGAAGTGAGGGATCCCAGGATCTCTGAGATTATCTGAAACATCAACTTGTATTATTACAAAACATTACTCAGCACAGGCCTGTAGGATTACTTTTTGATTCTTTCTGCATTTGAAATTTGTTTTACTCCACAATCTAACTTCAATTATAGAAAATTATGGTAACCAAAGTAGGAAAATCATCACTATAATGTCCATGAGGTAAAATTAAATGGAATGTTTTAAGTAAGCTTTTGAGTAATTAAAAAAGAGAAACTTATTTGTTGTTGCTCAGCTGCTAAGTGGTGTCTGACAATTATTTAGATAATTACAATAAAATTGATACATTTACAATGATATATATGTCCTTCTCCAAAATAAAAGGCTTATTCTACCAAACAGAAACTTTTAATATGCAAAAGGCACACACTCAAAATGTCTGCTGACTGACTGATAAAATTACTGATGTTTTCCTAACTTTTTGGAATTAACTAATGGCTAACCCATTATGGATTGCTGGTGATGCAGAATAGGAATATGGAATCTCCTCTGTCCACGGTCTGGGCTTTGATTTGCTAGAATCTTCATATGTTTGTACCTTGAGAATATTGTTCACATTGATCACCACTTCCGCCCACTCAACTGATTCCATGGATGTGTCCTTCAAGACTTGTTCCTCATGCTCCAGTAAACACTCACAGATGGTATCTACCTGGGACACCTGCAGAGGACACAGACCGCACCCACTAGTAAGAGAAATCATGCTGACAGGTGACAATCACAACTGCCTGGAGTCAACCCAGCAGGCTTTTTTCACTAAGTTACATCCTCTGCTTAGTAGTCAGGGGTGTAGTCAGTGACAAAAACAAATTTCAAAACCAAGGAAAGCTAGACTCTCCTAACTTTTAAAAGGTAGTGAGCCCAAATAACAGTCTGATAAATAAGCAAATTCTGAACTGTTAGCAGGTAGACTTATTTAAATATCAAGTAACTGAAATATTTGTTTATTAGAGTTATGAAGGCTCAATGCCACCTTTAAATAGTATTAGGTTACAAATAATGTCACATTACAATGTAAGACACTAAACTACTGAATTAAACAAATGAACCGACGGATTAAAATAGTGATTCAACTGGCTAATGAACTGGCTAATTTCTTTCTTTGAGGAATTTACTTTCTTTAGACATAATAGAAATGTTTGTAGAATAGTAGTAGCTACATAGAAACTAAATATATAACGTGTAACTGTTCTTTTCTTTTTTATCATTATTAACACATATTAACACATAAAGGTAACTGAGGAAAAATGTTAAGCATGGAAACATTTGCTTCCAGTTTCAGCTCACAGTTAAGCTTTCACCCCCCTTTATTTATCAAGTGGATATCTGCTTGGTAGTTAGAGTTGGCATAGCATTGGGCACGCAAATATAAGAAGAAATGGAAATCAGATTCGCTGCCCTCAAGAAGCTTACTAACCAGCTGAAGGAACAAGACAAACACATGCACAATGCAGCCCAAATAAAATCACTGTCTTGCAAATCTTATTCTTCCTTTAGTGTTTCTGATGTCACTCAAAGTCATCCTAACAGCCCGAGCAAGACACCTCCGGCACACTGAATTTGTGAGAGTTTTTTACACTGTTACTGTGAGAAAGATAATGAAAGCAAATGTGACATAAAGGCAGAAAGTAACATAAAAGCAAATAAAATGCCAAAACATTTGCTAAATACCCTATCACATGTTATATATTCAGTGGTTTCAAACACTGCTCATAAGCTGTACCAACACAGTTGGAAGGCCTGTTCTGAAGCTATGAACCCGCTTTTTAAAGCCCCAGGAGATGTGGGGCCCCTTCCCAGACTGGAGGCAAGGTGGAGGGTGCATCTTCAAGCAGCGTCTGCATTATTTTATCTTTTACCTGGACTGCAAGATCACATTGCCCACCAATTAGAGCCTGACTTGGGTTAACCAGTCTCTTAAAATGCTAATACCTGTTTGTAAAGTAATTTAGCACTTCCAAGTGGATGGACAGGTAAAAAGAAAAAAACTTGATACGTAGTAAACTTATGTGTTCCTTCTTCAGTTCTCTTGAATTCTCTTTTTTTGTTATGATTATGCCTTGTGGGAGGACCTTTAGAACTTTACCCAAAGACCAGTAAATCCAAAGAGAAGTGAAGATAAATGGTAATGTAAACAATCTTAACTACTATCATTTTCTACAGGGAGCGCTCTTTTGAGAAAGCAATCATATTTTAGTTTTTTTCTCCTGTCATGTCCTACGCTGCTACTCATCGATTATGCATCCATCTAACTGATAAGTCTCAGACTCTTAGTTTTTTGCCCAGTTAACTGGGAAAGTTAAACACACTCAATTAACCAGTAAGTTCTGTATTTTGATCTAAAAGTAGAAAAAGGAATCAGGCTCTTATTCAATTCAATCTGTCATTAATCATGAAAAAAAAAACCCTTTGTTTTATCATGTAAAATTATGTATGAATAAAGACAAAAAGGTGGAGAAGGAAATGGCAACCCACTCCACTATTCTTGCCTGGAGAATCCCATGGATGGAGGAACCTGGTGGGCTACAGTCTGGGGTTGGACATGACTGAAGCAGCTTAACACACAGCACATCCTAGATGCTAGCATTGATTACCAAAGCTTAATTTCCATTTTCTATAGTTCAAAATCTTAAAATCCAGAGGATTAAATTATTTAATTTATTTTACTTCTGTTTACTTTCTCTGGTGACAATTCTGTCATGCCTTAAATAGGAAGATGTCCAATTCTGGCTAATTTACCACTGTTACACTTCTCTTATCCAAGTCCACCTAAATAGTGCTGTCCCTTCAGAATATTATGAACATAAGTGATCTGATAATTTGTTGAATTACTGAGTGCACCTTCCCAATAAAACAGAAACTGGTCAGGCGCACTGTTTCTGCCTGACCTGAGCTGAACTATGCCCACAAGCCACTCTCCCTCCCCTCACAACTGAAGATCTGTTCAAATGCACCAACCCTGCCATGTGGCGAAGGCAGGAAAGGACAATTAGGACATTGTATCTGGAGGACAAATCAACCTTCTCCTGTCCCATCCTCAGTGGGGTGTGAGCAGCAGTTATGGGACATGTGATGTCCTGTGATGCCACAGGACCCGGAACTACCTCCTCTTTGGTGATTATACTTTAAAAAATGACCTTGTTTTGTGTATTTTTTCTGTAACATATTTTCAGTGCATCTTTTTCCTTATTAAATCCAATATTCAAATAAAATGGTGAACATGGGGAAAAAAAGACAAAAAGGGACACAAAAAATGACAATAGTTTGGTTAGATAATGAAATCTGAGGTGAATTGTCTTTCTTTAGTTCAGATTTCAAGCATACTTCCTTGATTAAAAAACAAAATAAAACAGAAAAGTGTTTTGCCTTACATTCCCTAGAAAACAAACCCAAATATATAAAAATGATGTCTTCTTCAAACTAGAAACATTTATGGAGTCAACAGATCTGAACATAGTTCACTGTCAAATTATTTTCAGGTTACAGTACATCAAATATTTAGAACAAAAGAGACTCTTGGCAGAGGCTACTAGTTGCTAGATTATAGCTAAATTGTAGGAGCAAGGAAACAAAATTAGAAGCATCAAACAGAGAAGTTTCCCAAATGCAAAAAACAATTCCACATTCCACAGAGTTGGGGGAAGGCTAGCACTGTTTCTAAACTCAGGTAATGCCACAAAGGTAGGAGGGGCAGTTCCAGGGAAGGACTATGAACTCCAGAAGCAACCTATTAGATGCCCAAAACACTGCTGCAGGTGGCTCTGAGCAGGGTCTGTGGTCCCCACTGAGACAAGTGGCCCTTGGGTCATGGTATGAGGGCTTACTCATGGAGACGGGAAGGCTGCCCCGTCCTTCACAAGGCTGCGAGGGGTCACTCAGGCACCAGAGCTGTGGGCTGATTTCCAGCACTTTCATCTCTTCTCCCTCCCAAGTTTACAGTAGGTTTTCCTTTTCTCTGAAAATAAATCTGACTTTAAAATTGAAGTGGAAAAAATAAAAAATAAAAGTGAAGTGGAGGGCCTTCCCAGGTGGTGCAGTGGTTAAGACTTTGCCTGCCAATGGAAGGGACAAGGTCGATCCCTGGTCCAGGAGGATTCCACAGGCCATGGGGCAACTACTGAAGCCCTCGCTCCTAGCAGCTGTGCTCCATAACAAGAAAAAGCTCACACACAGCAATGAAGACTCAGCACAGTAAAAAATAAATACAAATTTTTAAAAAAAGACACAGAGCAGGATCCTAGCAGGCAGCCGAGAAGAGTTTAGAGAAGGGACTGTCTACGAAGCTGTGTGCAAGAGTAAGTGCACCCGGACAGGATGGCGTAGCCTCGGGCTACAATCGGGGGGAGCCACGGCTGGCTCCAGGCCTGGAGGGGCGCTGAGGTGGAGCAGCTGCTGGACGTACACAGAGGGCAGCCCAAGAGGAGGCCATCCAATAGCAGGCACAGCAGACAGGCAGATGCAGCAAGGGAGGAAGGTGGGGACAAGGCTCCATCACAGACCAACAGGAACGGAGGGGCCGGGGAGCCCACTGTGGAGATGTCCCCCGGGGGGACAAGAGGGCTGTGCAGAAACACAAGGAAACATCAGACACGTCGTCAGCTTCCCCAGCTCTCACCCACAAGGAGTGATCAGTGAGTGACGCTTCTGAGTGATAATTTACCCAGAAAACATGGAGTTCAACACAAAACTCAACGAGATCTTCTGTCCTCGGCGCTCTCCTTGCTGGGGGTCCATTCAGTAAATGGCAATGCTCCAGAGTCATGCTAAGGGGAGGGCGCTCAGCTCACCTCTCTGAAGAAGACGTCTGCGGGGGTCAGGCTGGACGGGACGTCACAGTCCCTCTTGTTCAAAGCCATCAGGATCGCTGTGTTCATGAGGTCAGGAAGCCTTGAGTGGTGGTTCTTGAGGATGATGGCAGCAGCCAGCTTCTCGGCATGCTCACAGAGCAGCAGCCGTGTGGCCATCGGCGTCCCTCTCACTGGAAAAGTGCCGAGGCGTCTAAAGAGGCCGACCTGTGGAAAGACGAACACGTGTTCTTAGAGAGGATTCAAAGTAAAACACAGGAGGATGCCGTCGTATCTCCACCAGAAGCACACTGGGCACAGAGAGGCTGGCCCCAGTCTTCCCCAGAAAGATCTCCGGCTGCTGTCTTTGAGGCTGTTACACACATAGGCACACACACAACCAGCCAGGGCAACTTACACCTGTAAGGAAGCATAGGTGCTTCTTTTCTAAGATTACAGTGACCCCAGAGATTCTGTCAACTACTGTTGTCTCTGCCTTACTCCTCAAATTATTGTTTATGGATATCAAAGAATTATAAAATTGTTCTTTTCTACCTACATTAATCAACCTCCCCTCAACTCCAGACCTTTGGAACTAGAAACTCAGCAGTCTTCAAGTTCCAGAACGCTGAAGCCAGGGGGAGGATGGGGTCTCTAACCCTCTGCATCAGCTGCCTCTTTACTTGATGCCCATTTCTGCCTCGAGAGGGAGAGTTTATATTTAAAACTATTTCTGTAGATACAAGTATGTAGTTGTACATTTTCCCTGATCACTAATGCAAATCTTTCAATGAAATAAGCTCCAAATATTAAAGGAAATATAGAGGCGTAGGCAGAGTGGGACTTTAAGATCTGGATAGACATTCCTTTGCAACAGACACTGCTGCCAGCAGCTGTGTGACTCCACAAGGTCTGAGTCCAGGGAGGCTGTGACAAGAGATGCTGCAACAGCTCCAGCTCCACGGCTCCCACCCCCCAGGAACTACGAGTTTCCTTAGGGTGGCATGTGAGGGCCACGGACTCTCCCATCCCAACAAGCCCACCCTCTGGCAACATGACCTTGCCACTTCTCCCATCTAGAAGCAGAATCAATTTCCCAATCCCTTTCATCTGGCCTAGCCTTGTGACTTATTTCAATCAATGGCACTTTGGTGGAAATGACAATATGTGATGTCTGAAGCCTACAGCCTTAAGTTCACCTCCTCAGAGTGCTCCCTGGAGGAGAGCACTGGCATAGGAGGCCAGTCCAGCCGAGAGGAGGATGAGACTAGGTAGGGGGGAACCAAGAGGCCCCAGCAGATTGGACAGCACTGCCTGCCAGTCAGGCAAGACACCCGGGGACGTGCCAGCTCAGTCAGCCAACCCCAAATGTGGTTCAAGGAGGGGGCCCAGGGGAAGTCAGCAGGACTACCCGTCAAACCCACTGAGTTGTTTCAACTTAGTACATCCTGGGGTGTTTGTTTTGTATTAATAGTTAAGTGATATACTTAACAATTACATCAGGAGAAAATGTGTTTTTTCCCCATTGATCTGTAGCCCACCTAAAATACTTAGAAAAGGAAGAATTCAATGAATAAATAAAGTTGTCTTGTCACGACAATAAGAGTAGACAGGAGCCAACCCGTGCATTAAAATTGAAGCAGTATGCAGGATTAGAAACCACCAAGACATTTCTGGAATAGTCTAGAATCACACTGTCCAAAAAGGTAGCCACTATCCAACAAAGTGGTGACTGAAATGTTAGCCAATTAAAAAAAAAAAACTTCAGTCCCTCAGCTGCAGCGGCAATTCCAGCTCCTCAGCAGTTGCTGGGGATGGAGGCTGCCAGGATGGGCAGCCAGGACACAGGCCAGTCTACCGCCACAGACTGCTCTGTTACACGGCACTGGCTTCAGTCTTTTTAACAGAGGCATTTCTAATTTGGGAGAAAAACACAGAAAATGGGAATAATCTAACTCCTCTGGATTATGCCTGGGATAAAACTGATCAACAAGACAAGGATGGGTGATTTTATGTAACAACTCTGTCTAGCAACAAAAACACTGTCTAATTTTAGGCATGATATAAATGGGAATTTCCTTATCCCTTAAAAAAAAGGGATACTTTAAATGAGTACTTGATGCTAATGGCACGGCGAAATTAAACATCTACGTATTAGAAAAACCTGTCATCACCTTCAGAGTCTTCACTGTCTAATGATACAAAATCAACTCAGGAAAACCTAAGTTTTAAAAAGTACACAGTACATCTGAATGAAAAGCAGGGTGTTACAAAATGTAACAAGAAAAGTTAAAATAACATTTTTGCTGCTGCTGCTGCTGCTAAGTCACTACTGCTGCTTCAGTCTTATCCGACTGTGTGCGACCACAGAGACAGCAGCCCACCAGGCTCCCCCGTCCCTGGGATTCTCCAGGCAAAAACACTGGAGTGGTTTGCCATTTCCTTCTCCAATGCGTGAAAGTGAAGTTGCTCAGTCGTGTCCGACTCTTAGCGACCCCGTGGACTGCAGCCTACCAGGCTCCTCCATCCATGGGATTTTCCAGGCAAGAGTACTGGAGTGGGTTGCCATTGCCTTCTCTGAACATTTTTGCTAAAGTATACTATTTTTCTCCTTTTCATCTTATTTTCAATGCAGTTTTGGTTCTTGTAGTAACAGGTTCCTACCAGCCCTGGAATTATTTACGTAAGTCAGCAAAGAAAATGGACAACAGCAGTCACGTCCCACCCAATGAAACACCTCAGAATTAGCAAGGAAGGGTCTCCCGCTGTCATGAGAGAGCCATAGAAGGCCAGCAAAGTCAGGAGTCCAGCCATTCAGGTTCACAGTGACTGGGATGCTTACTTGGTGGATGAAGTCCATGAGGAAAGAGTGGGCTTTCATCTTGTCTTCCAGCTGATGGAGAATAATCAAGGACGTGTTGCTGAACCCAGGTGCTTCTGGTGAAACAAGACAAACACAAGACAGGCTGGCTTGACAACCACTGCTGCCACTAAAAGTTGAGAAAAATCTACATAAAAGGGAAGAACTGGCCTTTCCATGTAATTATTAATTACATTACCCAAGAGGTTCAAATTTACAGGAAACCTTTGGGGCTTTGATAAAATTCACACCACAGTTATTCAAAACACAAATATATTACTACTAGCTTCATCACTTCGTATCATTCTAAGCCTGACAGTTCAAAACAGTCAAAGAAAGAAGGTGAGCACTGCTGTTTCCTTCCCAAGTCTCCAAGGAGCCTATTACTACTTGCTAGGTAGGAAATTAGGGAGAGAAAGGATGCTTGAGACAGTCCCATGGTCCTTGGGAACCACCCTAGCCCAATGCTGCCTGGAGGGTAAGAGAAACAATCAGGAGAAGACCCAGGGCAGAGAGGAGAACATGTGCCCACTTCTAGAGGCCGAGGTTTGATCACTGCTACTGTTAGAAAAACATAATTTCTACTGGCCAAATTCAGGAGTTACACTAAAATTATCATTTAATTTGGGGCTAGTAAGTGCCAAATGTTTATCTATGCCAGCAGTTTCCTTTTAGAAATAAAATGCTGACATGTAGGATTTGCTCCAATGTTTCCTCGGTTTCTGTTCTACTATGCAGAGCTGTTCTGAGCCCTTTCTGTGTGTGTGTGTGTGTGTGTGTGTGTTTGTGTGTATGTGTGTGTGTAAGTAAAATAGATGAGGTAGGGTTTTTGTTGTTGCTGTTCCTTATTTTGGGTGTGCTGCAAGGCTGGCAGGATCTCAGTTCCCTGACCAGGGACTCAATGAGGCCATGAGTGAATGCTCTTGAACCCTAACCACTAGACCACCAGGGAACTACCTGCACTGAGCCCTTTTAAAAATCTGCTATAAGGAAAGTTACAACCTTTCACAAAATACTGAATTAATACTAAACAGTTTCAGAAAATAAAAAAATATGCACCAAGAAATGCTTGAACAAAAGAACCAAAATATTCTTGTCGCAACAGACCTCCCTGTAGCACTACACTTCGGATGCGCTCACCCTCGGGCACAGACTCAGCCCAGCGCGGGTCAGAAGCCGGGTAGTCGTCCAGCAGGTCCACGCTGATCTGGGTGACAGCTCTGTCTAGCTCACAATCAGAGTCCAAGTCAGCGTGAGAGCAAAACAGCTCATCAACTATCATCTGGGCATGACCTAAATCTTTCCTGAAATAAAATTAGAAAACAAAAGCATTACAACTCAAAGTACTAAATTCACCATGAAAGTTAATTGTGAAGCTAAAATCCCATATGTTAGCCCAATGTTTATCACTTCTAATAACATTTATTTAAAAGGGAGACAACAATCATCCATTCCTTAATTCAACAAATATATGATGAACATCTACAATATGCAGGCTCTGGAGACAGGACAATAAACAAAGCATCAGAACCCCGCCCCACGACGTCGCAAAGGCTACGGTGGCAGGAGGAGTGAGACAACTGCAGTGACGCGCACACACGGAAGCTAGCAGCAGGCCACGAGCACACAGAGGAGAAACAGGACCCACCAGGGGGCAGAGCCTTGTCGGAGAAGGTGCGGGAGGCTGGGGGACTGCAGGAGGGACACACAGCAGCAGAGACAGCTCCCCGCACACCTGTGTCAAGAGAAGTGAAGGCCTGGGGAATGGCAATCACCCAGAGAGGAGAGAGGGAAGAGGGGCCCAGGCAGACCTCCTAGGAACACCAGCAACTGAAGGACAGTGTACAGAAGGTCTCAGAAAACGTGACAGAGTGTGAGCTCAGAAGGAAATGTGATCTGTTGTAGCGTTAAAAGATCATTCTAACTACGCTATGGAGATGGGAGACCAGACATGAGGGATAAAAATCTAGAGAGGAGGTTACTGCAGAAATTTATCCAGGCAAGAGAGGATAGGAATTTCCACCAGCAGGAGCTGTAGCAGAGAAGGAGACACGTAGACAGGTTTGAGAGATACAAGAGGGAAATTCTGGCCACTGGTTAGATCTGACATGTAAAGATGAGTCTCAACAACTCAATGTGGCTGGAACATAGGCTGGGAAAGAAAGAATAATCTTTGGAGAAGACAAGCAGTTTCAGATGTGTTACAACGAGCTGCCTGTGGAACACACAACTGCTTTTGAACATTCATCATTATGTGTACCGGCAGATGTGTTACAACGAGCTGCCTGTGGAACACACAACTGCTTTTGAACATTCATCATTATGTGTACCGGCCCAGAGCAAGGTAGATTTGTGTTTTTTCAGCAAAGGAAGCCTGGGAAGGAGAAAAGATTGTGCAGGGAGTAGAGAGAGGAAAATATGGAAGACAATAGACAATAACACCTGGAGACAGCTTCTCAGGTAGTTTATAAACAGGAGCAAACAAAAGAGATGCTAGCTCAAAGGGGGACACAAAGACCTGGTCTTTTTTAAAAATGGCATGTCAGAGATTCAGGACAGGATAACTAAGACAGTACAGTCTCAAGGGAAGCAGGACCCAGTGGCACTCAGAACAAAGACAGAGACTGGCCTCAGGAAGAATATTTCTTCCTGCTCTCCTGGGAGGTAAGGAGGAAGAGGAGCTGGGATGCAGGTAAGCCTGTGCGTGCTAAGTACAGGGAGCTGTCTTAATGGCTTCTGTTATCTCTGTGGAACAGGAGGCTGAATCAACTGCTGGGGTGTGGCGGGGTGGAAGGGTAGAGGAGAGATGGGGACAGAGGAGGTGAAGAAAGGGTTGAAATGGTCTCTGCGCAGAACAGGAGACAGAGCTGATCAGAGAAACACAGAGGAACTGCCAAAAAGTGTTAAAGGCAAGGTTGAAGCTGGAAACCTAGCTGTGCTAGAGGTTACGGGAATACAAAGTGTACTACAGCAAGATCACTCAGTAATGAAATATTTTACTCAAAAGACGAAGTTTCTTAAAATTCTCATGAACAAGATTTTATATTTATACTGACTTCAGCAAAATGAAAATCAAAAGAAAATTAATTTCAAAGAAACCATAGTAAAAAAAATAGTAATATTACCTTCACAAAAAAACTAAACAATAGTTTAAAGTTCTACCCACCAACTTGGGCCCTATGAAAATAATTCTGGTTGTCACAGGCTGGGGAAAAAGGATGCTACCAGCATCAAAAGGGTAGGGGCCAGAGAGGCTGCTAAACACTCTACAATTCACAGGACAGCCCCACAACAAAAATTATCTGGCCTCAAAGGTCAATAGTGAGAAGACTGAGAAACGCTGCTTTAAAGGTATCACAATTTCATTTGTGAAAGTCTTAATTTTTTAAAGACTATTAGATGATACCATCCCAGAAATGATTACTTGTTCACCTCATGGTAATTCATGCTAAACAGTATAAGTAGAAGGCACAGTTGTGTTAGAAGCTCAATAACACCAGTCCGAAGGTTACTATACTCTCAGCACTTAAGGTCAGGGGCCCCTTCTGTACTTAATTATCTTCTCCAGTAAAACATTTAGAAATGACTATGCTGGCTGGAATGGTGTTTCCCCCAAAGCCAAGTACACTCAGAAACTCAGCATGTAACCATCTTGGGATATGAGGTTTCTGAAGATGTGATCAGGTGAGTTACGGTGAGGTCACACTGGGTTAGGGTGGGCCCTAACTCCAATGACTGGTGTCGTTACCAGGACATGTGAGGACGGGAGCACAGGGAAGATGGCCACGGATGACACTGGCCACAACTAGAGGGGCGCAGACGTGGCCCAGACAGCCAGGGACCAGCGGCCACCAGGAGCCAGGGAGACGCAAGCAACGGTCCTGGCCCAGGGTCTCAGAGGGAGCTGGCTCCGCTGGTACCTCGTTCTTGGACCCCAGGCCTCCAGACCTGTGACAGAATAGATTTCTATTGCTTTAAGCCACCCAGTTTGTGGCAATTTATTACAGCAGGCACAGGAAACTAGTATAATGACTCTGTTACCATATAAATGTTGAGATGTGACAAGACTGTCAGAATTGTTAATTAAAGTATAAAATTATACAAGATAAAATCATAGTATTAATCCAAACCTTGGCAGTCAGATTGAACACTATGCAATAAAACAAGATTAAAAGAATATTATATAAAAACAGAAACCAAAAGCTGATCTAATGGTGCCCTCCTCTGGACAAGAAACTAAGTTCTGTAGACCGTCACTACAATGGCCCAGAATTTTCAGCATGTAAACGCACCGCCCCTTTCAAGCTGTGTGCCCCTTTGGTGAGAGGGAGGCTCTGTGCACTAGACACCACTAGGAGTGGAATTACAGGACCATGAGCTGAGAGTGAGGAAAATGAAGGCAGTACAGTATGAATATCTCTTCAAAACAAAGATCTGCTGAACCAGAACTCCAGAAACAACAAGCGGTCTGTCCAGTCTCACACAGCTAACTAGGGGCAGAGCAAAGGCTGGATCACAATGTTCCTGAGTGTTAATTCCAACATAAATAGAATGCACACCATTTAAGGAAGGTACCAGACACATACTATGCAGAATGTACGTGGGGGACAAGCAGAGATGACTGTACCCAGTCAGCAAGTGTGACAGGGCAAGTGCAGTTGTCTGCCTCACCCTGTGCCTACCCTCTTGTGAGCGTCCTCCCCCGGACCTCGCCAGGGCTCCTGGGATATTAGCAAACATGATCAGATAGAGACTTGAGGAGCACTCATGTAGCAATGCTTGCTCTCTCCTGCTCCCAGAACCCTGAGGCTTGAGAGAGGCCAGGGTAGCCTGCTAGATGAAGAGACACCGGCCCCCAAAATGTGGGCAAGTGTAGCCAGACAGCTGGCTACTGATCACAGACCATGCACGAGCTCAGGCAGGACCAGGAAAACTGCTACCCCCAGCGTGACCCCAAACAGCCCAACTGCAGGACCAGGAGCTGTATTAAGTAAGCCAGTGAGTCCTGTGGTAACTGCAACAGTACAAAACTCGACCACTAGGCCAACACTTTACAACAGCTGGGATGACCTTCTGTATGCAACTTCACTGCCTTCACATCACACAGAACAGATGCTCACAAGCCACCTTACAACTACCATTTCTAGTGCTGCACTGTTGCAACAAGTGCAAGGGCTTGTTACATCATGTTCTTCCCAGCCTGGCTAGAATCCTCCCCTGGCTACCCAAATCAGAACAAGAGGTTGTCAAAGTACTAAGCTCAGAAAAACATCTCGGTGATGGCATCATTCCTTCAACTCACTCCCACTAGTCAACAAATAAGCAGCAAATGTCAGTAAAGTGTCCTTGTACATTAAAGAGCCATAATTTAAAAAACTTGTTATACCTGCAGAATTGCAGAAAAGCAGCTTTGAGCAATTTGGTTTTATCTTCCTGGGCAATAGTTTCATTCTTGGTAGAAGTATCAAAAACCACACTCTGTAAAATAATAAACTATAGTTTAGAGTTGAAGGTATATAAGAATATTCTTAGTTACTGCAAAAAAAATTTAGACCAAGCTATGAGGAAAACAACACAGACACACAAGCTGTTTGCCATATTCTCTGTATCAATGACATATATACTTAAGACATTTACGGAAACATCAAATGATTAAAGTCCTACAGAAAATGTACATATAGTTCAGGAATTATATTGTGAGTAAAATTATTTGGGGACTTCATCACAACACAACCTTTGGACAGGTTTACCCTTACATCACAGAGTATATTTCTCATCATAATGGTTGATTTCAAGCTTAAAGAAAAACTTAGAGAAATTTAAAAGAAATGGAATACTGTAAGATAGCTTCAGAATACATAGCAGGATTGTGAAAACTACATGATTACAAAAGAATGAAAGTTTTTTGAAAAGTTACTTTCTGTTCAAACTGTTACTAAATCATTTTCATTTTGAATTACACAAAAAGTCTACATACTTTACATATTCTTCAAACAGAAATTACCCAAAATAGTATTAATGCTTAAAAGAATGATAAAAATCTCACAGATCATGAGCTTCAAGATGACAGTGAAAAAATGACAGTTTTTACCCTACTCTCCCCTCAAAAATCATCCCAGAATATCAAGAAGAAAAAGAGACGCAACCCCCCCACATCTGTGGTTCCAGCTACACAAAGAAGGAAAGCAGAGGGAAGAGCAGCAAGTGACAGAGAGGAGGAGACCAGGCAAACGCAGGGGTGCGCAGATGCTGAGGACAAGGGGCAGGGTGGTTCCAGGCAGACAGCAGGCTCAGGGTCTCTGCACACACTGGGCAACGCTAGACAGAAAGGCATCTACAGAGCTGCTGGAACGTGCTGGAAACTGAACCTGGCATCACACAAAAGTGAGCAAATATACAATTAGTCCACTCCAAGCATCACATGAAGTTGTACACTACATTAAAGAAATATAATCAGCACACTGCTTCACTATGGACTGTAAAACAACATTCACATTGTGATTAGAATGGAAAAAATGTATATTGGAATGATAAAGGCAAGGCAGAGCTGTGGAAGTTACCCCACGTCCTCATCCTCAATAACAGGAGGTCTACAGATGATAAAAAATAATGAATGAGAGACAGCAACATATACACATATTACTTAGAAATATGGAGGAAAACACACCAAAAAACCCCTAAAAGACTTAAAAGTAGTTGCTTCTAAATAACAGGACAAAGGAAACGAGAGAGATAAAAGAACTAAAGTCTTCATAACTCTTTTAAAACCATATGACTTTCAAACATTTGTGGGAAACAGCCCAGTAAAAATGTTTAAATCCTTTGTAACAGGCTTCCTTGGTAGCTCACTGGTAAAGTATCTGCCTGCAATGTAGGAGACATGGGTTTGATCCCTGGGTGGAGAAGATCCTCTGGAGAAGGAAATGGCAACCAACTCCAGTATTCTTGCCTAGGAAATCCCATGAACAGAGGAGCCTGGAGGGTTACAGAGTCATAGGGTTGCAGAGAGTCTGACATGACTTAGCAACTACACAACTACAACAAAATCAACTATATTTTTTAAAAAAATTATGAAACCACGTTACCTCATTGCCTGGTCCAGCAACTGAAGATGCTAGAGAATCTTCAAGATCTTCTGCTAATATGGACACATTTTCCCTTGAAGTAATAGACACCAATCCACTGTTTCTAGAAAAAAGGATAGGTATACCCCCACAGGAACCAGCTCCTAAAATACTGTCTCCTAAGAGAAAGGAAAATACGCAATCGAATACATATTACCAAACAATCCTCTCCTGAATCTACTTCCCCAAGCAGAAGAGCCCGCTGACGGCCCTTTACTGTGCTACTCCTACTCTGCACCCAGTTATGACCCTGCATCAAGTCAGGGCTCCCTGCTATCTGCAGAGGCAGGCTGAGTCCTCCATGGTGCTGTTCAAAAGCAGCGAGCACAGTGAGCCAAACAAGAATATCGTCCCTTCCGCAAGACACAGAGTGACAGCTCATCAACCCTACTCGGACTCACCGAGTGAGCCAGCGGCAGGGCAAGGAAAAGGTCTAAGCTTGCCTGCAGTCGTAACAGCATCCCCCCCAGCCAGTCAAGGCTCTGGGGCTGGGGCCAGACAATCAAGGAGCCATGCTGCTGCTCACCTCGATTTTGTCCTTTGCCCCTTCAGATAAATACTATCTGCTTGTTTTTCCTACTCATGGTTGGCTCCCCCCGCCGCCCCCCATAGCCCCCTTGCATGAGTCCAGTGCCTGGGACTCTTCTCACTCAGGGGTCTGAACAAACTTGTTTAAAGAATATCAACTCAGAATAAGTCACTCTTACTGACCAGGAAGAAGCAATTACTTCTCTGAGCATCAGTTCTTTCCTTCTGGGCCTCTTCTGGGGAAAATGCTACTATTTTATGTCTACAGTAAAACTCGGCTCTACCCGCCCCCCCACCCCCCCCAGTTTCTCAGCTACTGTAGGTATGGTGCTGAATTATCACAAGTATCATGCCTGAAGCAAAGCTTATGGAAAGAGAACAAAAACTTCTCAGAATGACCAATGAGTTCCTAATCCTAGTTTCTAAAACTGATGACCCACCTTGTGCATTAAAAACAATTTTCTCCTGAGGAAGAGAAAACTTCCCAGTTCCTGTGGAGCACATGTAGACAGCACTTTCAGTATATAGACAGGCAGTCTGGTTTGAAAAGTTTGGGACCATCAACCGACATATAGTCAAGTCTTCAGACTGAAAATTAAAGATTATATTTAATAAGAATTGAAACAAAAAATACTTTTGTATGACTTCATAATTCACACTTTTGTACACTATCTCATAAAAATGACAAAGTAATTCACTGATTATCCTTGTGAAAATTACCTGACATGATTTACAAAACATGACAGACATAAGTTTATAAACATCAATTAGAGAAATCATTTGCTGAGTTGGAAATAACTAGCAAAGTTTGAAAATGTATCCATGGTGGTAAGATTTCAACTAAAAAGCCTATTAACAAACCTGAGAAAGAAAATAAAATTAGTTCATTATTTTAGAATTTAGAGATACTTTTAAAACAACTCCTGATAAATATTGCTTCTTTCTTCACTGTCCAGATATCAAGCACAAGAAAACTGAGTTAATTTGTTCATATATGAAATTAGAAACAGAAATAGAAATAAGACTTAGTAAGTCATAAAATTAACAAAAGCTCAAAAGGATATTTTGTTTATTAAAAGAATTTTACAAACATAAAAGTGGAATTCCATGATTTTTTAATTCTCAAATTGTCTTCTTTATCCCTTTTGCATTGTCTGAAAAAATTTTTAACACTGAGTGTACTTTTCTTGTATAATCAGAACACATAAGGTTTATTTTTGTTTGAAATGAAAGATCAAATTAAGATTTCCTTACAGTAGTCAGTTATGCAAATTGTATTAAGAATAAGTTCAAAAGAATTAAATACTATACAAGGTTAAATGAAGTTAACCTTGTGTAGGCCTCTCCTAAATAACAGCAGTTATTAAACAATGTTAAATTGCTATCAAGAAGCTTAAAATTAGACAGCTTGTCTTTTTAAAAAATTTACTTATTTTTAATTGGAGGATGAACGCTTTACAATATTGTATTGGATTCTGCCATATATCAACATGAATCAGCCAGAGGTATACATATGCCCCCTCCCTCCCACCTCTCAGCCAATCCCATCGCTTTAGGCTGTCTCAGAGCATTTGCGTTCCCTGTGTATGCAGCAAATTCCCACTGACTACCTGACTTTACATATGGTAATATATATGCTTTAATGCTATTCTTCCAATTCGTTACCCAGCCCCGCCCTGTCCCCTCATGTCCGCAACTCTTGCCTTTTTAACTATTCACATGAATTTTGATAAATATATAATGCGGTTACCTACAAAAAAAAATATAACCATATTTGAGCAAAAAGAGGGTTTTTTTGTAATACACAACACTCAAAACCGAAGTCCAATTCCCATCAAGTTTCTTCCTATTTTTCACTCTGTAGTTCATTGTCAATATTTTCTTTCTACTCAGTAATACAGAAATGAAAATCCCATCACAGAGCTACTGCAGGAGCAACATGCTGCTATCAAGGGCTCCCACTCTCACTTCTCTTTAGCTAAGGCTGAACAGAGGAATGAGTATGAGATGGCAAACAGAATGCAATGCCTAAAAACTAGCTATTTAAAATGTATTTCTGGGAACTCCCTGGTGGTCCAGTGTGGACTAGGACTCTGCTTTAACTGCTGAGGGCCCGAGTTCAATCTATGGTCAGGGGACTAAAACCCTGCAAGCGGCATGGCGTGGCTATTAATAATACATAAATAGAGGGATTTTATTTTAGAAAATGTATTTACATTTGACAGCACCAGGTTTTGGTTGGGGCATGTGGGATCTTTTATTACAGCATGCAAACTCTCAGTTGCAGGATGAGGGATCTAGTTCCCTGACCAGGGATTGAACCCAGGCCCCCTGCATTGGGAGCACAGAGTCTTAGCCACTGGACCACCAAGAAAGTCCCCCAATAAAGAGATTTTTTAAAAATTAAATTAAACGTATTTCTAAGCCTTACAGATGAACATCTCAAAGAATCTGACCACGCAACTGTTAGGGAGAAAAAACTCAGCAAGTTACTGTCATTGGTCATTTAGCTTATAAATAGAAATCTTACCTGAAAAGGAGGGTTATACTGAGTGACTTCCACAGTCACTGAATCTGACATTTGGTAGCCATTATCTTCTACTGTTATCAGAGAGTAATAGACAAGGCAGGGGCTGTCAGCCAGGTGCCATGCTGCTGCCAAAATTAGGAGCCCATCGCTAATCAATGAAAAAGAAAGATATACTGTCTCTTTGGAAAACAGTTTGGCAATTTCTTAAAGAGATAGACATGCATTTACCATATGACCTAGCAAGCCCAGTCCTAGGTATTTACCTAAGAGAAATAAAAACTTATCTTCACACAAAAACCTGTGTACAAATGTTTATAGTGACTTTACTCATAATTGCCTAAAAATGGAAACAACTCAGTATCCCTTCAACTGCTGAATAAACAAATCCTGGTAAAGCTACTCAGGGGTAAAAAGGAAGGAACCACTGAATGAATATCAAATTCATTATGCTAAGTGAAAGAAACCAGACTCCAAAGGCTTTATACTGTATGATGCCATCTACACTATAGGGACAGAAAAGACATCAATGGTTGCCAGGAGCTGGAAGTGAAGGAAGGGGTTGAAAAAGGAGTGTGTGCATACATACTCAGTCCTATTTGACTCTTTGTGACCCTACAGACTATAACCCATCAGGTTCCTCTGTTCGTGGGATTTTCCAGGCAAGAATACTGCAGTGGGTTGCCATTTCCTCCTCCAGGGGATCTTCCCAACTCAGGGATCAAACTTGTGTCTCCTGCATCTCCTGCACTGGCAGGTGGATTTTTTTTTTTTTAACCACTGAGCCACCAAGAAAGCCCCTGACAAAGGAGTACAAAGGAATTTTCGGAGTGATAGAATTGTTCTGTATCTTGATTGTGGTTGTAGTTAAATGACTATGCACTTGTCAAAACTCACCAAATTATACACTAAAAAGGGTACAAAATATTTACTGTATGTAAAATATAACTCAATAAATCTGACTTTAAAAGACCAACAAATCATCAAACATAGGGATTAGCAAAGTGCAGCTCTCAGGTCAAACTGACCACAGCTGAGTTTCCGTAAATGAATCTGTCCTGCAAGACGGCCATGCCCACTTGTCTGTGTGCTATCTATGGATGCTTTAATGCTACCACTGGTAGAATAAAAGAGCTGCAACCAAGAACACACGGTCCCTAAAGCCTAAAAATATAGTTTTGGACCCTTTACAGAAAAGGTTGCTAACCCCTGATCTAATCTGCTTTTAAAGTTTACTTTTGTACAGAAGAAAAACATTTTGGTTTTATCTTTAACAACCAATCATAGAACTGTTACTGTATATTCAAGCTGCTGTATGTGAAAACAAACTTTTTTCCATCTTAAAAATGTATGTGGTCCTCTTAAATCTAGCAAAGTTCATAAAAAAAAAATTAAATGGTCTCTAACCTCAACTCCTAAAACATTTAGTAGCATTTTTATCAACTTTCATTCAAGTTTCAGAAATATTAACAGGATGGCAAGCACTCTCTACTGACAACTAAAAATAATAAAGCAAGCTGCTGACTAGATGACATGCACCTCAAATCCAGCAGTCCTGACAGAGCTCTCATTTTCCTTCTCCACTGTTTCCTTTCCCCAGCTCTTATCACTTCTACCTGAACTCCCTCGAAAACTTCAAGGACACTGGTCCAAATGGGAACATACTGGCAGTGACCTGAACAGCTCCTGGATGAGAGCTAAGCGGGCAGTGAGTGAGGCCCCAGAGAACACGGTAGAGAGGCAGAGACGGCCATGCTGTGGTGAGTCAACTGAAGTTACTCCACAGACTGGACCGCCGTGTGGTGAGAGGTGCCAATGAGGCCCAGAGACACAGCTAATAAAGAATTCCTCAGGAAGTGGTGCTTAGATCAGCTTCATTTGACATCTTTACCAAGAAAAAATCTTCATGATTAAAATAACATGAAGCTATTTTGGGTAGTAAAGATGATAGAAAGATAATTAATTTTGCAAATCAGTAAAAACTTGAACAGTTGATCAAGGAAGAGCAACAAGCATCAGGGAGACATATGCTTCTTAAACAGAAGACACCTGTCCAGACATGGAACAGTCTACAAGGATCAGTGGAACTTGAGGACGCAGTGAGTGGTGACTGGACTGTTTGGAGCACTGGTGGGAGGGGCCAAGGAGGAGGATGAGAGCTGCATCTCACCGGCCCCACGAGAATCAAGTCCTGCTGGCATGGCAGCATTCTGGGTCTGCCTCAGCACAGCAAGTCCTAAGCATGCGTCTCTGTGCTCAACCTGTGTCTCCATTCTGAAAATTACATGTGAAAAAATGTCACATCCTCTTCCCCACAGTTGGCTGCGTCCTGACACCAGTTCTAAACTTATGACGGAGGTCCAGTAAAGATATATTAAAACAAGATACACTGTATTTAATTAAAATGTTTTTGGAAATTAAGCATATACATTATTTTTACTTCTTTGATACTTTACATACAAGTTTTTCAGAAATTATAAAGGATCCTGACAAGTCTCAATAGTCCACGAGAGAAAAATTAAACAGCAGAACTGCAAGCCAAGAAAAAAGTAGAATTTGTTTTACTAAACTACTCTAAAACATATAAAAATTGTCCTAACTTCCAGTAAGCTGTGTTTTAAAGAATTACAAATCATATGTTTGCACTCATTATAAACTCTATCACAGAAGCCCTATTATAAATGGCTTTTCAGTTCTATATGACCATAATATTAAAGCTAAACAATAACATGGGATTAAGTAGCTTTATCAGACTAACTTGAGATCTTAAGCACCACTAAGAGCATTGGTTCTAAGAGGAAATTCACTCTGAGTGACTCAGTCATAAACCATGATTGAGTTCTAACTTGTACTTTGAGTTCTAACTTCTAACTTTGCCAGGACAAAACCTCATGCATCCTTCCTTGATTTAATACAGCCACAAACTCAGGCTGAAGCTCCTTCAGCAACAAGAAAAGGACTGGAGAAGAGCCCCCAGAATCTCCACTGAGTCAGCAAAGAAAACAGCATGGCACACACCCAGCAGCGGGGCAGGCAGCTCTTGGACACTCCGGCCATGCGAGCAGAACAGATGATCCCTAACAAGGGCAGACAGCTAATGGGACATGCAGCAGAAGGCCGAAAACTGCCCACACTTCTGAAATGAATTAGCACTGCCAGACAGAACAAAGCAATTCAGGAAGGTGGATTAATAGAAGATTAAGGTTAGAGACAGAGAAGGCAATGGCACCCCACTCCAGTACTCTTGCCTGGAAAATCCCATGGACGGAGGAGCCTGGTGGGCTGCAGTCCATGGGGTCGCTAAGAGTCGGACACGACTGAGTGACTTCACTTTCACGCATTGGAGAAGGAAATGGCAACCCACTCCAGTGTTCTTGCCTGAAGAATCCCAGGGACGGGGGAGCCTGGTGGGCTGCCATCTATGGGGTCTCACAGAGGTGGACATGACTGAGGTGACTTAGAGGCAGCAGCAGGGTTAGAGACATCAGAAGGACAGATAGCAAGGGTGCTTATTATTCTATAAGAAACATCAATCTGTTTTTTCCAAACAACTACCTATGTTTTTCATGACAAATGAATTGCTTACCAGTTTTGCTTCAAATCCAAATACCGAATGTTGACCCCTTCTTTAATAGCTTCATAGTTACTTTCAGATCCCTACATGAAAATATCAACAATGTAAGCTCCTTCAGTATAGGAATCATTTCTTTTCACCTTTATAGACCCTGCACCTACTAAATTGCCTCATCCACAGTAAGTTAATGAATGAATAATGTATGCATTTAAAAAATTAAGTAAACCAGTGGGTCCCAATACTTATAAAGATTGAATACTCCATCTCTGCTTATCTGACGGCTAAAACTTGGTGTGTTACACTGAAATGTGTTCTAATAAATACAACTAAAGGAACTAGCAATCTTATATGAATAAAAATGAGAGAGATGAATGTTACTGTTCCTTACCCAGATAGCGTCAATAATGTTTTCCTTCAGGACTCTATTTATATCCCAGCTATGTGCTTGTTTTTCTGAAGAATCATCTAATTCCCATTTACTGATGTTTGAACTTGTCAGGCTATAAAAGCTCGCTCTCTCTCTATCCCAAAGGACACTTGAAAGCTGTATGGAGAGGAGAAAAAAAAGTTTATCGATTATTAAATTCTAATGTCAATGATGATTTTTCTGAAATTAAAAAATCATATATTTTATAGCTATTTGATTAGTAATCCTAGCAGAATTCTTCATTTTAGGATTCAAGGGAAGAAGTGATCCTGAAATAGACCTTGAGAGTAAGGAGGATTTTTACAGGCAGAAGGCCCAGGAAGAGCAGAGTAGAAAGGCAGGAAAGTCAGAGGCTCTTTAGAGAACAAAACACAGGCCTGCTAAACTGGAATGTGGATTATAGCTAAGAAAAAAGCAAAACTAAGGTTCACACACAGCACAGTCTTGAATGTGAGTTTGTAAACCAAGTAAGCGAGGGAGATAGTATTAATAGCTTGTGAGCACAAGAGCTGTGTTACAGGAGAAGGAATCTGGAGGGGTGTGTGTAGTTCCACATGGTTATATCACTTCATCTTCCTTGCTTCTGAAGAACACATCTAACCTAACTTAAAAACTGCATATACATGACTGCTGAACTAAAACCCTAATTGTCTCCACTCGTCCGGTCACCATGACTCAAATCTAGAGAACCTGGCAAATAATCTGCTCCATAAAGAGAGGGAGACACACACAGACACAACCAGGACTTTATACCTGGGTCTCTGAAAGAGGCGACAGTGCCATTAGAAATAGACAGCTCAAAAGAAAAATGAGATCTGTAAGTCAGTAGGAGAGAAGAGAACATGAGCAATTCTTTTCTAGACATGCTAAGGTTTAGGTTCAAAGAGCACTTGAGGAAGCAGATAATGAGAGCAGCCTGAAATCAGAGGGAAGAGCACAGTTTAACAAAGGATGTGCAGTGTTTAACATGGCCAATGCACAGCACGGGATCTCTGCTCAGCGTCACATGGCAGGCTGGGTGCAGGGGGAGTCTGGGGGAGAACGGACTGTGTATGTACGGCTGAGTCCCTTTACTGTCCACCTGAAACAACCACAGCAATGTTACTCAGCTGTACTCCTGTAAAATACAATGCTTAAAAAAAAGTCGGGGCAGGGCCACGTGCTCTCAATTCACACAGATGTGGGCACCGCTGAGCAGTTTTCAACTTCGGGCAACTTTAGTAGCTCACTGAGGCCATTTCCTCATTTATTTAACACAAATTGGACATGAAGCTCCATACATTACAGATCACAATAACAACAGGAGATAACACACACAGGGCACCTGGCAGAGCAGATGCCCCATATGTCAGTTCCCAGCATCTTCACCCACTATTCCAGAGCCTGAGGCAGAGCCCAGCAGCCACAAATCTGAGCCATCCACACAGACAGCTGGAGGCGCGGGGGTGGAAAGCACACTTTTGGTTATGTCTAGAAAGCAAAACTAATCCTTAGACACATTTATAATTTTACATCCTAGTTTTAATTTAAAAAAATGAGCTTATAAGATAATTTATAAAACTTAAGAATAATTAATGTTACAGAGGATGCAAGAGGACTCATCTGATCATCATAATAAAAATGCTTCACTGATAGATCAAAGTTTTCATCTCATGTACACCACTGTTCATACAGTGGCAACGCTAGCTTCATAGGAGACTGCCAAATTACTGATTCCACTAAGAAACAAGCTAGTAAAACAAAGTTACTGTGTCAACTTACAATGAGATCACTACTAGGAGATAAAATTCCCAAAAGAGAAGAAACCTTCCGACCAATTCCTGAAAGCACGCCTTGTCCTTGAGGCAGGATATGCTGATGAATTTTTCCTATACTTTCAGGTATCAGGCGGATTAGTTGGCCCCCCGATGAGGATAAAATAAAACTTCCTCCCTGTGAACAAATGTTGTGAAATTAGTTCAGTTAAGCATTTAAGACTAAGAAAAGAAAATGAACACAAATCACTCTGATACACTTCAAGGGAAATCATCTGTACCTCAACATAAATCTAAAAGAATAAAAAATGAACAGTGCTACTTTTTAAAAATTTATTTATGAATCCATTCACTTAATACTACACAGAAAAACTTCGCAGCCATTTTTTTAATTGCATTTTTTTTTTAAATTCTGATTTTTAAGTTATAGGTTCACATTATGTAGGTGCAACAAATCAAGAATCAGATTTTATTTCTTTGGTAAACCAGGAGAATATGTATTAGCAAACCATTCCTCCTCCAAGTTGCTGAAACACTCTCTAAATACGTTTCTGACAGAAACAAATACCACTGGCTACTGTGCTCCACTGATACGTCAGAGTCCTACGAGAAGGGCTTCCCTCGGTCTAAGTGCTCAAATCCTAGATCCTTACATTCTTTCCTTTTCTCTTTTTTGATCTCCTCCCACCCCTACCTGTATGATCTGCTCAAAATCAGAAATTTTTAGTCATTCAAACCTGATTTCCAAGCCAAATGACAGTTCTCCAACACATATAAAAGAACATCCATCGTATACCTGTACTGCTGTTAGGAAACTGCAGGTCTTATCGCCTCCCAGGTCTATGAGTGTCTCTGTGTAGGTGTCCTCGCCAGCAAGGCTTGGCCAGTAGCGGACAGATCCTTCTCTGGTGGCAGCCATGACAGCAACAGCCTCGAAACAAGATCACAACACTCAGCAAACACAAGAAAAGGAGCCCAAGGCGGCAGTCTGACGACACTGACATAAGAAACCAGGGCAATGCACTACTGACTAACAGAATCAGGGGGAAAAATTCCTTCTTTCCATATTTAAAAAATTATCATACAGTAAAACTGACATTTTCTCCTTCTGTTTTATAATTCTATGAATTTTTATACCCTGGTTTCTCTTCAGATCATACAAAATGTTTTGCTTTTTACAGTCCTATGAATTTTAAAACACGTGGTGGATCAGATGGTAAAGGATCTACCTGCAATGTGGGAAACCCAAGTTCAATCCCTGGGTTGGGAAGATCCCCTGGAGAAGGGAATGGCAACCCACTCCAGTATTCTTGCCTGGAGAATCCCACGGACAGAGGAGCCTGGTGGCTACAGTCCATTGGGGTCACAAAGAGTTAGATGTGACTAAGTGACTAAAACTTTCACTTTTAGACTCAAGTCCCACCACAATAGGGATATAGGAGAGTACATCATCACCAAAGCTCCGTAACACTTTCCCTTTGGTCACACCCTCCCCTACCCTCACCCTGGCAATCCCCATTTCCATCATTATAGTTCTGTCTTTCTGAGAATGCCAAACAAACGAAATCATATAGAATAGAACCCTCTGACAATGGTTTATATCGTTTAGCACAATGCCTTTGAGATTCACCCATGTTGTTTCATGGATCAATAGTTCATGTCTTTTTTACTGCTGAGCAGTATTTCATCCTATGGAAGAATCAGTTTATTTATCCATTCACTTGCTAAAGGATATTCAGATTGTTTCCACCTTTGGCTATCATAAATAAAGGTGCTATGACATTAGTGTATTGTTGTCTGTGTGGGTGTGTGTGTGTCTGTGTGGGTATGTGAACATAAGCTTTAGTTTCTCTAAAATAAACAGCCAGGAATGGAATTTTTGGGTGATACGGCAAGGGCACTTTAACTCTCTAAGAAAGTGAAAATCAGTGGCTGCACCATTCTGCATGCCTGTCAGCAATGGATGAGGTTCCAGTTGCTCCACATCCTTACCAGCAGATGGCAGTGTCAGTGCTTTTAATTTCAGCCATTGTAGTAAGAGTGAACTGGCATCTCACTTGTGTTTTATTTGCATTCCCCTAATGGCTAACTATGTGAATGTCTCTTCAGGGCTTGACATCCTTATATTCTCTTTGGTAAAGTGTTCAAGTCCTATGCCTTACTTTTTAAATTGGGTTGTTTTCTTACTAAGTTTTGAGAGTTCATTTTATGTTCTGGATACAAGTCTTTTATTGGATGTTTGATTTATAGTATTTCCTACCAATCTGTAGCTCTCTCTTCATTTTCTTCTCAGGGTCTTTGGCAGAGCCAAGTTTTAAATTTTGATTAAGTTCAATTTATCTATTTTTCTTCTTTTATGAGTCACATTTTTGGTGATTTCTAAGAACTCTTCAACTAACCCCATGTCATGATGATTTTTTTTCCTATTTTCTTCTAAAAGTTTTTAGTTTTACAATTTACATTTAGACCTATGATCCACTGCGGGTTCATCTTTACATGAGGTTTAGGAGGAATATTTTTTTTCTTCCTAAAGATGATCAATGATTCCAACACCATTTAGTGAGAAGACCATCCTTGCGTCACTGAATTTCTTCCGCACCCCTGTCAGAGATCAGCGCACCATCTCTGTGTGGGTCTGTATGTGTACACTGTTCTGTCCCATTGCCCCGTGTGTCTACCTCTGCTGTTACCATTCTGTCTTGCTTCCTGCAGCTTTACAGCTATGGTTCAAAACCCAACTAGGTGATCCCCCCAACTTGAGAACTCCCTTATCCTAAAAAAATGTGCTTCAGTAAGCATTTAAGTCACCCACCTGCGTGGAATGTGCTTCGCCGGAGGTAGTGGAGTAAGAGAGCGCCACCAAGTTGGCAGTCCAGTGGAAGTCACTAGGTGGCAGCTGAAGTTCTTTGCAAACAGATAACTGTAAAACAAATCCAAACAAAAAATTTTTCATTTCAAATCCAATTTTTGAACATGCACCTGACTTCACTTTCTCTGCATACTTTAGATTCTAATTCACTGCTAGAAATACTATTCTAGAAATACTTTCTTCTCACATCTTTTTGATCAGGCTTCCATCATCATTTTCACTAATTTTAAAACGAAATATTTTAAGAGGTACAGAATCAGGAAAACTTAACAGCTAGACCAGACCCTTAACACAAACTACTCCAATCTCTTCCCAGACCAAAAAAAAGTCTATTGGTTGAAAGAACTGTGTAGACTTCCTATGGAATTTTCCTAGTCTAATCTTGATTTGTTGAGTTGACATATAAAGTTGGCTTGACTAGATTATGTATTCCAAGTAGCCTAGAAAATATTTCTGAGACTCAGCCAGAATCAGGCTCCCTCTGCTAACTCGGGATGCCAACCGGAGGACCTCTCCCTCACCTGTGCTCTTAACTACAGTCATGGTTTTCTAGACAGCAGGTGTACAGAGAGCAGTAGACATGAAGAGTTTAGGGAAGTTGGAGCCTGAGCCCCAGTGAAACAAAGGCCCAGTGGGCACGAGTATTGCAAGAGAGTATGCCTGATCTGGAGTGGACAGAAGGAGGCTGCTGAGAGTACAGCAGTGAACATCAAATGAAAGTCCCCATGTGAGAAACTGACAATGAAGAGTTAAATTAGCATTATAAAAATTGGTATAATTTTTTCCTATTTTCTTACACATGGTTCAGTAGATTCAGTACAACACATTACTATCCTCTTAGAGACTTAGTTCATTAGTTTATGTGGATGGCATTTAGTCTTAGACTTCACTGTGCAGAGGGACTAGCATGACATTCATTAAAAATGCCAATGTCTCTAACTTTATTAAATGTTAATAAAATATATCTTGTTTAAAATCATGATAAGGAGAGAAACTTTTTTCCCAATACACAAATGTGTATTCATGCTTGGTATTTCATATCACTATAAAAATGCAAATCTATAATGCTTGAGTCAATTGAAATTACAGATTTCCAACAACTCTAAAAAGTTAGGGTAAAAATTAAGAGTCAATTAGGAATCTCATCCTCTCTCTCCCTCCAGCTCTTTAAAGAATCATTACCTTAGTGATAGGTGACAGAGCAATCTTCCAAATAATGAGTTTCTCTTTGCAGACCAGACAAGCCCATCCACCTTCATCTATGTGAACAGTCAGCTGATCATCAACTAAAGAAAAAAACAAGGTACACAATTAATCTTACAGTATGAATTAAAACAGAAAATTTCTCATATCAAAATCCTCCTCACTGCCATACTCTTCACCCAAAAAAGTAACCACCACACACACAAGATTAACTCACAACAAAAAATACTCTTGAATAATTTAAGAGTTCTTAATATTCAAAATAAGAGATCCATTTAACTTTGACAACCACTCTTATAAATATATTGAAAGGTAAAACTATGTTCTGGTCTTAGGTTTAATATTTCTTATTTTTTGTTACAAACTTATATCACTTTTTATAATATTTAGTAAAATTCATAAATTTTGATAAAGCAACACAAATACTAAACCCCCTCATTAAATACATAAAACATTTCAAGGAAAAATCATGTTCCTGCAAAAGAACAAGATTTTCAATGTGTTGCACATTCATTTTCTTTGAATGTGATGAATTACTTTATTATATGCTAACCTAAAGGGCTTAGGTTTCCTCGGCTTCACCTGCTGCTTCAGTTATTTGCAGACCACTGGGGCCTGAGATATTACATGAAAAAGTGTGGAAATAACACTTCCAAGTTTGTGATGAAACCCTGCAGTGTCCCGCTGTCCTGATGGGGACGTGAATCATTCCTTTGTCCAGTGTACGGACGCTGTGCCCACCACCCATCCATTAGCCACTTAGTAGTAGTCTAAGTTATCGGAGCAACTGTCTTGGTGTTGCAGTCCTTGTGTTCAAGTAACCTTGTTTTACTAAAATGAGGCCACAAAGCAGAGAGAAGTGATGCGGCACTTTGGATATTCTCTTACTGTGCCTAACTGACAAGTTAAACTTAATCACAGGCAGGCATGTATAGGGAAAACATAGTATATACAGGGTTCAATGCTATTCTGTTTCAGTCAACCCCTGGGGTCTTGGAACATATGCCTGTGGCTAAGGGAAGACTACTCTATTGCTGCTCTAAGTGTTGCTGCTAAACCTGTGTAAATGCATTAACAGCCCTAGAAATTTAATCAATATGAGCTTTGCTCTTCATTTGAAGACATGGTAGAGGGCCAAATAAAAGGCACCAATAAAGCACAAGCTGAAATAGAAGTATCAAATCATACCTAGGTTGAGTGTGGGCTTTCTGCTGAACTGGAATACCTGATTGGTACTTTCTTTCCCTAAAAGCACGGTGGCAGCTCCAAATCCTCCACTGGTGAACCCTTGAGGACCCTGACTCAGTACACCAACTGACTAGGGCTTGGAAATTTCCATGTGAGGATGAGATCGTCTCAAGTTTACAGAGTCTTCAGTTTTCACATCCTGATTTCTAGAAACTCTCTCCTCTGAGCCTGTGTACTATTTATTATTAACATGGTCTGATGGCATGAACCAGGAGTATGTCAAAGGCTTAAATGTAATTTAAGCTGAAATTTTTAGAAGGGAAAAGGAAATATATATATATATATATATTTAAACCAGGAACAATGCAAGACAGAGGTTAGTAGAAGTTGAGTTGTCTGAAAATAATTGTACCTGAAGCTCCCATGGACTTACTGGTAAAATGTGCTAGTTCAAGTTGATGAGAAATATTCCTTTTTATGGAATGGAGTACTTTAAACTTTTTTGACTGTCATTCACAGTATGTAATACATTTTACAGCATGATGTAGTCATACACAATTTAAATAAAACAAAATCAGATACACTCAGACATTCTGCAATCTACTTTACTTCATTTTTTAAAAAAATGTTGGTCATGAACCACTAGTGATTTCAGTCACTACCTGCAGTTTTAAAAACACTGTTCCAGGAAATCAAAGGATGCTCTGAACTTTGCTCTTAGAGTCACCCCAACTTCTCATCCTTAATGGCATCTTTCTGAAGCTTGTGTTGACCACACCTTCCACACTTCCACTCTAATTCTCTACCAGTGGGGCGTCTCTGGTGGTCCACTGGTTAAGAATCTGCCTTGCAATGTAAGGACACAGGTTCCATCCCTGGTTCTGGAAGATCCCACATGCTGCAGGACAACTGAGCCCATGGGTGACCTCTTTGACTGCACCCTGGAGCCCATGCTCCACAACTACTAAAGCTAGCGTGCCCTAGAGCTTGTGCTCTGCAATAAGAGAGGCCACTGCAATGAGAAGCCCATGCACTTGAACTAGAGAGTAGCCTCTGCTCGCTGCTAAAGAAAGCCTGGGAACAGCAATGAAGACCCAGCATGGCCAAAAATAAACAAGTATATTAAAATAAATAAAAATAATAATTTTCTGCCAAGAGAATCTTCCAATGGTGCACAAAACTGGTAACGTAAATTTGGCTGGCACGGCAGCCCAGCCGGCACGGTGCAGAGCAGTCGGCCTGAGTGCTCAGCACAGCGAGGAGGGTCCCTTGGACACACTGCCTTTTGCTGCTGCTCAAACCAGGACAAACCTCTGCCCTTCTCACCTCTTCTACCTCCGTGCCGCCACTTCCCATGTGGGCAGCACACACCATGACAAAGAAAAGCAAGAAGTCCTTCAAACAGAGCCTGGCCAAGTGGAAGGTCTTCATCTACAACCTGACCACCAGAGAGTTCCTGGGGTGCACTGCTAAGGGCTTGGGTTTGATCTTGCTCTTCCACCTACTCTTTTTTTTTTTTTCATTTATTTTTATTAGTTGGAGGCTAATTACTTCACAACATTGCAGTGGGTTTTGTCATACATTGACATGAATCACCATGGAGTTACATGTATTCCCCATCCCGATTCCCCCTCCCACTTCCCTCTCCACCCGATTCCTCTGGGTCTTCCCAGTGCACCAGGCCCGAGCACTTGTCTCATGCATCCCATCTGGGCTGGTGATCTGTTTCACTATAGATAATATTCATGCTGTTCTCTCGAAACATCCCACCCTCGCCTTCTCCCACAGAGTCCAAAAGTCTGTTCTGTACATCTGTGTCTCTTTTTCTGTTTTGCATATAGGGTTATCATTACCATCTTTCTAAATTCCATATATATGTGTTAGTATGCTGTAATGTTCTTTATCTTTCTGGCTTACTTCACTCTGTATAATGGGCTCCAGTTTCATCCATCTCATTAGAACTGATTCAAATGAATTCTTTTTAATGGCTGAGTAATATTCCATGGTGTAATATATGTACCACAGCTTCCTCATCCATTCATCTGCTGATGGGCATCTAGGTTGCTTCCATGTCCTGGCAATTATAAACAGTGCTGCAATGAACATTGGGGTGCACGTGTCTCTTTCAGATCTGGTTTCCTCAGTGTGTATCCCTAGAAGTGGTATTGCTGGGTCATATGGCAGTTCTATTTCCAGTTTTTTAAGAAATCTCCACACTGTTCTCCATAGTGGCTGTACTAGTTTGAATTCCCACCAACAGTGTAAGAGGGTTCCCTTTTCTCCACAGCCTCTCCAGCATTTATTGCTTGTAGACTTTTGGATAGCAGCCACCCTGATTGGAGTGTAATGGTACCTCACTGTGGTTTTGATTTGCATTTCTCTGATAATGAGTGATGTTGAGCATCTTTTCATGTGTTTGTTAGCCATCTGTATGTCTTCTTTGGAGAAATGTCTGTTCAGTTCTTTGGCCCATTTTTTGAGTGGGTCATTTATTTTTCTGGAATTGAGCTTCAGGAGTTGCTTGTATATTTTTGAGATTAATCCTTTGTCTGTTGCTTCATTTGCTATTATTTTCTCCCAATCTGAGGGCTGTCTTTTCACCTTACTTATAGTTTCTTTTGTTGTGCAAAAGCTTTTAAGTTTCTTAGGTCCCATTTGTTTATTTTTGCTTTTATTTCCAATATTCTGGGAGGTGGGTCATAGAGGATCCTGCTGTGATTCATGTCGGAGAGTGTTTTGCCTATGTTCTCCTCTAGGAGTTTTATAGTTTCTGGTCTTACATTTAGATCTTTAATCCATTTTGAGTTTATTTTTGTGTATGGTGTTAGAAAGTGTTCTAGTTTCATTCTTTTACAAGTGGTTGACCAGTTTTCCCAGCACCACTTGTTAAAGAGGTTGTCTTTTTTCCACTGCATATCCTTGCCTCCTTTGTCAAAGATAAGGTGACCATAGGTTCGTGGATTTATCTCTGGCCTTTCTATTCTGTTCCATTGGTCTATATTTCTGTCTTTGTGCCAGTACCATACTGTCTTGATGACTGTGGCTTTGTAGTAGAGTCTGAAGTCAGGCAGGTTTATTCCTCCAGTTCCATTCTTCTTTCTCAAGATTACTTTGGCTATTCGAGGTTTTTTGTATTTCCATACAAATTGTGAAATTATTTGTTCTAGTTCTGTGAAAAATAACATTGGTAGTTTGATAGGGATTGTATTGAATCTATAGATTGCTTTGGGTAATATAGCCATTTTGACAATATTGATTCTTCCAATCCATGAATACAGTATGTTTCTCCATCTGTTTGTGTCCTCTTTGATTTCTTTCATCACTGCTTTATAGTTTTCTATGTATAGGTCTTTTGTTTCTTTAGGTAGATATACTCCTAAATATTTTATTCTTTTTGTTGCAATGGTGAATGCAATTGTTTCCTTAATTTCTCTTTCTGTTTTCTCATTGTTAGTGTATAGGAATGCAAGGGATTTCTGTGTGTTAATTCCACCTACTCTTTTATGGGTTCCTGGCTGCACTCTTTTTATGCACAATGTATGCTATACTTCAGATTCTGAACAATGAGATTCCAAAAGATAATGACCAGATTCCAAGTTCAAGACTTAAATGGTTTTTCCAAAACTAGTGATGGTATTGGATTTTTCATTCAGCATGTCTAATCCAGAGTCCTATAAAAGGTACAATGATGACCTTAAAAAATTTCTAAAGCCATATGGCTTAGAAGAACAGATTCTCACAGAATTTAACAATGGAAACTTTTCTGAGCAGAAAGGTCCAGATTAGACTGCATGTCAGTTTCCTTTTACCTTACTTGAAGCATGCAGAGGTGTGGCTGATGCCAAGCTTGGCCACAACACAGGAAACCTTTGTATTCTTGTGAAAATGAACAGAATGGTTGCATTAAACCCTCAATGAGAACCAAGGATAGAATGTATTACAAAGAATGAAAGCCCAGCAGTTCTATCAACTTATCTTCCCAGTGGAAAGACAGATTTAAAATATTTTTCATGTTACAGGAAAAAACTGCATGGGAGCGATCTACAGCCACTAGGTGAGCTATCTCTAATTCATCTTTGGTAATACGGATGACATAAAAGAAGTTAATAATTGAGTGCCAGATTGATGGATCACCCAACCTAAAAACCCAGAATGATCATGACAAGTTTTCAAGACGAGTTGCATTCAAGATCACCATACACGCATAGTAGGAGTTAGGGTATCTCCACAGGGTAAATGTTGTGTTGTCATCTTTATTCTGTATCATCCAGACCTGCCATTCCAGAATCATCGAGACTACCCTGGAGAAAGGTGGAGTGGTACATGACCCTGGAGTACCAACATCTTGTTCTTCCAATCACAGTATTCCACGCCCTTCAAAGTAACTTGCCTGTTGCCTCTGCTGCCTCCTGAATCATGTACAATCACCAGATAGGGGCTGTGAACACCTGATTCTGAACATGTAGGACAAGGGTCTTGTCCAATTTGTATGTGGTTTAATTGCCAAGTGTCTAATGCTTAAAGTGCTGTGCTATATAAATATTTTATAGGTTTAACACTGGTTAATTGTCATACTTTGATGCCACCAAAGTTTTAGGGGATAAAATGGTACCTGACCAACATCAAATGACTTTACAGCTCTAAGAAAATTGGTGGGTAGAAAGTTCTTATGTGAGAAGGATAAAGGAAAATAAAAGCAAGCATGAAAGGTTAAAAAAAAAATTATGCATACAGCTTCTGGGGTACTACACATATTCAAAATGGAGGTAAGACTTCATTCTATTGCATTATTAAACCCAATAATGTAAGGCAGTAGTTTTGGGATTTTTTTTAAAAGCTAAACTTCATATACTCAAACAACTTTTGAAGTTGGACTGAGTTTTGCATACACAGTATGTACAACCATAAATACTTATTTTGATTGTGCTAAAATGAGCTCATTCTGCTTCCCAAATTTGTTATATTTCTCAAACACAATGAAAAGCCAAGTAAGTCACCTATTTCTCCCCAGGGAAGTGAAGGTACACCAGTGAAGTAAAGTGAAAGTCGCTTAGTCATGTCTGATCTTTGCAAGCCCATAGACTATACAGTGCATGGAATTCTCCAGGCCTGAATACTGGACTGGGTAGCTGTTCATTTCTCCAGGGAATCTCCCTGACCCAGGGATTGAACCCATGTCTCCTGCATTGCAGGCAGATTCTTTACCAGCAAAGCCACAAGGGAAGCCCAAGAATACTGGAATGGGTAGCCTATCACTTCTCCAGCAGATCTTCCCAACTCAGGAATTGAACCGGGGTCTCCTGCATTGCAGGTGGATTCTTTACCAGCCTGACAAGAGAAAGCACAAATTTCTATCTTCACGTCAGACCTAGGCTTCATTTGAATTGCTAATAGAGACTAATGAAAAATGACACCCACCTTCAGTCAATGTTAAGGCTTCAATGACTTTAACAGGGAGAGAAGATCCAAATGTTTTCACATCATAGTTCACAGACTCAGTTATGGAGTGGTGTGGGAATATTCGCGTAGGTGTTCCTCTAAAGAAATGAGATCATATTATTTTACTCATAACTTAAAATTTTTTCATTATTCATTATAATGTTATATATATATTTTCACAATGAAGAGAAAATCTTTGATAAACAAGAAGAAAGATGAAGCTTAATAGTGAAAAACTGGCTCATGTATACTGTGTAAATGTATTTTTCATTAAAAAAATAAATAACAGAATCTGGCTTCGATTCTCATGCTTCAGTAATTAGATGCATGATCTAGTTACTTAAACTCTTTATAATTCTGCTTCCTTAACTGTGAAATAAGAAGGTTGGACTATATCAGTGTTTTTCAAATTATAGGTCATTTTGAGGGTTTCTCAAATTTGAGGGTTTCTCACTCAACATTTTTGAAAAACAAAATATAGAGTACAGTTTATCATATTCTATGGTCAAAAAAGTTTTACAGACATTGGGTTACATTATCTTTAAGCTCTCATCAAATCTAGAAATATAACATTTTACCAGAAATACAATCAAAATCAAGAAATTAAGTAGGGTCATAAGTATCTGCTGTTACCCCTTCTTCAATAACAGATACAGCAGTAGAGATTATATTTCCTTCTCACCTTCCTCTTAATATTCAGAAAAAGTATAAATATATCAACATAAAAGTTATTCTCTTATTATAGGATTCTCTTATCATTAAATGAATGCACATACAGAGTGGTTGACAGCATTATTTCTGACTGAATATAACAAAGATTTTTCTTTGAGCTGATCACCAAAAGAAGAAATTAAAATAAAAAGATGAAAACAAAGTATAACTTTTATTCACTGACTTTTGTCAAAAGGAGTAGAAAACAATCACAAGATCACCATTTGAAGAGCACTTTACAAATTGCAAAAGTCAAGGAATACAAGGTATTCTTTAAAATCATTTCTCCTTTAAAATATTGCAATTTTCTATACATAAATTTTAAATATAAGTTCAAGACTCAATATTACCATTTTCTTACAGACGCAAATTCATTTTGATAGATGAATTCAAAGGGAACCACTCAAGAAACATACGTGCTTCTTTTCTAGATTAACTATGAAAGGGGAGATGCAGAGCATGGTCTCACAAGTGACGTGCACTGGTGTGCCACACTTTTATTTAATAACATAACAACTATTCTTATTTCGTTGCTTATGGAAAGTCTTTTCCCTATTAATTTAGCTGCAGGGTTAACTTCTGTAGCTAAAATCCCTTTAATTATCAATCAGCAGATGTTAACAGGGAGTTAATATGTTAGGCAAATATAATGATTCTACAGGATTGAGGCCTTCATTGCCACCATCACTTTACATCTGCATCGTGGCATTTCACTTTGGCAGGCTCAGATTAGGTTCATTACTGCCATTCCGCAGAAGGAGAGATCATGTGTGACCTACACTAGATCACAGGGGTAATAGGAACAAGGCAGGTAACCACCTGATTCTAATCACCAGATTCGAATTCAACACCTGTTGTTGTTGTTTAGTTGCTGAGTCGTGCTCGACTCTGCCACCCCATGGACTGTAGCCCCCCACGCTCCTCGGTCCATGGAATTTTCCAGGCAAGAAAACTGGAGTGGGTTGCCATTTCCTCTCCAGGGGATCTTCCTGACTCAGGGATCGAACTCGCGTCTCCTGCTTGGCAGGCAGACTCCCTACCACAGAGCCACCTGGGAAGCCCCCTCTCCCCCCTCTCAGTTCAGTTCAGTTCAGTTCAGTCGCTCAGTCGTACCCGACTCTTTGCCACCCCCATGGACTGCAGCACGCCAGGCTTCCCTGTTCATCGCCACCTCCCGGAGCTTACTCTACCTCTACACAAAGGTAAATCCATTCAAAGTGTGTGAAGCACACACTTTGTGATTAATTCAGTTGATGAATTAATCAAAGCGAGGTTGTAATTATCACACGCAAGGGTGCAAGGGTGACGGATATCTATTTTCCCAACACTCTGGCGTCCCTAGCCGCCCCTGGTTCCGTGGCTTCTGGAGGGCCGTGAGCCTGTGAGTCGCCGAACCCAACCCAGGATGACCACTCACCGCGAGCTCAGGGAGCTCCGACGGCCGGCGGGAGAGAAGAGCACCGGGGAGCTGACAGAAGACCCCAGAGTCAGACCCTTCCTGCTGGTCGCCCGGGGCGTGGAGCCCAGCCCGACTCCGCCCAGGGGGCCTCTTCGAGTCCCGGTCCCCGGGGTCCGCGGAGAGGAGACCGCCGGGAACATGACCGAAAGGAGAGGGAACAGACAGCGCACGTCCCAGCCGTGGGGATGGAGCGCAGCCCGCGCGCGGAACTCCAACACCTGATGGGCGGGAGGGCGCGCGATTAAGACGTCAAAGAGCAGCGCCAGGCTGTGTGCTGCGCTGTGTTGACGTCCAAGCTCTGCGCGAGCCTCAAGGCGCGGTCGAGACCTCAGGAAAAATTGGGAGGTAGGGTGCGCTGTGGTGACGGAGGTGCAGCGCTGAGTCTTGAGGCTTGGCCGGGCCGGCAGGAGAAACCGGAATGGGGCGCGCTTTGATGACGTAAAGGAGAACGCCGAGCCTTGGGGGCGTGCTGGAAGCTGTGGACCCTCGAAGTTGAGAGGGAACCTGAGCTAGAGACCCTGGAGCGGAACAGTGGAGGGGACTCCAGAGTTTCCAGGGAAGTGAAACTGGAAAAGCACGGGCTCTTCTCCGGTCTGGAGGGTAGGACTGCCCCTCCAGCAGCTGAAACGCAAAGCCCCGGCACGCTGGTACTTCCTGAACCTCTTGGGAAATGAAGAGAGTTCTTTCCCTGGTCCAAAAAAAGGGACCTGTGAAGTCTCTTATTCGTGTCCGACTCTGCGACCCGATGGACTGTAGCCTATCAAGCTCCTCAGCCCATAGAATTTTCCAGGCAAGAGTACTGGAGTGGGTTGCCATTTCCTTCTCCAGGGGATCTTCCCAGCCCAGGGATCGAACCGGGTCTCCCGCACTACAGGCAGACGCTTTAAAACTGTAAAGCCGACACTGGTTTCACAGTGTTATAGATGTTATTACCTAGATTTGTCATTTCTCCTTCATGCTAGTGACATAACAAGTCTATCTCTAGCAGGTCCTGATCAAAAACCATAGGCTTCTGACAGCCCTAGTGGACCGCTTTCCACCTGGATGTCCTGCTCATGCCTCACAATCTGCTCATTAAAAGCTGAATTCAGGTTTTCTTTGGGACTCCTGTTTCACTACCACTTCTTGCCCGTTGGATAAAATTGATTAGTTGGCCAGTGCAAAAAGAAGAGCTCTATCCTAGATTCATCCTTCACAGTTTCCTCCACTGTAACACCTGGGACACTGTACTCCTGAGCATCTCTAGTAGAAAGCACATCTGCATTGCCTTTGCCCTGGTTAAAGTGCTCACACTTTCCTCTTTTTTAGCCTTTTGCCTTCTTTTGGGTCTTCTCGCCTCTGGATGGTCTTCAACACCATCCTTCCACACTACAGCTGATAAGTGGAATATTGCCTGCCATATAAGTAAACAAAGGATGTCATAGTCATCAGTGATTGCTGCCACCATGTGAGCTGGTGAGCCCTGAGGAAACTCAGGCTATGAAAACACAGGATACTGACCCCCAGCTAGCTGAGGTGTGTATTGAATGATAATTTCAGTAAGCCCAGCCTTTTGCATCATTCCATACTATGTGACTTGACATGGAGTTCAGATGTTGGAGGATGGTGAATAGACAGTCATTCATTCATTCTGGATTTATTGACTACCTTCCATGTGCCAGCCTGTATGCTAAGTGCTGTTTTCTAACTGTAAACAAAGCAGACATGGGCCTGGCCCTTGAGATCACAGACCAATGAGAAAGACAGGTCCTGAATAAATGAACACAAATTTATTTACACAACCACGAGTTGATATGTGTACAATGAAAGAAAAGAGGAGGGTGTCTGACAGAGAATGACTGGGTATCTGACTTTGGAGGAAGATCTACAAAGGCTTCTGAGAGAAAAGGACATCTCTGCTGAGACATGCCCTCAGCCAGGCAAAAAAAGAGGAAGAGTATTTGAAGCAGTGGATCCTCTGGCAAGGACCGGAACCAGCAAAGAGCCTGGTACATTCCAAGATCTTTAGACAAACCAACCAATGACAAGTGACTAAAAGTGGAGGAATCAGGAGAAATGAGGGCCCAGGAAGGGCCTTGTAGACTATCAAACAAGATCCTAAAGGAAACACCACTCACAAGCTGGGTAGAGAATTTAATAAAGGATTGTTAGAGATTGTATAGAGCCCTGAGGCTCTAAGAACAAATGGGCCAAGAAAAGAAGGGGTCACCAGGCCATGGCTGTGGATCAGGAGACACAACCAACTCAAGGCCACCCAGAAGGAGGGAACAGCTGGGAATGGAAGTGCCCTGACCTCAGCGTGAGGAGGCCAGAATGTGAAGGAAGAGAACACGAGGACCATCCTCTTGGTGGGAGGGCCCACCTCCTGTAGGAAATAGTGGAGAAGGCGAGTAGAACAGAAGATGTGCAGCACATATGCCTTGGGGAAGCCACCCAGGTACTTGTTAACCCCTCCCTAGTGCTGTCATGGAGAAGGCAATGGCACCCCACTCCGGTACTCTTGCCTGGAAAATCCCATGGACAGAGGAGCCTGGTAGGCTGCAGTCCATGGGGTCGCTAAGAGTCAGACACGACTGAGCGACTTCACTTTTCACTTTCATGCACTGGAGAATGAAATGGCAACCCACTCCAGTGTTCTTGCCTGGAGAATCCCAGGGACGGCGGAACCTGGTGGGCTGTCGTCTTTAGGGTTTCACAGAGTCGGACACGACTGACGCGACTTAGCAGCAGCAGCAGCAGTGCTGCCATTTCCCTATTTATCTTTTCATCTCATTTTATCTAGTGTAGCCAGTTTAGAAGTCCAGAAGGAAGAATGGTGTAGTGCAAAGGCCTCTCCAGCCTAAGCACCGCCTGGAGGGCTGGTTAAGTTGGACAGCTGAGCCCCACCTTGGTGTCTGACTCATTGGGCTGAAGGCTGAGAATCTGCATTTCTAACATTTGCATTCCTAAGTGTTATGGAGACGTCTGTCTTGGGACTTTTTTTTTTGGCTTAGGACATTTTGGTAACTACTGTGTGGTAATTAAGAGAGCTTCCCTGGTTGACCAGTGGTAAAGAATCCACATACCTGTCAATGCAGGAGACTCTGGTTTGATCCCTGGGTTGGGAAGATCCCCTGGAGAAGGAAACAGCAACCCACTCCAGCCTGGGAAATCCCATGGACAGATGAGCCTGGTGGGCCACAGTCCATGGGGTCACAAAAGAGTTGGATACAGTTTAGCGACTAAACAATGAAAACAACAGTAATTGAGAGAATGCATAGACTCTGGAATTAAATGAGGCTTGTTTCAAATCCCCACCTTTTCTCTCTACTATCTGTGTCACCTTTTTGAGTCTCTGTTAAGTTGCTAGTAAACTAGCAAAATCAAATAGGGTACACTTTTAGAAATCTGAAAAAAATAAATCATAACAAAGATATACAGGCAGCATTGTTTATGACAGCAGAGACTATAGAAAGATAAATCTAACAGTAGATTTGTAACATACTAACATTATAGAATGCTATAGGTTAAAAAGAACACATGTGGTTGTGTGTAATGAATACTTAAAAATGTAGGGAAACATTGTCATCAAATGTAAAAACAGGTTGGTTAAAAATTAATATGTCCAATGTAAGTCCATTTTTGTTGTATTAAAAATAAAAATCCCTCACAAGTGCAGTATGTGTATGTGTATGAGATGCTCAACCTACATGTGCCTCCCTCTGTCCAGCTTCCTAAAATGCAGCTTTTTCAGTGAGGACCAAACTGATTGATGTAGAACTCATTACTGCAGTCATCAATAGGAAAGCAGCCAGGATTATTTCCTGCAGATGTGGTAGGATTGCCAGAATTCTATTTTCAGCAACACAGTAATTATGATCCTCTTCAAATGGGAAGGCAGGGGCACAGTGATGAACTTATCGTGGATATTATCCAGGGCTCAGCGGTAAAAAATCTCCTGCAATGCAGGAGACAAAGGAGCCATGGGTTTGATCCCTGGGTGGGGAGGATTCCCTGGAGGAGGACATGGCAGCCCATCCCAGTACTCTTGCCTGGAGAATCCCATGGACAGAGAAGCCTGGCAGGCTACAGTTCACAGGGTCACAAAGAGTCAGACACGACCGAGCATGCATGCACACAATCATCTGCAAGGCTTCAATTTAGTCTCATCTAGTGGCAAGGGAATTTTTTGAAATAACTCTAAATTTCAGCATAGTTTAAACATCCTTCAAGCAGTGAAGAACGTGTTGTTATCACCAGTTCTGGGGACTGCAAACTCTTTCTGTCAAGGGACAGAGAGGAAGAGTCCCTGGCTTGCAGCCTGTTGCCAAGTAAGTATGGCTGCGTCCCAACAAAACAACTTATAAACACTGAAATTTGAATTTCATGTAACTTTCAAGTGTTATGAACTTTTAAAAACCATTTAAAACTGTAAAAACCCTTGTTAGCTTCGCAGGCCACACAAAACAGGTAAGAGGTCGCAGCTGTAGACCACCAGTACCAACTTCCTGAGGAAGGCCCAGCCAGCACTAGCACAGAGCTGAACAGAACAGAAGATGCTCCAGAAATGTTTATTGAATGAGTTGAATGGAGATTACCAGCTAAGCTCGACAATGCTTCAGATGTAAAAACATGGAAAAACACCCCCAAACAAACATTTATCAATGCAGTTTCCATACACTTCTTTCACTAATATACTTAATGTTTTGTGACACTTACATTTGTTTTCATTTATTTTCTAACAGCTTTGGCATTTTTATGGAAAAATGGAGCTTAAATGGAGTTCCTAAGTGGAGCCCTACTTTATAAAGGTTCAAATACTGGGCATAGCCTATAATGGTTTAATTTGTGATTATTTCATGGGAACCAGCAAGGTCCAAGGTTAGAGACATTGCACAGAGAGGAGCCTGGATGAGCAGACAACAAAGCACTCGGTCCATTAATGTGATATTTTATCTTCACACGGAGGTTTTCACACAATTTAAGCTTTCTTTCTGCTCATCTTTATACTGCCTACATGAGTTACATGTCCTTCAGTGGCTCCCCATGCACACACAATGAGCACTGTTTCCCATGTGGTGGTGATGGCCCCTGTGCCAGCCCTGCCCATTTTTCGGGCATCTTCCTGTATGCAGCATCAAGGCTGGCTGCATCAATGCAGAACCTGCCTGTGCTTCCGTCCTCAACTGTGAACAGGGATCGGTATTTATTTAAATTACAGGGTTGTCCAAGTATCCACTGTGGTAACGTGCAGTCTGGAAACAAAGAGTGGCACAAACTCTGTGTTAGCTAACTGTCACAGAGGTGTTGTTACTGTTTTCTTGTCATTAATTCTTTTATATACCTGACGGCTCCTTCTACACTGGAAGCTTCTAGAGGGCAGACACTACACCTCACTCATTTGGCACCAGTTCTACAGCACAGTTCCTTGTCCGACACGTGGCAGGAGATGCTCCCTTACTGTGCTGAAGCAACTGAACAATGTTTATAAATAACAAGTGAGCACATTAAAAGCCTTAGATTAGGGGCTTCTCTGGTGGTACAGTGGGTAAGAACCTGCCTGTGAATGCAGAGGACACTTTCTATCTCTGGGAAGATCCCACATACCAAGGGGCAGCTAAGCCCGTGTACCACAACTGCTGAGCCCACAGGGTCAGCCCGTGGGAAGCCCCAAAGCCAGACCAGAGAGTAGCCCCCCGCTAGTCCCAACTACAGAAAGCCCATGCACAGCGACAGAAGCCCAGCACAGCCAAAAATAAGTAAGCAAAACTTTTAAAACAGATTAGAATGAAAGGAATGGAACTTATAATTACTCCCCCTTTCCTATGTTTGTAATTTTTTTTAGTCTTGAATCTTTATAAATTCTAGTAAGAAACTGAATGTAGTAAAAAGTTTTACAAGAAATGACAAACACAGATAAAGTTCACTATAAATTTTAATCCATGATATAAAAGGGAATACCTTGTATTAGAAAATAAAATATAATGATTACATTCAATTTTGTAAATGCTTCTGTGGCACAAAGATATTTCCTTCAGATCCAACCTTGTAATTGTGTTTTGTCTGCTTTTGAGAACACCATCATAGTAGTAAACCATGAAGAATATGAGTAAACTTGTTAAAAATGATTGTCACAGATGTACTGTTTAAATTCAAAGAACAGAGTTCATTTATTCACTGAATTCATTAATGAATTCCCTTATGTAGAATAAAATGTAATACTCCATGCTTATCATGAAATAGTGGTTTCTTCCAGTATAATCAGGAAGCTAATCACAATACTTAGGACCTGAGAAGACTTCCTTTTTAGTCATATCAACGTTGTTACTTCTTAGGTTCTGACATTATCATTACAGAAAAAGTACTTTTTCTTGAGGGAACGGCAACTTAATAGTGCTGATATGAATACAACAAATCCAAAGCAATGCTCAAAACATTGCTTGAGGAATTTTTGAGAAGTTTAGCTTTAACTATAACAACAAATAGAAGAAAGATGGTTAATTATATCCTCTTTTCAGAAGGTGACAAGCTCTTAACGTTTCTTGACATTTTGTAGAATGTATAAGCTTCCTTCAAATGTTTTAAGATTTAAATTACAGCTATATTAATAATTTTGGAATTTAGCCTCATTGAATGAAATTTCATAACTATTTAACTGAAAAAACACTGCAAAATTTGACTAGGAATGATAAACTCTTAAAAGATAATTTTCAAGATACATGCTTACAGATAACCTAAGTGTAAAATTACATCTTTTTTGATAATAACTGGCAGTTCATGCCTCACTTCCCAAATACACGAATAATGAAAACAGAAGTTCTCATATTCAAAGGATGGGGCTTCTTCCCTTTTTAAAATTCATCAGGCTCTCAGGTGCCAAAACCATGAAAACTGCACACATGGAAACACAGTCTCAGCCCAAAAGAACACATATCCCTATACTTTCATCCCTTTGAAGACAGAGGAGACAGGAAATATAAATGACCCCTCCTTGCAATGTGACATTATGTATTTCTGTATATATATATATTTCCTAAAAGAAATCAACCCTGAATATTCATTGGAAGGACTAGTGCTGAAGCTGAAGCTCCAATACTTTGGTCACCTGATGCGAAGAGGCAACTCATTGGAAAAGACCCTGATGCTGAGAAAGATAGAGGGCAAGAGGAGAAGGGGACGACAGAGGAGGAGATGGTTGGACGGCATCACTGACTCAATGGACGTGAGTTTGAGCAAGCTCCAGGAGATGGTGAAAGACAGGGAAGCCTGGCGTGCTGAAGTTCATGGGGTTGCAAAGAGTAGGACACCACTTAGCAACTGAACAATATATATATAGGTTGCTTTATGAGATTAGCAGGATAAAATAAAGGGTTAGATTTTTCACCATCTATCATGCTACGTGGTAAGATGAGACCCAAAGTAGGTAGAGTACTACCAAGAGATTACACAGTGATTGGTGAACTGGCCTAAAATAATTAGGCTTTTTATTTATAATTCTCTTTTAAAAGTTGTCGTATGACAATAACTTCAATTTATAACAGCAGATAAAAGAAAATGAGGTGCCATGCTCTATTAATCAAAATATTCTAAGATAAAAGAAAATATAAAACCTGAAAATAACATCAGTGCTCTAGACCATTTAGAAAGTTATAATTATTAAAATTCTGAGTAAAAAGGTCTTCAGAACAGATCCATCTCAAAACTATTTTACAAACTTTGGAAAAAATAGGCAGATTTCAAATGACTTGAAGTCTGATTTACAGATTTCCTAAGTCTGAGTTTTTTTTTTCCCACGCAGTGCAGCTTTGCTTTAAAACCTCTCATATTAAGTTTACCAGTAATCGCTTCTTTATGCTGAAACAAAACTCTGTTTGTTCATTAATTTCCTGTACATCCCATCTGGTTTCAAAAGCAGCTCTTCATGTTTCCCACACTCGATGATTCTCCCCAGGTCAAGGACAGCTACCATGCTGGCGTTCTTAATCGTGGACAGACGGTGGGCAATGATGAGCACTGTCCTTCCTTCCATCAGTCGGTCCAGGGCTTGCTGTACAAGGTGCTCGTTCTCAGCATCCAGTGCGCTAAACAGAAGAGCCCACGGGAAGGCGGCATCAGTGCCATGCACACTGTTCACACATGTGTTTCCTGGTGCACACATATGAACCCCTCGTAAGCAGCTGATCCCTGGTGTGATCAAGACTGCAACTCCCTGGGCCAACTATCTAAATTTTATAAAGTCACTATCAAAAAAAGAAGCTCTGAACCCTTGATTTCCAGAGAACTGCCATGTAAGTTAAAAAGGATTTTTCACATCTGCTGATAAGCGATGAGGGATTCATCACAAAGGTCTGAATTGGACCTAGAACCCTCAACTCACAATTCATCCTGTCTCCCACCTGTCATGATTAATTCATATCCCATCCCTTTAAAGTGTAAGGTGTTCTCAGCCACGTCACTTGGAATACAGAAGAGTAAGTTTGTGAAAAAGAAAGAATTTGATTTAATATAATTACACGTTAAGATATCCTCACCTGGTTGCTTCATCTAGGAGAAGAATTTTGGGATTCTGAAGAAGGAAAAACATTAAAAAGATAAGAAAGATATAATTTTATTAGAAAAAAAGAACTCTCAGAAATAAAACGAAATAAAGCACTGATACATGATACAACATAGATGACCCCCGAAAACACCCTAATGAAAGGAGCTGGACATAAAAGTCTATGATTCCATTTACAGGAAATGTCCAGAACAGGCACATCTGTAGGGGCAGATGTGTGGTCACCTGGCGTTGAGGTAAATGGGGAAACAAGGTGCATGGGTATGTGTGAATGTTATTTTGGTGATGAAGAAAATGTTCTAAAATTGATTACAGTGATGGATGCACAACTCTGAATACACGAACACTGAACTATATGCTGTGCATGGGTGAACTATATAGTGTGTGAATTCTACCACAATAAAGCATCTACAAAGGATGAAAAATAGTTCATATTGTGCTTAAGATGAGCTCATAAATGGAAGAGTTAAAGATGACTTTAAACCATTATCACAGTGATCAATGAACCGGATGTTTATAGTGCAGCTTTATTCTGCAGGTGAAACAACTAAAAGTATTAGATGGGGCTCTAATGCGAGTCAGATAGTCTAACTCTCAGGGTCCTCTTGGAGTTTAGTTTGGAGCAGTACACACAAAACTGAAAAGATAGAAGAGTCAGCCAATGTATATAACAGATAAATTCTAGTCTTGCCTAGGAATCTATCCACAAGAAATGAAAACATAACCACACACAAACTTGTACACCATTCAGAGCAGTGCTATTTCTAACAGCCCTAAACCAAAAATAACTCAAGTGTTCATTAACCTGTGAGTGATAGACAAATTGTGGTCTGTCCATACGAAGGACTGGAAAGGAATAAAGTACTGATATGGCTACAACATGGAGGAATCTTAGAAGCTCTACTAGGGAAGGAGGCTACAAGCAGACCACTGTCTGCTTTCATTTACCTGAAATGTCCAGAGAGGCAAATCTAGACAAAGTCAAAGTAGATTATTGGGAGGTGGGGCTGGGAATGCGGAAAGGTTGCTCAGGTGTATCAAGGTGATGGAAATGTTCTAAAACTGGATTATGATGGTTGCACAACTCTGTAAATTTACTAAAAGTCACTGAAAAGTACATTTAAAACTACTCAATTTTATGATATGCAAACCATGTTTCAGTAAAGTGGGTTTTTTTTTTTAATCACCTTTAAATCTGAGGAGAGTACTTATCTAACAAAGGAGAAGGCCATCATTTCCTAAAATATGCAATGCCTATGAACTTCAACTTGTCCGTTTCCTCTTAGGAGTCTTGTGTAAGCATTTCAAGTCTGTACCGTTCAGTTTGTTGTGCTCATTCTCCATCGTGTCCTTTGTGATCCCATGGACAGTAGCCCACCAGGCTGCTCTGTCCATGTGATTCTCCAGACAAGAATACTGGAGTGGGTTACCATTTCCCCCTCCAGGGGATTTTTCCGACCCAGGGATTGAACCTGCATCTCTTGCATCTTCTGCATTGGCAGGCAAGGATTGTTTGCCACTGAGCCACCAGGGAAGCCCACCATTCAGTTGAGCAGGTTATTAAATACTATACAAGTAAGTATACTTGTACTGTTTTGGTATTTTGATGTAATTACTGTTTCTCCAGTTAGAGACTGCATGCTTCTTTATTACTTTTTATATTGAAGTACAGTTGTTCACAATGTTGTGCAAACCTCTGCTATACAGCCAAGTGACTAGTTACACACATACAGACATCCTTTTTTCTTTTTTTTTTTTTTAAACATCCTTTTTTCTTTAATACTCAGTATGCTACTTGACGGAAGGTCTGTGTGTGAAACTTTTCTCCCTCTGATAATTCCAGCACTGTACTGGGCTCCCAATGCCCAAGAAATACTTGTTAAATTTGAACACAGTCAGTGGAATTCCCAACTCATCTTTCACAAGAGCTGTCAACAATATACCTACCCACCTCCTCCAAAAAGAAAGAAGGAGAAAAATTGTACATTACTAATTACAAGGTCCCTGGTTAAGAACAATGCCAAAAACCCCCAGCCAAGTGGCTTCAGGCTTACCTTAAGCAGAGCACGGGCAATTGCAATTCGCTGTTTCTGCCCACCTGACAATGACAATATATATATATATTTTAAACTGAAGGTCTTAACAAAAATTTTTGGTAATAGGCTTTACTGATACACCATGTGGCAATCTGAAGGTAACTTCTCCCAGTTGGTCAAGTTGAGATAGATGAGAGAATAGAAACCTATGTTTGAAATATATTATTTCCTCATCACTCTAGAGACTAATAATAAGAATTATTATCATGGCTAACACTGAGGAATTCCTATGTACCAGGCATTTCCTAAATGCATTACACATATTATTTCATTTCATCTCAAAAACAAGCCTGTGAAGTAGATTCTATAATGATTCCCTTTGCACAGATGAAAGATTGTGCCACATACACCCTGCAGGAGGCCTCACAGCTGGTCAGTGGACTGCTGAGGTCTGACTGTGCATTCACTTCAGTTCAGTCACTCAGTCGTGTCCAACTCTTAGCAACCCCATGAACCACAGCACACCAGGCCTCCCTGTCCGTCACCAACTCCCGGAGTTTACCCAAACTCATGTCCACTGAGTCAGTGATGCCATCCAACCATCTCATCCTCTGTCATCCCCTTTTCCTCCTGCCCTCAATCTTTCCCAGCATCAGGGTCTTTTCCAATGAGTCAGCCCTTCGCATCAGGTGGCGGAAGTATCAGAGCTTCAGCTTCAACATCCGTCCTTCCAATGAACACCCAGGACTGATCTCCTTTAGGATGGACTGGTTGGATCTCCTTGCAGTCCAAGGGACTCTCAACAGTCTTCTCCAGCACCACAGTTCAAAAGCATCAATTCTTCGGCACTCAGCTTTCTTTATAGTCCAACTCTCACATCCATACATGACTATTGGAAAAACCATAGCCTAGACTAGATGAACCTTTGTTGACAAAGTAATGTCTCTGCTTTTTAATATGCGGTCTAGATTGGTCATAGTTTTTCTTCCAAGGAGCAAGCCTCTTTTAATTTCATGGCTGCAATCACCATCTGCAGTGATTCTGGAGCCCCCCAAAATAAAGTCAGCCACTGTTTCCACTGTTTCCCCATCTATTTCCCATGAAGTGATGAGACCGGATGCCATGATCTTAGTTTTCTGAATGTTGAGCTTTAAGCCAACTTTTTCACTCTCCTCTTTCACTTTTATCAAGAGGCTCTTTAGTTCCTCTTCACTTTCTGCCATAAGGGTAGTGTCATCTGCATATCTCAGGTTATTGGTATTTCTCCCGGCAATCTTAATTCCAGCTTGTGCTTCTTCCAGCCCAGTGTTTCTCATGATGTTCTCTGCATGTAAGTTAAATACATAGGGTGACAATATACAGCCTTGATGTACTCCTTTTCCTGTTTGGAACCAGTCTGTTGTTCCATGTCCAGTTCTAACTGTTGCTTCCTGACCTTCATACAGGTTTCTCAAGAGGCAGGTCAGGTGGTCTGGTATTCCCATCTCTTGAAGAATTTTCCACAGTTTATTGTGATCCATGCAGTCAAAGGCTTTGGCGTAGTCAATAAGAGCAGAAATAGATGTTTTTCTGGAACTCTCTCACTGTTTCGATGATCCAACGGATGTCGGCAATTTGATCTCTGGTTCCTCTGCCTCTTCTAAATCCAGCTTGTACACTTGGAAGTTCGCGGCTCACGTGTTGCTGAACTGTGCACAGGCTGTGCTTATCACCACACATTTGCTCCCCCTCCCCCCAGCAGAGTGTCTCTTGTAGGAGGAAAGGCAAAGGAAACTCAGGGGAGCTGGGGTTCAGGGCAGGGCGTGAACTGATGAGAGCGAAGGCAGCTGGAATGGTGACGCTCCTGTCGGCCTGGAGCATGACTCTGCATCCACGCTCACCCGGTTCTCTTTCCCACCCGGGGAACAACTTGCACGCGTGCAACTGGGGGCGGCAGAGACAGCAGCCACTCTAACCCTTCCTGCCTTGTTTGTCGGCTCTAACGCTACTAAAAAAAGGGGGTGGGATGCGTAGGGGAAATGCAGAAGGACAGGAAGTGCTAACTCCCCTCCTCAACTCTGTTCCACTGGCCCCCTGCTCTCCTCCAGGGCCACTAGCCTAACTCAAAGCTGATGGAGTCTCACAGCAGGACACAGCTCACTCCTTCTGACTTAGTTCATCATGTGAGAAAACTCAGTTCCATTCTTGGTAATTAATTGTATTGGCTGAACATACTTCTTATTTCATCTAAAAGAAGTTAATCATTTAAAGTGAAATGAATGGTACTGCTGAAAGCTGTCCTCAACCAGGCAATCCCATCCTCACAACGAGGGAGGGAGGAAAAACCCTTTCTATCTGAACCTCTCTGGTTGGTGGGGGTCCGAATGCTCAGTGTGGGTAGGCAGAGTGGCCAGTGAGGGCTTTAGTCAGCTCTGAAAATCTCAGGTGCCAGTGAGCACATGGGCATCTGCTGCTAGAAGCCCACCCCTTCCTCCACAGTGGACTGAAACCTTCGGTTCCTTCACTGGGAGACAGAGCCTGGGAATCCTGGTGAAGGGAAGGACACACAGACTCTGTTCCCAGGGAGCAGGTGATGCACCGCTGGGCCGAGTACAGGCACCCTCAGCTCTGCACCTCCATCCCTGCCAGCTCCCAGCATCCTGCCTGAGGACACTCTGTCCCAGAGATGCAGGAACAGTGCTAGGCCGTAACTTACCCCATCCATCAAAAGCAGGCTTTCATCTACTGCCTATAGTTTTAACAAATCATACACAACAATCTTAAAATATTTTTGTGTTAAACTATCTGTAGCCTAAGTTCAAGCAAAAAGTTCAGTGCTGGAAAGGATTCCTGCTCCAGCCTTCACTCTGACATGGAGGCCTCCCCCCTCGCTCGTGCAGATCCAGTGACAAAGATCATCATGAAAGGAAGCACCTCTTAATATTTGTAATAAAAAACAAAACAAAACTGTGTTTAACCAAAATTTTACTTCTCTATTTTTGGGGGGGGGGCCTCCAAAATCACTGAAGATGGTGACTGCAGCCATGAAAAGATGAAAAGATGCTTGCTCTTTGGAAGAAAAGCTATGATCAACCTAGACAGCATGCTAAAAAGCAGAGACATTTCTTTGCCAACAAAGGTCCATTTAGTCAAAGGTATGGTTCTTCCAGAAGTCATTTATGGATGTGAGAGTTGGACCATAAAGAAAGCTGAACACCAAAGAATTGCTGCTTTTGAACTGTGGTGTTGGAGAAGACTCTTGAAAGGCCCCTGGACTGCAAGGAGAGCCAACCAGTCCATCCTAAAGGAAATCAGTCCTGGGTGTTCACTGGAAGGACGGATGTTGAAGCAGAAACTCCAATACTTTGGCCACCTGATGCGAAGAGCTGACTCATTGGAAAAGACCCTGATGCTGGGAAAGATTGAAGGCAGGAGGAGAAGCGGTCAACAGAGGATGAGATGGTTGGATGGCATCACCGACTCTATGGACGTGAGTTTGGGCAAGCTCTGGGAGTTGGTGATGGACAGGGAAGCCTGGCGGGCTGCAGTCCATGGGTCTGCAAAGAGTAGGACATGACTGAGTGACTGAACTGAACTTACCTCTATTCGTTGGTCCCACTTTTGCACTTGAAAGCAACAGAACTGTTTCTCTTTCCCTCCTGTAACTCGGCCCCCATCATGCGATCTGACTCGTTGCCTGAGCTGGCATCACAGGAGTCCTGGCACTGGAGCCCCAGTGGTGCCACAGGCCTGCAAGCCCCCACTGTCCAGAGCAGGACGTGACGGGCTCTGCCTGCGTCAGGTCCGGACCAGGGTCTCTCTGCAGTTATTACATTTGAAAAGAGTTGTTTAAAAAGAAAAGATGACTATGTGACAGAGACCACATGTAGCCTACAAACCTAAATCATCTACTCTCTGGTCCATCATAGAGAAGCTTGTCAGCCCACAATCTCCTCCAGCTGCACATCTCCTCTGCCTCAGTCTCTGCCTCCCAGGACAAGTCATCCTGCCATCCAGTGTCTGTCTTACTTTCAAGGATCTTGAATTGTAAAACATCTATTCTCAGATGAGAAAAAGAGGCTGTGGCTGAATACTACCCAGTGGGACCCCCAGTGGGAGCCTGGAAACACCTCTGGGGAGAAAGTGAAGGGAATTGGGGAATTGTCACATACAAAAAGAGATCTGAGAAAACAAAAATGTTAATTTCATAAACTCTAAGGACAAAAGCCTAATTAAAAAATAACAGCACAATAGAAAATGTTTGGAGAGTTTTTTGGAGCAGAGACATTTGGTGACGAAGAGTAACAAAAACGCACCTGAGAGGAGAACACCCTTTTCTCCGACCACAGTGTTGAATCCTTGAGGGAAATTTTGGATGAAAGCAGCTGCATTGGCTACAGCGGCTGCCTGCTCTATCTGCGCAGTGGTCACTGAGGCGGGGTCGTCTGCACCATATGCAATGTTCTCCGCAATGGAGCAAGAAAACAAAATTGGCTCCTACACATTGGAAACAAAACATACTTATTGAAAATTTCAAAAGGCCAGTAATACAGTGGAGCTTAGTACAATATTTACATCTAAGAACTTTTCCCAGAGAATATATACTGGGTTTTTTGGGGGTGGGGGGTTCTATTTTCTCATTCTCCATCAATTTACCCCACAGTGACTAAACGTTTCACATGTTAGCACGAGCAGGACTGACTTTACCATCTGAAGATCACCACTGCAGGATCCTGCCCTCACCCTGAATGTAGCAGATGCTCTGTAAATGCAAGTCCCCTTTCCCGAGGAAGACCTCGGCCCCGTCTGCGTTCTCCAGCTGCCTGCCTTCCAAGGATGAAGGGAGAGTCCATCTCTTTCTGTCACTTCTTGAAACACAAAGCAGATGGGAAAGTGGCATTTGCACAGAACTGTTGTGTGGAATTGTCCTAAACAGCTAATAAACTCCCAGCTTCTTGCTCTATCCTTAATGAGGACATGGCACCGCTGTTACCCTAGCACTCCCGAGCCAAGCCCATCACTGTCCCCAGTCTGTCCCTGGAAGAGTGGGGCTGAGGGGGGGTTCACTGGAGGGAGAGGCCCAGGAGTGGTGGAAGGCTTGGGTTTGTCTGTTGTGCACATAGCTTGGTAATAAAAATATAAATAGCTTGTCAAAATTCCCCTGCACTAAGTGGTCTTGTGAAAACATCTTCACCAAAGAGACCATATTAATGTTCTTGAAATCCTCTACCTTTTGCAAAGGGACCTAGCTCTTGGCATAGTCTTTGCTTGCTTATCTCTGAAACCCTGGCAAAACAGTAGACCAGCTACTAATGAACATGAGAACTGAGAAAGAATCAAAAGAAGCTAAAAAGCTGTATCTTTTTCTCCCCAATCTTCTGGACTACCTGCATTACAAGTAATGACAGTGTCCACCTTTGGAAAAAGATAATGCTTCAAGTGGTTGAAGTGTCTAAGGTCTTCAGGAAACAGCACTACGAACCTAAACAATCTGCCCGATGAAGTTAGTTTACTACATCTGAAAAACATCCGTTCCTTTTCTTTTGAAAGGTCCAAGACCAAGAGAAAAGCAAATGACAAAAGCAATTTTAAAAGAAAGTATAATAAAAATGGACCCCTCTCCTCTTACCTGACTCACTGTCCCAATCTTGGATCTCAACCAGACTGGGTTTAGCTGACGGATGTCGTGGCCATCCAGGCTGATTGTTCCTTGCAGGGAAGAAGGGAAAGAGGTCAGTGGGTGCCATGGGGGCAGTGACTGACAGAAACACAGATGTGATCTGGCGGGAAAACTCCAGACTCAGTTTTTTAAAGATTAGATACTCAAAATCTCCAAACAAATCTAAAACCAATGGGTTTCAGTGACTTTCAGAGCTGGAAGGGACTTCTCTGGATCATCTGCACCTACTCTCTCCCTGTGATGACTAGATGACCAGCCCACCTAGCTCATCCCTCCAACTCGCCTTCCTTCCTCTGTCAACACAGATGTAGAAGAGTCTGCTATCTGACTGACAGGATGGCAGAGAGCTTCAATGTCAGATGTAATTCTTTGACCTCAGCTAACAGAATTTACCTTTACACCCCGAGGGAACGAAATCATGCCTCCTGATTACGGTAACAGTGACCAACACAAGAAATCCTATTCTTTCTCAGTTAGCTATATGACACTATACAAGCCAAAAATAAATTTTCATATACCTACAAAAAACCCAAGGTATTGACTTAGAAAGCATAAGCACTCTGTACAGGCTCCACAAGGCAGGAATGTAAGTGCAGTTGCTTTTCTCCCTGATCTATTCACTGTGATGAAGAAACCAGAGACTCAGTGTTTTGCATCCCTCTCACTAGGATTTTCCTAAGCTCAGAATTTTATAGCAAGTAGAAGGTAAGTCCAGGCAGTGATTCCAGAGGCAGACAGTGTAGTGATATCCACTTTAACACACTTGGTTTTGCACATGAGATCATTCCCTGGCACACAACCAGCTCTCACAGTGTTCTAACCAAAAAGACTATAAGACCTACTCTTTAAATTCATGATATTAGGGAATTCCCTGGTGGTCCAGCAGTTAGGACTCCAATCTCTCACTGCTGAGGGCCCAGGTTCGATCCCTGGCCAGGGAACTAAAATCCCACAAATCACATGACCAAAAATAAATAAACCCATTTTTTATTTTATTTTATACCAATGATTTTTTTCTTGTGGAGAAAAGACGTTTCCTTAATCCAAAAATAAACCAACACATACAGAATATCTTCTCTAAACTCTGATATAAAGAAGGATATCAGCTACGTGTGGTGAGGGATGTTAAACTGACACACTAATGGCTGTGTGATCATTTCACAATATATACATCATTTCACAATATATACACATAGTGAATCATTATGTTGTACACCTGAAACTGCTAAATGTCAATTATATCTCAGTTTTAAAAAGATATAAGTAAGTAACAGAATGTGTTGTTTGCTCTGTAAGATGCTATAATCCAGTTAGAAACAGAAACCGAAATGAGAAAATATCTACTACTTGAAGAGAGCCTCCGGAGCAGCACAGGAGTGGGTCACTGACGCCCACGTGCCCGGACTGCACGCCGGCGCCCTGCGGGAGGACCCTTCGGCGCCTGCGCAGCTCGGACGGCGCAGGCACACGGTCTCCACGTGCGGCCAAGCGGCGCTGCACAGAGGCCCCTTTCTGCTCCCCTCTCCGGGTGCAGGGGACGCTGCGCAGGCGACGAGGAGCTGACACAAAGGGTACGACGATGCCCGACAGGCCTTCTGGGTGAGCGCACAGCCCCAAAAGTGACACCGCTGTTTAAGGGGCTTCCTCCCTGGGGACACAGCCTCTGGCACTCAGAACTCACACGGTGCATGGCCTCTGCACACTCGGACCCTCTCCCAGGGCTCAGGAGTAGAAGGGCTCAAGAGAGGCTCCTGTCCCACAACACGCTGAACCACTCACCAGAGACAGGGTCATACAGTCTCAGCAGGAGGGAAATCACCGTGGATTTGCCAGCACCACTTGGGCCAACCAGTGCTGTGACAGATCCTGATGGGATGGAAAGGCTGAAATCCTGGAATATGGGCACCTCTGGGCGAGCTGGATAGGCGAAATGCACGTTCTTGAACTCCAAAGCGCCCTGGAAGTTTTTCTCATTCAAAACAGCCCCCTCTGCAAGGTAAGACGGGACACGAATCACTCAGCGCCAAGCACATGAGCACAGCTGAGCCCAGGCCCCACCCACCTGACCACGGCCTTGGCCCAGCACAGCGAGCTCGGGCGTCTGGGCGCGCCTCAGGCGTTGGGAGGCAGCCGCGTCCCGCGCCCCCAGCCTGCTCTGCACCAGGGCACTGCACGCCTGCCGCCGCGCTGGAGCCTCGCAGCCGCAGAGGCGGAGGCTGCATCCCAGTCCTACTGATCGAGCAGCAGCTGATGGAGCTTCTGGCCCAAGAGCTGCCGGCTGAGTCCAGTGGCCTTCTCCCTGTGGGCTGCCTCTGCAGGTCCCCCAGCCAGGGTTTATCTCACCTTCTCTAAAGAGTTGTTTTAAGAGCATGATGAACAGGCAGGTGCTGCACAACAGCCCCAGAGCTCGAGGCGGTCAGAGGTCAGTTCTATCCGGGGGTGACCTTGCTGTTGACTGGGAGAAGTGGCTCCATCTCTCCCAGTCGAGCTCATTCCTGCCAGTCTATCACAGTGGAGAATACTGGCATTCACTATTGCCCTGGGGCCAGTGAGTAGCTGACAGTGATTGCTGCTTCTTCCACTGAGCCTGGCTGCTCCGCCCAGGCCACAGCTGTCTCAAACACTGGCTTCCAGCGAAGCAGCTCACGAAGGAGATGGTTCAAAGCCAATTAGCATCAGCATCCTCCACCCCATCCCCAAAGCCAAGCAACTCAGAGGCTTTTCTATGCACGAACCCTCTTTCTTTCCTCGCCGCCCCCAAATGTCAAAATCACTAAGGAAGACAGTTCTGGTGGCCTGGCCAGGCCCTTCGTGTCTGCACTCCTGAGCGGCACACACTTCCTCCTGCTGTTTGTGGTAACACGTCAGCTGCAGGGAGGGAAACACTGTGTGGTCAGGCCCCCCACCTCCAGGGACGCCCTGGGGCCCCCCCAGCAGCACCCAACAGCAATCTGTCCTCACGGCCCACCCTCCGATGGTCCCGTCCCTCCCTGTCGTGGTAAAGACAGGGTCTAGTTCGTGCTCATCCTTCCCAGGGAGGGCAGGAAGCTGGTCTCACTGTCCTAAACCACACATGTTTAATCCCAGCAAAGAAAAGCAAACCCAGTTCAGACCCACCATTGAAAGGAAGCTCAGGTTCTCTCTCGAGGAGCTCCCAGAGGCGGCTTCCGGCACCCAGTCCCTTCATTAGCTCTGAGTAGAAGGAGCTGAGACCTGAGGATGAGAAGCAAAGGCGCACATCCATCATCAGCCAATAAATGGCCCCCTGCCACCCCCAGCCCTCTGGGGACAGTGACAATAGCCTGCTTTTAACATAAAATCTGTTACTTTCAAACAACAGGGTTTGAAGGGTTTGAAGTAGCTTCCTGGGAATCTGTCAGAATTCCCTCTGTCTCATACCCTTGTTTTCCTTCAGCTTCTCCTCCTCCAATTTCATTATCTCTCATAAGGCTTTGGTCTGATCCGGGGGTTTACAATTATATATAGTCATACTAGTCAACCACTCAATTAAAATCACAATGTTACAGAAAAGTCTGCTTAGTCAAATAAAAATAAAATATATATAAATAAATATATATAAATAAAATAAAATATAATGCTTATCTCATATTAAAAAGGAATACAAGGTACCCCAACATTCATTTAAAAGGCACATCCACAAAATCAACCCATCTTTCAGACTCAACAAATAAAACATTACTAGGCTGAAAACTGAAAAGAAATTTGGTAATGTTAGATACACTAACAATCTCTGCTTAAAAGTCACCTTTGAACTATGATTTAAAACCCCAAGTCCACTGGTCCACATCAACTGCCAGAACACATACTTTGTAACACTTTCCCTCAGTAAGGGTGCTGAAAAAATGCAATTCAAATATCCTTGGGTATATGGATATTTGTATAAGATACAGTGGACTAAAACCTTTAGGTTAAATTAAGGATGCATCGGGCAGAAACAGAGCCACATAAATATAGTCAATCAACCTTCAATAGTTGAGCAAAGGCAGTTCAATGGAGGAAGGGTAGACTTTTCAACAAATGGTGCTGAAACAACTAGATTTCCATGTGCAAATAACAAATAGGGACACAGGCCTTACACCTTCCACAAATTAACTCAAAATGATCTAAACATAAAATGCAAAACTATAAAGCTCCTAGAAGACAACATAAGAGAAAAATTTACATGACCTTGGGTTCAGAGATGACTTTTTAAGTATATTAAAAGCACACTCCATGAAAGAATATATTGTTAAGTTAAAGTTCATTAAAATTATAAACTTCTAAGAAAGATCAAGTCAAATGTGGCAGAGAGCACAAGACTGGGGGCCAGGAGGAAAGCTGACGATGGCTAAGTGTGAAACTTGCACAGAAACGTCACAGAGAGGGAAGGTGGCGGTCAGCACATCTGTTCAGAGTGAGGAACATGACCACACAGTGTGCGACCCTACTGCCCATCAGACCCAACCCCAGGGATGGAAAGAAAGGAGCAATACTATCATCGCGCCAGCATCCTGAACGGATCTTGTCTTGCAAGTCGCTCATCACCCAGAAACATCTTGGACCAGATTTTTCTTCAAGACCAGCCAGCAGGACTAAAATGTTATTTTAAATGGATCTCTGGAACTCTCAGTCCAGAAAATATCCTTACTTGCCTGCGGATGTCTAAGGAAAAGCCTCTCCTTTAACCAGGAGAAAACTCTGGAACCCTGAAAATAAAAAGTTGAGGTGACCCTGTGGGATACCTGAGCTCCTTTAACCAGACTTGAAGCTGTTGATCTAACCTTTCCATCTTGGTTTTCAAAGAACGGAAGGAAAACAAAAAGCAGGAAATCATTTGCTCCAGGTTGGTTGGGGCTTTGCAGACTCCACACAGTTCTGACTCCAAGGAGCTTGCTTCCCTTCACTTAGGGGCAAACAAGGAAAGCTGGGCTCTGAGAGACTCTTTATAAAAGCAAGTGACTGTGTCTCGTGTACTTTACCACTTCTGTTTTGGATTGTTCACTAGTTTTGAACATGGTTGCCTTCTCCCTGCCAGCAACCTGCCCATGATGAAAGCATCACCATCAGAGGATGAGGGTTCCTGCACATGCCTGTTCATACCATCCTCCCCCACACCCGCAGCATCCATGCTACAGTGAAAGGGAACAGGTTGCCCTGCATGCTGGCTGGGAACAGATCCAGTGAGACCCTGTGCTCTGTGAGCTATGGAGGGCAGGGGACCTGCAAAAATCTAACACTTCTCAATCCAGGGAGGATCACTGTCATCTTTATTCCGTCCTTCAAAGTCAGGTTGGCGTAACATTCTAGGAAATGTTTTTGCAGTTAGTTATTTGGTGAGGGGTGGAGTAGTGGGAAAGTTAGGTTTTCATTTCAGAAAGTATAACCTGATTTTTCATTAATTCCCCAAGCCTATTTAAATTATATACCTCCAACGCTTATTCCAACCCAGAAAGCATACATTAGGAAGGAGGAGAGTTCGCCCACTGTCATGTGGGCACTGCCCATCAGCAGCCCTCCTTTGTACAGGACAGAAAGCACGATCAGGTTCCCAGAGAGCCCAGTCTGTGGATGGAAGAAAACACAGGTGAGAAGTCAGGTGAGAACCAAAGGCCCCATGCAAAAAGCACTCACACTGTGCAGACTCCCTTTATGCACGTAACCACCAAGCAAGATTCTTCCAAAACACTACATTTTAGTCTGAATTTTAAAATTCTTGCTTTCTTTTTTTTTTGGCTGTACTGCACAGCATATGGGATTTTAGTTCTCCGACCAGGGGTCAAATCTCTGCCTCCTGCAATGGAAGCATGGAATCTTAACTGCTGGAAAGTCAGGTTAAGTCCCTCAAAATTATTTTTGAAATATTGTAATGTTGAAGGAAATAATCTCATAAACATGGAAACCTAGATACTAAGCTACCCATCAGATTCCTATTTTACTCAATCTAATCAATTTGCAAAGGAAAAAAGATTATATTCAGGATGCCTCCCCTAAGTGGAAGAAATCGATGTCTTCTACCATGGTGGGCTGGGCAGGCTGCACCGGGAAGCAGATAAGATACTGGCTTTACCTGCTCTGATGTGCATTAGGTACAGTCTCTGTAAGCGTGCCTCCTCAGGGCTTCCCATCTGTTCAGTTACGGCCGCTACTGAATCACCTCTACCATCTTTCCACTTTGAAAGTATTGTGACTCTGCCATCATGGTGATTTTCTAGCTCGATGTCCTACCTGAGCTCCTTGTGATCAATGTGGTCAACTTTCTTATACCCCCTTCTTGAATACACTGAGGTTATTTTGGCTAATCCTCAGTGGGTTTAAAACTGCCTACACCAGAATTACCTGGTGCTAAAGGACAGATCGCCAGCTGCATTCCAAGAGTTTTATGGAGCTGAGGATCTGTGTGTCTAACCAGTTTCCAGGTGAAGCTGATGTACCCAGTCTGGACCATACTCTGAGAACCAGGGCCTGATCCCACAGTTCTGGTCTCACCACCTCTCCTTTAATTACATATACTTGTTTTCCCCCTCCTTCACAAAAATATTTTTAAGAATGGTAATTTTTAGTCTTGAGGGAGAAGGGAAGTATTTTCTATGTATGACAAGAGCCACAGAATAAAAATCTCTCCTGATCACAACGTCTACACTTTTCACTCTTTCCAAAATGATCAACTTACTGCTCCAAAGAAGCCAGCCCGAGCAAATGCCTCTTTCCTTGCTAACTGCATCACATGGTCCACTTTGCTGGTGTATTTCTCTATTTCAGTCATTTCTTTCCCAAAAGCTCGAACAGTTCTTATGTTTCCAATACGTTCCTCGGCTAGCTGGGAGAATAATACAAACATTTCAGGGGAGGCAAAATTAAAATGTGGTTCTCACATTTAAGATACTATCAATGAAAAGCTGCTTGTCATATGCGACTAAGTAAAAAACAGATGGGAGAATAATACAAACATTTCAGGGGAGGCAAAATTAAAATGTGGTTCTCACATTTAAGATACTATCAATGAAAAGCTGCTTGTCATATGCGACTAAGTAAAAAACAGATTACAAAGCAGAGTATATGAAGAATCCTGCTTTTGGAAACAAATATGTATCTATACATACACGCATCATATATATAGGTAGATAGAAAAATAAATGAGAGGGTTGGTAGATAAATAAATATATTTTTATGCAGTGAGAAAGGTAAGATAAAAAGGAGAGACTCCAAAATGTTAATAACATTCATTCAGAGCTAGGATTATGCATTTTTTTCTCCTTATATTTCTCAAAATTTTATTTTCATAAATATGCATGGTTTTTGTAACAGAAATATAATGATTATTTTTAATTTTTAAAAAGACAAAACTGGACAGCATTACAAGGACAGCACTACAAAGCTACTTTTATTAGTTAATAAAGGACAGAGTATCATCCAGGACAGCTATTTTCAGAATATGATTAGCCTTTTCATCCTATAAAAAACAGTGACGTAAGTTCATATGATGTAGTCAAGTGGGGTCAGTGCTGCGGTGTGGGTAGAAATCTAGTCTAGAAGGCAGAGTGCTTGGGGTTTCTAGGATGTGCAGGGCTAACACGAGGAAAAGGAAGTGCTTTCTGGAAAGGTTAAACACATTCCTTAGGGTCTGCCCACCGATAACCTGGCTCTGAGACCGCACCAGGGGAGGCCTTTACCTGAGTGGCTTGTGCCAGGGAGTCCTGAGTGACCTTGGTCAGTTTCCGGAGGTATCGACCATAAAGCACTGCGATGATGGATACTGGAGGCACCACGCTCAGAACAAAAGTGGCCAGTTTAGGGGAGACAAAAAACTGTCAAAAAAACCCAAACGTACATGTTACACAGAGTAGCAAGATACTCTCACTGCCCACTGTAAACGTGTGTATGTTTAAATTAATAGGTAGGCCTAAAGGTGCTGTTTGGTAGAACTTTTCAGACATTCTCAGTCTTCACGAAGCCCCATGAATATTCAGCCGGCCACACGGGAGTAAGGTGACAGACAGCCTCTGAAGCTGTGGAGCTCCTTGACCCGGCAATGCTGCACCACTGCCGGCACAGCACTGGACCAGTGTGATGTGCACCAGAGAACGCTGCTCAATGGAGCGGGGGGGGGACAGGCTGGGAACGGAGGGAGGAGACCCTGTCTGCTCCACACTGGCCAGGCCACGCCAGGAGTTCTGTGTTCAAGTCCGCATCAAGGGTTCTGAACAACCAGACCAATGTCTCCCTGAGATGACTCAGATGGCAGCAAGACCAAAATCCCCACATCAGGCGACAAAGTTGAAGGAGGACGTGCAGAGGTGTGGAGGTGTGACAGCCAAGTTAGAGCTGCTTCCATGGCTCACAGGACTGGAATCTCAGACAAATGGATCTGGACTCAACAAAAGGAGGATCTCCTAACAACTGGAGTTGCCCAAAGAGGAAGTAACACAATAGGGTTTTCCTATAGCCAACCCTGCAATTAGGTGATTATATTTTAAATGGTATTAGCATCATTATTAATTATAAAATAGTATCTTCATTGTAAGACTCTCCTCAAATGCTGGGGAAAAGCTGCAGACTGAAATGTAAAGTGAAGGATGGATCAAGCAATCATTCACTTATACTCATTCAACAACTGAGTACCTAAGGCCTACAGGCAGCATGCATGATCCTAGGCACCTGGGAGGTAACTGATGCACGGGGCGTTCCATCTAAGGGGAGAGGAGAGGTGGGAGTCAGAGAGAAAACAGGTGAGACAGAGAGAGAGAACCCGGAGTGCCCTGTGGTCTTGGAAGAGAAAGTGCACAGAGGCCCTGAGGCAGCAGTGAGCTCAGTACCTTGACCTCTGGGGACGGGCCACGCTGAACAGACAAGCAGACGCTGGGGTGTCCGTGGCCTGCAGGACACAGGCGGAGCAGCAAGGCAATCGAGCAGGTCTGAACACAACACAGCCCAGGCAAGCTGTCTGCACGGTAGGGCAGGAACACCCCCCGGTGTCCCTGAATCTGGGGATGGTCTCAGGACCCTCCCTCCCTCTGCTCCAGCTGCATGCTCAGAGATAACCTTCTGAAGGATGAGGCAGATGCTGTCACGGAAAGGAGCGCTGGAGAATCAGGAACACACTTCTCAATGTGGGGAGGAAGACCCCACACATAAACTACTAAATTGACAGTATGGTACAGACATCATTAGGTTCTTGGAAGCAGGGTTACCACATTCAGGTCCAGGGACCCGTGAGAAAGAATGAGCATGTCAGTCCCTCCAGAGCTGAAGGCCAGATCCCAGGGGATGCCTTCTCATGAGGCCCTGCGATAAGCTGGCATCTGCGTCCCCCCAAAACTCACAGGCCTTACACCCTGCGGGGCTTGGTGTGGATGGAGCCTCTAAGGAAGGAATGAAGGTAAAATGAGGCTATAAGGGTGAGGGCCCTGATCCTGTCATCATGAGAGTAGCCAGCTCTCTGCACAGAAGCACAGGGCAAGGCCACGTGAACAGTGCTCCCAGCGAGAGGGCGGCTGCACGCGAGCCCAGGGAAGAGGCCTCAGAATGAACCTACTGTGTCAGCACCTCGGCCTGGGACTCCCAGAGCCCAGACCTGAGGGAAACGCACTTCTGCTGCTTGAGCCCCCACTCGTGGGGCTGTGATGCAGCTCAAGGCACTGAGACAGGCCCCCTCTGATGCCCTGCCCTTCAACTGCCACTCTTCCTGAGCCCCAGACTATTCATATCTGGAAACGGTGCTTTATTTGGTACAGGAGGGCCTTCTCCCAGAGCTTGGCTTCTCTCTTGGCTGCGTGTACACAAGAGTTCAAAGCTGTCTTCCATTCTGCATGGTAGACCTTACAGGCTCACTCTGGCAACACAGCCTTCTGCTCCAGACTGAGTGCTCTCTGGAACACTGGTCAGAAACCTCAGCGTTTCCACCTGTGAGGAAAAATCAGCCACAGTCCTCATTCTAGGGTCTAGAACTGCACCGAGATGACAACATTGATGGCTACTGGTCACCTACATTTTAAATTTTAGCTTTAATTAAAATTAAATCTTAAAAGCTGATATTCCATTTCTATTCAGTTACTAGTAAAGTTTTAAGTATGTCTGGAGATTTCCGTGTGTGCTTCTTCAACCACAAATTTTACAAAATCTAAACATTGATTATTTCAATGAAAGCCTCCAGACTTCGATGTTCTGTAAGTATAAAATATACAGTATATTTTAGAATCCTAATATGAAAAATATTTGATTAATAATTTTTATATTAAATACACGTTGAATTGATAATACTTTGTTTATATTAAGTAAAATTATTATCAAAATTAATCTCATTTCACCTTTCTGTTTTATTAAAAAAAATTTTTGGCTACTCCACACAGCTTGCAGGATTCAACCTAGGCCTTCAGCAGTGAAAGGGTGAAGTCCTAACCACTAAACTGCTATTGAATTTCCTCTTTTTGCTTTTTGAAATGTGGCTACTAGAGAAATACCAACAGCTTCAGATATGCAGATGATACCACTTTAATGGCAGAAAGCAAGGAATTAAAAGAACCTCTTGATGAGGGTGAAAGAAGAGAGTGAAAAAGCAGGCTTAAAACTCAATATTAAAAAAAACCCTAAGATCATGGCATCCGGTCCCATCATTTCATGGCCAATAGAAGGGGAAAAGGTGGAAGCAGTGACATATTTCCTCTTCTTGGGCTCTAAAATCACTGAGAATGATGACTGCAGCCATGAAATTAGAAGACAATTGCTTCTTGGCAGGAAAGTTATGACAAACCTAGACAGTGTATTAAAAAGCATAGATATCACTTTATATATAAAGGTCCATATAGTCAAGGGTATGTATGGTCTTCCCAGTAGTCATATATGGATGTGAAAGTTGGACCACAAAGAAGGTAGAACAGCAAAGAATTGATGCTTTTGAACTGTGGTGCTGGAGAAGACTCTTGAGAGTCCCTTGGACTGCAGGGAGATCAAACCAGTCCATCCTAAAGGAAATCAACTCTGAATATTCATTGGAAGGACTGATGCTGAAGCTGATGCTCCAATACTTTGGCCACCTGATGTGAAGAGCCAACTCATTGGAAAAGACCCTGGTGCTAGGAAAGATTGAGGGCAAGAGGAGAAGGGGGTGACAGAGGATGAGATGGTTGGATGGCATCACCGACTCAATGGATATGAACTTGGGCAAACTCCGGGAAATGGTGAGGGACAGGGAGGCCTGGTGTACTGCAGTCCATGTATAGTCAGACACTACTTGGCAGCTGAACAACAACTAGAAGATTTAAACTGCACACGTGGCCTGCACTACATTTCTCTCGGTCAGCAGCACAGGAGGTGTGTCTTCAGACACCTGGTATGCAGGGAGGCAAGCAGATGTGAGGGCCTCCAGTCCCCAGCTAAAGAGGAACAGATGTGATGGGTGGAGAGGGTAAATGAGTGCAGAGCTGCCTGTCTATGAAGAGGGAGCCCACCCTGCCCCTGACAGGAGGAGGACAGGAAACAGCCCTCAGGTCCTGCAGAGATGACTGACAGTGGCAGCTTCCTGCCTTTGAGGAAGGATGGCTGGACAGACTGACAGACTGGTGTTCCTCCTCCGTCCAGCACTGGGCATCCAGGGCTCTTCCCACCTGTGGCTCATTCCCACCCTCACGCGTTCTTAGAACCCAGGCAACAAGGTAAGCTTTTGTAAAAGCCACAGTCTGTTCTCCCCATAAGAAATGAAGGTTCAGGTGCCAACAAGCCAACTGCCCCGGGTCCCCGAGGCCTCTGCACGGTACTGCGCACAGCTCACCGGAGTGGTTTCACCCGGCCAGGGTGCACAGACGGGACGCAGCAGCTGAGGGACGTACCATCATGCCGATGCCAACCGAAGCCTGTGCTCCAGCCCTGAGCCCGTCTGAGAGGTTCTCCGTCACTGAGCGCCCCAGGAGGGCTGCGTCTGCGGACAGACGGTTGATAAGCTCTCCTGTGCGTGTCTTGTCAAAGAAAGCCACCTCCTGTCTCAGCACTGAGGAGAAGAGCGAAGCTCTCAACCTATTCACGATGCGCTGACCTGCAAGGCAAAAGGAGCGGCGTCAGCGAGTGCTCCGCTGCAGACCCGCAGCTGCCCAGGTCCCGGCCTGGTGGGAGATCACGCACACCCAGGCGCCTGCGCTCTGCACCCAGCACAGAGCTCCGCGCAGAGACCACAGCCCGGGGGCCGATGACAGAGGACAGTGACCAACAGTGCAGTGTACAGTTTTACCATGCTCACTGCTCACAAGCTAATTCTGCTTCTTTCACAGTCCTTTCCTGGATTGAATTTTCAAATGGCAAGAGCTGGTTAATTATCTACAGAGCATTTTATCAGCTAAGCGGCCAGCAATCGACATGAAGTCAGGTGTCCCAGGCTCCGTCACCAAGGTGGTGACAAGCAGGCCTCAGAGCGACACTGAGCAGCCTCACCCCGCCACGGGCAGCTCCGCAGGGATGGAGAGCAGGAGGGGCAGCAAGGTGTCCAGGGGACACACAGCGACGCAGCATCCTCACCCCGCCACGTGCAGGGCTGCCCCGTGCCGGCAGCTCCGCGGGACGGAGAGGGAAGGGGCCGCAGGATGTCCAGGGGACACACAGCGACAGAGCAGCCTCACCCCGCCACGGGCAGCTCCGCGGGGGCGGACACGGGGAGGGGCCGCAGGGTGTCCAGGGGACACACAGCGACGCAGCAGCCTCAGCCCGCCACGGGCAGGGCCGCCCTGCGCGGGCAGCTCCGCGGCTGCGCACCACCACCCAACCTCCTGGAGACCCCCAGGCCACTGAGCTCTAGTGCCGGGCAAGGAGGGGTGAGCACAGAGTCCCTTGTCCAGCACGATCTCCAGCCTGGGGCTGGCCCTGCCCTCGGGGGCCGGAGCACAGGGAGCCCACGAGACCCGCCCCACCCAGGCCACCCAGGAGCAGGGTCCCGGCACCTGACGTCTGCATGAGGTAGACACGGACGGCATTGGCCACGGCGCCGCACAGAAACACGCCTCCGAGCGCCAGGCAGAGGCGGGTCAGGCTGGAGCTGCAGTCTGCAGAGGGGTCTGTGTAGATGACGTCGATGATCTTCCCCAGGAAGAAGGGGGCGGACATGGTGATGACACTGGACACCGCCAGAAATCCAACTGCAGCTGGAAAACACAAGCAACTCTCCGGTTCATCGGTGCTTTGCCCAAGGAACAGGGTGCTGAGTTCATCAGCTTCTTTCCCGAATAAACTTTTCAGAGCGTGTGATGCTCTCAGAGGCTGGGAGTCTCCTCCCTTTAGCCCCTGGACCCCCGATTAAAGAGGAGAGCCAGATCTGGTTCTGGGCCACATCAGGCAGGGTATCTGTAGAGGGCACGGATCCTACCCAAGTATCCAGACCAGATGACCTGGCTTTACCCTGGTCTGTTCCTCTCTTCTTCCCCAAAAGTAACTGAGAGCGAACCACAGAAATCCGCTCTGGTCTCCCTCCTGCCTCTTGATCTAGGGGTTCAACTCGGATGATGTTTTTCCTACATTCATGCTATAGATGTCGTTACTCCTTGGCATCTAACTGTATCTTAGCTTGAAGATCAAACTATGCAGGTAAAGATCTTGATTATGTCTAATATTTCACAAGACTGTAAGCTATGGAAAGCAGGTATGGGCATCCACTACACATGTGATACCTTCCTTCTTAATATGACTGCTTTGGGAAATAAAGTACCAGAGTATCACCATGATTATAAAAATATGCAAGAACACAACTGTTCACATTCCTTAAAAAAAAGACAAAGGCATAGAATCTTTTCAGAAAAGAAAATATTGAAAAAATCCAATTAGGAAAAGCATGTATCACAGCTAACTACATTCATAATAAGGAATGCAAATTTAAAACACAAAGATGTATCATTTTTCATCTACTGGATTGGCAAAGCTCAGAGTTTGACAACACCCTGTTAGTGAACCTGCAAGGAGGCAGCATTTACACTGTTAGTGGCTATGCAAACTGGCACAGTCACAGTGGAAGGTGATGAGATCCTACTGGTCAAATGTAAATGAACACTCCCTTTCATCCACCAATTCGATCTCTAATGTATAGATACACTCCCTTATGTGTATTCAAGAAAAAGGTACACTCAGGGGTGTTCATTAAGGCATTGCTTATACCAGCAAAAGATTAAAAATACTCTAAACATTCCTTAGTGAAGAAAAGTTAAATCAATTATGGAACATGTATTTTATACATATTATGCAGTCATTAAAAACAATGAGGTGACTCTATAGGAAAGAACATGAAGCAATCCACTAAGACACGCTGTGATCAAGAAAAGCTGAGGACACAAATGTCTGTGGGGCTTTTTTGCCAGTTGGTTCTTAAGTTCATGTAGGCACAAACAACCCTAGAAATTCTTCAGCCCGAAGCTGTGTACCCAACAGGCAAATGGCTCAGTTTCTGTATGTTGTCTAAGTGTTTGGAATGTACACCTGGCACCTCTCCACGGGCATCCACAGTTTAAGAAAGTAAATAGAAACTTTCAAGGAGGATCATGGTTTCAGACCTACATTGTGACCAAAGGCTCTGCCCACCTACTCCTACTTCCTTTGGCCTTATCTCTCACATGTGTTCACCCCAGTAGATATCTTGTACATCTAATTCTGTTCTGACATCTGCTTGTTGGAAGCCCTAAACTGACACACCCAATGATCTTTCAAAAATAAACACATACATCCACATGTTTACCTTTACAGATGGGCCATGGTCAAAGAACTTCCCAGGTGGTGCTAGTGGTAAAGAATTCACCTGTCAGTGCAGGAGACATAAGAGACGCAGGTTCGATCCCTGGATCAGAAAAATCTCCTGGTGGAGGGCATGGCAACCCACTCCAGTATTTTTGCCTGGAGAATCCCATGGGCAGAAGAGCCTAGTGGGCTACAGTCCACAGGGTCACAAGGAGTCAGACATGACTGAAGCGACTTAGCATGCATGCACGCACAAAACATCTCCAGGGAAATAACAGAGGAGTAACAGCTTCCTTCTGCAGAGTGGCACCAGGTGACTGGGGCGGGGTGCATATGTATGCCACTGTGAACCTTCCATCCTCCTGGGGCTCCCTCTGTCCCTCCTGGCCCCCCACCCCCCTGCTAGCACCATCAGTGAACAGTCAATGGCGAGGACCCTAAGTGGACACAGTGTGGGGGGTGGGTGCTCCCAACACCCTGTAAATAGCTTCTCTGTGTCTTGCCTAAAGCCAACACTTCAGTGAAAGGCTTCACTTTTACAAAACCTTAATACAAAGAGTTAAGCGCAAACTCTGCCAACCAGTAGTTCAGCTGGCAAACAGCTCTAGGAGAAATATGAGCTTGTTAAGTCAGGAATACTGCCCATACTCGCTCCCTCCTGGGGGTCTTCTAACACCTCTCCTCAAAGGAGGCCTGCTCTGCAATCCCATCTATAATACAGACCCCAACACACCTTTCATTCTCTTTCCAGCATTTCCCAGTCTTTGGGAAGTTTCACTTATCTACTGTATCTCTCCGTTAGGAGAAAAGATTTCTATCTATTTTGTTCACTGTTATATCCTGACTGTCTGCAGGGACAGGCATATAGTATAAGCTCAATAAATACTGGCTGGATGAATGAACAAACTGAACCGTGGCAAAGGAGGGAGAAAAGCATGTCAAAGTTCAACAACAGCCTAAAGAGAAATATAAGATCTGGTAGCTCAGAAAGTCCATGTGGAAATGACTCCTTTACAGGAGCCAGGAAACCCACGTGCCTGGCTTAAAACCCCTTCCTCACAGCCTGACTGCATAATATAAATCTGGCCAAGTGCCATTTTGCTGTAAGACTCAGGATCTTGTTTAAAACTCGGTGCTCCTGATGACTGTGCTCAGAAGAACTGAAAGCCCAAGGGTCCTGGGAGCATGTGTAGCTTAGGTTCTGCAGGGCACGGCCACAGAAACCAGCGTGCTGGAGACCCAGGAATTAACCTGGAAGACCTGTTTCATCTGTCATCAGCAGGCAGTTTCTCTAGTCTGGTTCTTCCCTTTGGCAAATATTTCCCTAAGTGTAACGCATGCCAAGTGCTACCAAGTTTCATCTCTCCCTCCCGCCTCCAGTTTTCAAATTCAGTTATGATTCCAAAATAAGAACCTGTACAGCATGAATACACACTAGTTCTTACATAGTAATGACAATGATTACAAAGAGAAAGGAATTTGGCTGAATTAAAATCTGTTCCAGGGACTTCCTGGCGGTCCAGTGGTTAAGAATCCACCTGCCCATGCAGGTGATGCGGTTTTGATCCCTGGTCGGGAAACTAATCCCACACGCGGCAAGGCAGCTAACCCCACGTGCCACCGCTGCTGAAGCCTGGAGCCTGCGTTCCGCAACCAGAAGCAGCTGTGGCGAGAAGGCCCTGCGCCACGAGAGCGCAGCCCCACTCGCTGAAACTAGAGGGAGCCCACACGTAGCAACAAAGAGCCAGCGAAGCCAAAATAGTCCATCTTAAAAAAATCGCTTCAGGATCTCCCCTTTAAAAACAAAAACAAACAATTATTATTGCCATTTGCCTCTTTCTTCTACAAGTTCAGTTTAGTTCAGTCACTCAGTCGCGTCCGACTTTTTGTGACCCCCATGGACTGCAGCAAACCAGGCCTCCCTGCCCATCACCAACTCCCGGAGTTTACTTGAACTCATGTCCATTGAGTCAGTGATGCCATCCAACCATCTCATCCTCTGTCGCCCCCTTCTCCTCCCACCTTCAATCTTTCCCAGTGTCAGGGTCTTTTCCAATGAGTCAGCTCTTCCCATCAGGTGGCCAAAGTATTGGAGTTTCAGCTTCAGTCCTTCTAATGAATATTCGGGACTGATTTCCTTTAGGATGGACTGCTTGGATCTTCTACAAGTTAAATGTATACAAAGTAAAAAAAAATTTCTGCTTTGGGTTAGCTGGATTTCTGTTAAGGTTTTACTACACAACACCGTCTCTGACATACATGAATCATGTAGATTTGCACCACAACTATCATCTCTGATTCCTCCCCAAACCTGATGAGCCAAGTAAACCACAATCCTTCTGGATATTCTCCACCTTTTGCCATGGTTCAGCGTTTGCTACTCCTCTTCCTTGCCTGTTACTGTCTCTTGACAGGTATTTTCAAGCACTTTTCTGTTACCCTAAGTCTACCCAGTCATGGCATTCAAAGAATGAGACCAATCTCCTTGAAAAGAAAAGAAGGAAAACCTGAAAGGCAGGCTGCTGGGAGAAGGTCTGTGGCCAGTATCCAGGTCCTGGACCGGCAGGTCTGGGGGCGGAAATGGCTGCACAGCCTGTCTACCATCGCTAGACACAGGACAGAGCTTTTAAGGACTCATCTGCCCACTGAGCTAGGCAGGTGCAGCAAGCCCCATGTCACTCACAGACTAAGGTACTAACTACCCACCACTCTCTGAAGCATTTGCTATGCACTGTCTCCTCCAACAATGCTCTCACCATCCTCATTTTCCAGAGACGAAACTCAAGCACTTAGAGGGAGGTTGCACAAGGTCACCCAGTTCGTCTACTGCAGAACCACACTCCGAGACAAAAATCTGTCTTCTTCATCTTCGCACAACCAAGCTGAGAAAACACCAGGGACCTCTGCTGGGGAGGGCGAGGACAGCCAGGGAGCAGAAAGGCTGCGGGATAACACTGGGATAGGGACTGTGGTCGGAGAAGGCACTGGCGACCCACTCCAGTCCTCTTGCCTGGAAAATCCCATGGACGAAGGAGCCTGGTGGGCTGCAGTCCAGGGGGTCGCTAAGAGTCAGACACGACTGAGCGACTTCACTTTCACTTTTCACTTTCATGCATTGGAGAAGGAAATGGCAACCCACTCGTGTTCTTGCCTGGAGAATCCCAGGGGCGGGGGAGCCTGTGGGCTGCTGTCTATGGGGTCACACAGAGTCAGACACGACTGATGCAACTTAGCAGCAGCAGCAGCAGGGACTGTGGTGCACAGAAAAGGTAGGAGGCTCCAGGCTCTCAGAACAGGGCTGCTGCAGCAAGGCAGGCCTAACAAGGCCTCAGGCTGGGGAGTGAGCCGGTCAGGTCTGTATTTTAAATGATTCACTCTGGCTGCAGAGTGAAATGAAAGGACCCGAGGCTGCCCTGCTCCAGGCAAGAGGGAAACTAAGGTGAAGTGGGGAGGAGGGGCAGTGGGGATAGGATGGTGACAAGGAATGCAGGCATTTTTAAGAGCTAGACTGGGGAGTTCTGAAGTTGGGACTGACAGCATCAGTGCCCTAGCTCTGTCATCTAGCTGTCTGACCTCCACTGACTCAAACTCTCTGCACCTCAGTTTATTCATCTAGAAGGTGGCAATAAAAACAACCTCTCCCTCAAGGAAATGTGAGAAATTACACACACACATGACGTCTCCAGCCCAGTGTCAGTATCCAGCCAACGACAAGTATCCACTATTATCTATTAACATACTGGGTTCCTAGCTGGAGCTACTGGTAAAGAATCCACCTGCCACTGGGAGATCCCTGGGTTGGAAGATCCCCTGGCAAAGGAACTTGCAACCCTCTGCAGTATTCTTGCCTGGAAAATCCCATGGACAGAGGAGCCTGGTAGGCTACAGTCCATAGGGTCGCAAAGGATCAGACAAGACTGAGCGCACACACACAGCATCTATATCACAGCTGGCATCGCGAGTCATCAGGACTGATCTGGGCCCCTGCCAGCTGGGTCCCACCCTCTGAGAGCAGGGACAGAGGAGGAAAGGAGTTTTCAGTGTCCACAGAGAACACGGGAATGGAGGGCCCGGGCAGGTGAGAAGCTCAAGTGAAGGAGCCTGGCAGGGAGCTAAGCTGGACAAGGCAAGAGGTAGACAGGGCTGCCGGTTGGCAGGGAGTGGGGCGCTGAGGAAGCCTCTGAGGCTGTGGAGAGACCTGGAGAGAAAGGTCTGGGCAAGGCTAGGGTGCAAGTGACAGAGCTGGCATCTGTGCTGCAGGGACCACAATGGGCCTGCCCCCGAATGGCACTTCCGTGCAGCACACGTACCACGCAAGCTGCCCACAGAACTTAAAATCTTCTAGTTGCCGCATTACAAAGAAACAGGTAATATTAATTTTAATGACATATTTTATTTGATCCAATATATCCAAAGTATTAGTCTTCAATGAACATTAAAAAGTAAAGAAAATTCACATTTTTTCCCCATACTAAATCCCTTCACTGTCTGGTATTTCACTCTTGAATCAACTCCGACTAGCATGTTTCACAGCACAGCTACAGGATGTTCAGGTTTTCTCTGGAATGTGGTATTTCCAAAGCAAATACATACTGCAGGCTTTCTGGAACAATTCTGTTTCTGGGTTCAGCCTCATTGCCCCATGAGCACTGTCCTTGTCACAATTTTCAGCCCCGACCTGGGCTGCAGGATGTAGCCATTCTAAGCATGGCTCACCCTCTACTTGCTTACCACACCCACTGGTTTCATCACTCCTCATTCCGGTCACTTAACGGTCTGGCTCCATAATATTCAACTATGAATGGAGCAAAAGCTCCTGGCGGGCATCAGACTCTAAGAACTGTCCTCGTCTCAAACCACACAAGTCCTTACCAGTGTTTAAGTGAACAGCTTGGGGGTGGAGGCCTGGACATGCACCTTCCATATTTGACCAGTGACCCACCAGGGAATATTGATATTCCCTGATAGCTCAGTTGGTAAAGAATGCGCCTGCAATGCAGGAGACCCAGGTTCGATTCCTGGGTCAGAACGATCCGCTGGCAAAGGGATAGGCTACCCACTCCAGTATTCTTGGGTTTCCCTGGGGGCTCAGCTAGTAAAGGATCCGCCTGCAATGTGGGAGACCTGGGTTTGATCCCTGGGTTGGGAAAATCCCCTGGAGCAGGGAAAGGTTACCCACTCTAGTATTCTGGCCTGGAGAATTCCATGGACAGTCCACGGGGTCGCAAAGAGTTGGACACAACAGAGTGACTTTCACTTTCTTTCTTGCATCTGGGAATTATGAGCAAGACAGTCTCCGTGGTGGCCACTGCACCAAGACCCTCCATCACTGTCATCCCACTGCCCCCTAAGGCCCTGGGCTCACTCCTAGCTCCGAACTCCATGCACGGTGCTCCCACTCTCTCACCCACTGGACGCCCCGGCAGCCTCTTCTATCTGCCAGACCGGGAGCAGTCCCCTCTTATCCCATCGGCCACAGGGGCGCCTCAGTGAGCTCCTTCATCTTCTAAGGCTCCTGTGACCAAGATGATAAGACGAATTATCAGTGAAAAATGACTGCAGAGCAATATTGGAGGCCACAGCTGTGGGAAGATATCTGCAAATTCCAACACAAAGTGAGACACAGGGAGGAAGGGCCACGGGGCGCATCAGACTGTGGTTCCTTCAGAAGACAGATGGACAGGACAGTCTTCTGCAGACACCTGCAGGTGTCTCGGACGGCAGACCCTGCTTTTAAAGTTTCGGATACAGATGATTTAAGAGCAAAGTGTTCTGGTCACAGTTCAGGCACATTTTCAGCAAACTGCTGAACACAGATGAAAACACAGATTCAATCATATAGTTAAACTTCTGAAGAAGTAATTTTGTATTCCTGTTTCTAAAAATTAACAGTGGAATTCCTTCTCTTCAATTCAGCTTTTTCCAGCCTCTTGACTTAAAGTACACACACACACACACACACACACACACACACGTGCTAGTTATTTCCAGCATTGCAAAGAGATGGGCCAACATCTAAGGCGGCTCCTACAAGGATAAGTTACAAATTAACGGTGATCCCCCCTCAAGGTTCTCTTAATCTTACAAATGTCAACATTCAGAGTGGCTGCAACATAGTATATAGAATATCTTTTGAGGCAACCCTATGTCCTGATAACTTCTGAGGCAACCCTATGTCCTAATAAGGAGCTTTCATCATATTAAATACAATATGTATATATTATTTGTTTGAAAAGTGAAAGTCACTCACTCATGTCTAACTCTTTGTGACCCCATGGACTATACAGTCCATGGAATTCTCCAGGCCAGAATACTGGAGTGGGTAGCCATTCCCTTCTCCAGGGGATCTTCCCATCCCAGGGATCAAACTGGGGTCTCCTGCATTGCAGGCAGATTATTTGTTTGAAACATTGGAAAAAACCAGTGTACCAATCCCAGACTTACTCCCTCAAATTATACAGTCACACTTATTCAAGGCAGCAAATCTAACTAGCTCCCCTTCTTAAAATAAAAGAAGGTACAGCTCTTGCCTCCTTAAAGGCTATCTTCTGAGCAGGCTAACAGACAAGACATGTGGGAACAAGTACAAAGGTACAGGGAGCGTGAACCCGCAGACAGGCGGGGTTGGGCCACCTACCATGGCCAGAACACGTGGGCGCCCAAAGCCTGATACCTAAAAACTTCCTTGACATCTAAAATTTCAGGAACAAAACTGGATTTCCTAGCTTATTTTTAATTACATATGAAGATGATGGACACAGCCTGCAGTGCTCAGGGTTTCTAAACTCAGGTTTCCATGTGGGCCTGGTCAACCATCACTTATTCCTTCTTTGAAGGCACACTATGCCCAATTCTGGGCCACACACACGCTAAGGACTAGACAGGAAGATGAAGCAGACACAGCTCTTTTCCCAAGAAGCTCATAGTCCAATGAGGACTCCCAGTCTCAAGTTTTTCTTTTAAAAGAGAAACAAGGAAAAAAATTTTCCATCAAAAATACACACACAAACAAGTGACAAGATTACTCTCCTTATACCACCATAACACCAAGACCCCACGAAGCTGTAAAAGTCAGGGAGAGGTAAAACGTTCCCACTCTGTTGCCCTCTACCACACCAGCCTGCCCTATACCACAAATCGCTCTCTAGGACTATCCTTCCTGAAGCAACAGATTTGTAACAAAAAATGTGGGATTCTCACCTGCTTCAAGTCTAAGAACATTACAAGCCCTCTTTCCCAACCCTCATCAAACCTGCAGTTTTATCTCTAGTCACATGATCTTTTCATTAATGCCTCTCCAGTACTGAACTGCAAGCCCCAGCAGGAGCAGGAACCAGGTTTCCTTTTGCTCATCAATGGAACCCAAGGGCCTAGCACACAAGACTCAATATTTATTAAAAGAAATGAAGATTTGGAGAAACCTCAAAACCGTTTAGATATTACAAGGACTTTGCATTGAAACATTTCTCCATTTTATGGCTAAAAATGAGACTATACAAAATCTGACTTTTGTTTCTAAAGATATTCATTTTTACTTTTTAAAATTACTCAGTTATGATTTAGCTGCGTTATGACCTGCAGTTTCTCAACACTTCTAGAGTTTACCGATCACTGACTATAGCCAGTGCTGACTCTTCAGAAGAGCTTAGTAACTTCCTGCCTACCACTCAGTGAGGCAAAAACGGGACAAACCTGAAAGGTTTACATCGTTTTGCTTCACGGAGTAAAAATAATGTTGGCTGCTTAAGAAATTAACCTGAAGCAAATAATGTGGGTTTTTTTTAGTGCTTCAAGTGCATGTTACAAAATAGGTTTACTAGAATCTACGATTCATTTTACAAAGATAGGGTAAAAAAAAAAACAAACAACCCAGGTCACTTGAGAACGTTGGCAAAATAAAAGCGAAACAGACCTGACGACTGTAATAAGGAGATGCCTCTCCATTTGCATAATATGCTACAGGTTGTCCGCGCACCTGCGGATCCACACCGCTACAGCAGGAGCGCTCCGTCCGTACCCCCAGGGAGGACGCACAGGTAAAAGCACCCTGTCCTCTTCACCGAGTCCATTGGCTCCAGGCCTCCTGCCGCCCGCTCAGTGCCCCTGTCGCCAGCCCCGGACCTCGCACAGGGAAGGTCACCGGTTGACCGAGAAGAGGGCCCTACCTGCCAGCCTCCGGCGCTCGGGCTGCGCCAGGCTCAGGAGCTTCTGCGCCTCCGAGCGCCTGGCCGCTGAGGGCCAGGCCGGGTCACGATCGGGAGTCGCCGCGGCCGCAGGCAAGGCCGGCCCGCGCCGCCAAGCCTCCCCCGCGGCCCGCGCGACCAAGGTCGAGCAGCCAGGAAGCGCGGAGCGCGGGAGCCTGGAGGAGACGGGCCCGGAGAGCGCCCAGCACCTAGACAGCCCGGGGGTACGTGCCCAGAGCGCCAGGAGACGCGCCAGGCCCGTGCCGGCCGCGGGGCCGCCGGGACCCCCGCCGGGGCCGCCGGGACCCCCGCCCGCCCATCGCCGCGGGGCTCGCGAGGCCCAGCCACCCGCTAGCAGCGCCGGCTCCACGCCCCCAGGCCTCGCAAACGCCGGGTGCGTCGACAGCGTCTGGGTCTCGGGGGAGCGGGCGGCTGTGCCGCGCCTCAGGAGCAGTCGCAGCGGCCAAGCCGGGGGGCCGCGCATGGCGCCGCGTCCGACCGTGCGCCTCGATCCGCCACCCGCGCCGTTCGCCGTGGCCGCTGCCGCTCGCTAGCCCGCCCGGTTGGCCGCCCCCGCGCCCGCCCCATCCCCGCCCGCACGGCCCCGCCCCGGGGCGCCGAGTCCGGCCCCGACCACCCCGGGGGCCCCCGCCCGTCTCTGGCGCCCGTCGGCAGCGCCCCCCACAGGGAGGCCCAGAGCCCAGCGCGTCGCGGGACCGGCGGTGGAGGAGGCGGAAGAAAGAGCCTTGGGCCGCCGCGCCTGCGCACTGCCGCGCACGGCGCGTTTAGCGCTCCTGGACCGCTCCGGAGAAGCCGGGGCGGCGCGGGCCTCTGGTCACGCCGGCGCACCGGAGCGCGCAGGAGCGGTCACGCGTGCCGGCTTGTGACCGCAGCGGGCTACTGGTGTTCGCGGTCTTGGCGGAGGGTGAAACTCGGGTAGCTCTGAGAGGAGAGGGCCATCTCATACGGTGGACATACGTGCATTGAGCGGAGGTGGCCCAGCTGCGCCAGCTGGCTGCTCCCGGTAAGGCCGGGCAGAACGCGCTGTGTAATACCCGAGTGCGGGAAGCCCAGGTTAGGGGCAAAACCCCCCGGGATACGAGGACTTCACGGGCTGGCGTCCGTACTCTAGGGCCTGGTACTTATCTAAGAATGGTGTTTTAGGAAAAGTGGATAGCTTTTTGTTGACCTGTCACTATTTTAAAGGCTGGGACTCGGATGAGGCCAGTGAAAGACAGTTGCCTCTCTCACAATATTTATGGATTCGAAAAAAAAGATCAAATATAAATATATTTTAGTTCAAATTTTTAAAAAATCAAAATTAATGCAAAAATCCATGATGAACAATGTATCAAAATTTGAAATGAACGATCTGTCCCTGCACTTGGACAAGCCCACCCCTCTCTCACACATTGATCCCAGCCCTCAAAGTTTTGTTTACAAAATCAAGCAATTAGCACCTTTGTTTGCAATTTGTTTTCTTTTTTTCTTTAGAATACCGTTTATCTTGATTACTGGAGCTACTTATGTTCTGCCCGTAGTCTGAGTCCCCGGTTGGGAAAGAAGACTCCTCGAAACAATGCAACTTGCAATAGGGGAATTTATTACTGACTCGAGCCAGGGCCTCCCGCCCTCACCAAGGGTGTGAGGACAAAAAGCCCGGAGCCCCAGTTCTCTCGGATATTTATTAGGTCAAAAAAAAGCAGCAGGTAGTTGGCGCAAGCGGATTGGTTACACAGCGTGTAGTTGGCAAGCGGATTGGTTATACAGTTGCAAGGCAATTTTTGTTGGCCCAACGTGGGGCTTTCAGCTTTCCCCTGATAGGTTCCCTTTTTTCTTGCTAGGCATATGTTGATTGGCTAGCTCCAGGAGGCCTGATAATTATGTAACCCCGGGAAACCAGGCCTACTCCTAATCTAGGCTGCCTGTCATGGCGTTAGCCGTGACAGCATCACAATTTAGAGTTTCCCTAAATTTTGCCCCCAGGAGAGTGCCTCACTTACCTCTACCTGGGGCCCTGGTAGGTAAGGAGTGTAGGACTTTTGAGGTGAAGTACTAATAACGGAGAGGTAATGTAGGATTAAATCCCACCCTAAATACCCCTGTGAAGACAACAGGAAGCTTGCCATCCTCTAAATTCCAACCTCTTGAACCCAGAGGGGCATGGAGTCCATAGTTCACCACTCCACCCCCACCGCCTCTCCTTGGTGTCTACCTCCTAGAATGCAAGGTGTAATGTGACTGAAGCTTACACTGCTGATTTATGAGTAAGCAAGTCCTCCTGAGATTTTGTTAGATGACTTCTGAAAGCAAGGGAGATATAGTGCCGCATACCCCACATCGTGTCAAATAATGACCTCCCAATGGGAGAAAAAGTGACAGTTTCTATTCAAGTCTAATCTTCCTCCTCTTTTCTCTTTTCTACTTTCCAGAAAACTGTTGCTGCTGCTGTCTGGGGAAGGTGAGACTGGCATTTTCTTTCTGCCTTCTTCAGAATGAAGTCCACCAGACTTTTTCAGCCAGCTCTCTGGGGTCTGGAGTCTAAAAAGAAAATACCTGAAGTGTAGCTCATGAAGAAACCATAACTCTCTGTGTTGCCTGCACTTCTAACAATCAGTCAAATGATAATCTGAAAATTATCCCTGACAAAATTGTCATGCTTTGAAACAAAAAGCCCACCCAGCTATCATATGATATACAAGCAAGATTTTGTTTTTATTTCCTAACATAGAATCTAGAGAAAACAGCCATGGTTCTTTAAAAAAAAAAAAAAAAAAAAAAAAAAAAAAAAAAACACAATAAGGGGATGGAGCAGGGAGTAAATATTGGCTAAAGGATCATCTGGTCTTATATGGTCATCACACCAAAAAAAGAAAAAGAAAAAAAGTGTTCAGTCGCTCAGTTGGATCCCACTCTTTTCAACTCCATGGACTGCAGCACGCCACGCCTCCCTGTCCATCACCAACTCCTGGAGTTTACTCAAACATATATCCATTGAGGCAGTGATGCCACCCAACCATCTCATTCTCTGTCATCCCCTTCTCCTCCCACCTTCAATCTTTCCCAGCATCAGGGTCTTTTCCAAGGAGTCAGTTCTTCGCATCAGGTGGCCAAGTATTGGAGTTTCAACTTCAACATCAGTCCTTCTAATGAACATCCACTGATTTCCTTTAGGATGGACTGGTTGGACCTCCTTGCTGTCCAAGAGACTCTCAAGACTCCTCCAACACCACAGTTCAAAAGCATCAATTCTTTGGTGCTCAGCCTTCTTTATAGTCCAACTCTTACATCCATACATGACCACTGGAAAAACCATAGCCTTGACTAGAGGGAACTTTGTTGACAAAGTAATGTCTCTGCTTTTTAATATGCTAAGTTGGTCATAACTTTCCTTCCAAGGAGTAAGTATCTTTTAATTTCATGGCTGCAGTCACCATCTGCAGTGTTTTTGGAGCTCCCAGAAGTAAAGTCTGCCACTGTTCTACTGTTTCCCCATCTATTTCCCATGAAATGATGGGACTGGATGCCATGATCTTAGTTTTCTCAATGTTGAGCTTTAAGCCAACTTTTTCACTCTCCTCTTTCACTTTCATCAAGAGGCTCTTTAGTTCTTCACTTTCTGCCATAAGGGCGGTGTCATATGCATATCTGAGGTTATTGATATTTCTCCCAGCAATCTTGATTCCAGCTTGTGCTTCTTCCAGCCCAGCATTTCTCATGATGTATTCTGCATATAAATTAAATAAGCAGGGTGACAATATATAGCCTTGACATGCTCCTTTCCTGATTTAGAACCAATCTGTTTTTCCATGTCCAGTTCTAACTGTTGTTTCTTGACCTGCCTACAGATTTCTCAGGAGGCAGGTCAGGTGATCTGGTATTCCCATCTCTTTAAGAATTTTCCACCGTTTATTGTGATCCACACAGTCAAAGGCTTTGGCATAGAAAATAGAGCAGAAATAGATGTTTTTCTGGAACTCTTGCTTTTTCGATGATCCAGTGGATGTTGGCAATTTGATCTCTGGTTCCTCTGCCTTTTCTAAATCCAGCCTGAACATCTGGAAGTTCACGGTTCATGTACTATTGAAACCTGACTTGGAGAATTTTGAACAGTGCTAGCATGAGATATGAGTGCAATTGTGCAGTAGTTTGAGCATTCTTTGGCATTGCCCTTCTTTGGGATTAGAATGAAAACTAACCTTTTCCAGTCCTGTGGCCACTGCTGAGGTTTCCAAATTTGCTGGCATATTGAGTGCAGCACTTTCACAGCATCGTCTTTCAGGATTTGAAATAGCTCAACTGGAATTCCATCACATCCACTAGCTTTGTTCATAGTGATGCTTCCTGAGGCCCACTTGACTTCACATTTCTGGATGTCTGACTATAGGTGAATAATCACACCATTGTGGTTATCTGAGTTATGAAAATCTTTTTTATATAGTTCTGTGTATTCTTGCCCGCCTCTTCTTAATAACTTCTGCTTCTGTTAGGTCCATACCATTTCTGTCCTTTATTGAGCCCATCTTTGCATGAAATGTTCCCTTGCTATCTCTAATTTTCTTGATCTCTAGTCTTTCCCATTCTATTGTTTTCCTCTTATTTCTTTGCATTGATCGCTGAGGAAGGCTTTCTTATCTCTCCTTGCTATTCTTTGGAACTCTGCATTCAAATGAGTATATCTTTACTTTTCTCCTTTGCTTTTGGCTTCTCTTCTTTTCACAGCTATTTGTAAGGCATCCTCAGACAACCATGTTGCCTTTTTGCATTTCTTTTTCTTGGGGATGGTCTTGATCCCTGCCTTCTGTATGGTGTCATGAACCTCCGTCCACAGTTCTTCAGGTACTCTGTCTATCAGATCTAATCCCTTGAATCTATTTCTCACTTCCATTGTATAATTGTAAGGGATTTGATTTAGGTCATAAAAAGGAGTACGTCGAGGCTGTATATTGTCACCCTGCTTATTTAACTTACATGCAGAGTACATCATGAGAAATGTTGGGCTGGAAGAAGCACGCTGGAATCAAGATTGCTGGGAGAAATATCAATAACCTCAGATATGCATATAACACCACCCTTATCGCAGAAAGTGAAGAGGAACTAAAAAGCCTCTTGAAAAAAAGTGAAAGAGGAGAGTGAAAAAGTTGGCTTAAAGCTCAACATTCAGAAAACTAAGATCATGGTGTCTGGTCCCATCACTTCTTGGGAAATAGATGGGGAAACAGTGGAAAGAGTGTCAGACTTTATTTTGGGGGGCTTCAAAGTCACTGCAGATGGTGACTGCAGCCATGAAATTAAAAGACACTTACTCCTTGGAAGGAAAGTTATGACCAACCTAGATAGCATATTAAAAAGCAGAGACATTACTATGCCAACAAAGGTCCATCTAGTCATGGCTATGGTTTTTCCAGTGGTCATGTATGGATGTGAAAGTTGGACTGTGAAGAAAGCTGAGCACCGAAAAATTGATGCTTTTGAACTGTGTTA